TGACTTCCAGAAAGTTCCAGAAAGCAATTCCAGCAAGTTCCACTGGCATGACACCACAGTGACTTCTCTGCCATCCGGTGAGTCACAGCTGTGCTCCCTCCGACAAGGTTTGGATCTCAGCCCTGGTGGGGAATCCTTCTTGGGTTCCCATTTCAGCTCCAGGGGTAGTGGCATGTTCCGTTGTTATGTTTTGTGTGAGTTTATCTAACCCCCGATTCCTCAGAATGGGACTGTTTTTGGAGGTAAAGTTTTTCAAGAGGTAGAATGAGGTCATAAGGGTGGACGCCAACCTAATATGACTTTTTTCTTTCTAAGAAGTGGAAACTTGGACACAGAAACACATAGAGGGGAGACCATGAGAGGACACAGGGGAAAGACTGCCATCCACGAGAGAGGCTTCAGTAGGGGAGGCTTCTGGCCCAGGAACAGAGGTAAGGGTAGGTGAGAGAGCGTGAGCGCTGGAGACAGGGCTCTGCTTTGTGAATTCTCCACCCCAAGTGTGGGAACACAGTATTGACTGTAGGGTGCAGAGGAGGGGAGGAGGGAACCGAGTCGACACCATGGGCTCTGAGGAGCGGCATGGGGAGTGCATGCTTCATCTCACAGGAGAGCTGCCCTTTCCCCAGCCCACGGCCAGCTTCTTTGAGTGAGCGACTCTTGAACACCCCATGTGTCTTCCCTTCCATTCACCAAGGTTAGCTCCTTCCATGCATGTTGCCCACCCCAGAAGTCCCTGCAGCTCCTGCAGACCTGCTGCTCTAAAGGCAAAGGGGGATTTAAAGGTATAGGGGTAACACTCAGCAATGGGCCATGAGACATGAATGGGCAAGCTTCCCAGACCCCCATCCTTCAGTGGGATGATTCTGAGCACATTCTATACACTTTCCCAAAGGGTCCCCAGCAAGACTGAGCCCCAACTGCCTGTAGCCGTAATAAACTCACTTTAATGACTCTTCTTTCTCTAGTCCGTGGGACCATCTCCCAAACAAGCTATCTGTACCCAAGTTCTGGCTTCCAGCTCTGCTGGAACCATGAACCACGGCAGACATGAATTCCTGGCATGGGAGGAACAGCCCCAGTCTATCCTGAGCAGCAGTGATAGAAAAAGGGGTCAGTAGCTGTCCCCTCATTTGACCCTTGTCACCTCTGTAATTTCAAATACAGGCCATACATGCAGCCCTGAGAGTGCAGGAAATGATTTTGGAGCTGGGAAGAATTGCCTCATGCTCGGGATGACACAATCAAGACACAAAAAGATCTTGACCAGCTGACTCAAGGGGTCTGCTCTTTTATTTATCAAGAGGTAAAAAGGGAACACTACCTTTAAGTTCAAAGGGAAACCGAGTGCCCCATGAATGCAACAGTCATTCACGTGGAACAAAAGGCTGTTCAGCTTTTCACTGGTCACCAGCTCCCTGAGCCAAGACTTAAAACAGCCAAAGCAACATGGGGTGGTGCTGCAGAAGCATCCAGATGGAGGCTCCACAAAGCTCTACCTGATCCACCCCCAGGCCCCCATCCTGGACTCTGCTGATGGGACAGCGTCACATGCCTCTCAGCTGCTCCTTCAGACCCACTTGGCGTCACCTGTCAAGGCCCTGTGCCTACTTATGCCAACCCAGCTACACTGGTGGCACCCAGCTCTAGGAGGGCTCTGGCATCTTCTCATGGACTCAAACCACAGTGTCTTTAGGGTTCTGCTGCTGTTGGGGTTTTCCCATTGACAGTAAGACATGACAGGCTCTGGGACTCTCTGGACACATACATGGCATGAAGAATAAAGGACTTAATGCCCCAAATCTTTCACTAACAGGAGAGAAAGCCGATCACAGACTGGGTAGCAGTCATTTATGTGGTTTCTGAAGATGGAGATCTAGTGATCTAATATAGCTTACACATATTGGGCATCCCTAATCCCAAACTCCAAAACAGGAAACTTTTTGAGCACCAAGATGATACCATGAATAGAAAATTTTATTCTGTGAAACTTTGTTTCATGATCAAAATTATTTAAAATATTGTGTATGGCTGGGGACGTGCCTCAGTGGTAGAATACTTGCCAAACGTGAGGTCTTGGGTTCAAAAACTAAATCTAAAAAAAAAATGTATAAAATTATCTTCCAGCCATGCGTATAAGGTGTAAATGAAGCATAAATGAGTTTCATGTTTAGATTTGCTTCCCAAATCCAAGATAACTCATTATGTATATGCAAATACTCCAAAACAAAAACAAACAAAACAAAAACAAAAAAACCTCTGAAATCCAAACCACTTCTGTTCCCAGGCATTTTAGATGAGGGATACTCAACTTGTAGCAGGTGCTGGTCAACTTGAGAACCAAACCTCTTACTGACCATGCCCCTCATTCATTTCCTGCCCACTTATTCCTGCTCCCTGGATTACACTGCATAGTAAAGTCCTTGCCACGTAAGCCTTGACCTCGGGCTCTGTGTCCTGGAGAATCCAGGCTAAGGCCACATGTTGTTTGAACCAATCCCTGTGACCAGAGGAGCCCTTGGTGTGCTCATCGACTGGGTCTCCAATGGCCTGCTGTAACCTGTGTCAAAGGGAGGGATGGAGGCCCAGGAAGGGAGGGGGCTGTGCAGAATGGGAGAGGGGCGTGGTCCACGCACAGTGTCTGTTGTCTTAGTCGGTTTTTTTTACTTCTGTAACAGAATGCTTACAACTGAGTAATTTGTAAGGAACAGAAATGTATTTGGCTCACAGTCTTCTGGAGGCTGGGAGGTCCGACAGCATGAAGTTGGAAGGCCTGCATGTTGTGTCATCTCATGACAGAGGCCAGAGGGCAAGAGGGAGCAGCTCACTCAGGCGATGACATTAATCCACCAATCACCCCTCATTAGGCCCACCTCCCAATCCTGTGGCATAGAGAATGAAGTTTCCAGCACATGAAACTTGGTCACATCCAAAGCACAGCATCAGCCCGACTATCTTGCCTGGCAGTGAGTGGAAACCATCCCGTTTCCAGTTTGATGGGGGTTTCTCCTCTTGATTTCTGACATCTGACAGCAGAAGTGACAGAGCAAGTCAACTTAAGCAGCTGTCTTGCAGCATCCGTGTTTTCCCGAGTGTGACCGAGAAGGGGTGACAGCTGAGGGCTGCATCACCACCTTTGGCAAGGAAAAAAATGTTTCACGGCTTTTTCCTTGAATGCAGTCGACCCTGATTTCTCAGTCCCCCAGGCCCCCAGACTGGGGGCAAGTGCATTCTCAGTGATTTTGGGGGCTCCCACCCCATAGCCAGGTAGGACTTGGTAAATTTGGTGGAGAGCAAAACATCTGGAGTTGCATTTCGCATCTGCTCTGGCTCGTCGCAACCCTGCTGCCTCATCACCTACCCAAGCTATGTTTCAAGAGAGTCTGCGCAGCCTGGAGTCCCTGATGGGCCCCCTTCCTGTGGTGCACACAGCAGCTTTGTGCCCACAGGGGAGAACTTGAAACTCGCCTGTTCTCATGGGAACATTATTCTTCTTCACTTACTTTCTCTCCTGTGGATGTCCCAATATCACACAAAAATACTACTGACCTCTCTCCACCTGACCTGGTGACACCCAGCCTAATCTCAGAGCATTGAGATCAAAGGTTGCTAATTGGTAGCCTGCCAGAAAGATACTACCTATGGCCCTGTTTAATTGTTTTATGCCCATTTTTGTTATATAAAAGAGGTAATTTTGTGTGTAAATGCATGTTTTCAGCTTCTCTGGATATATCAGAACATTTGGGAACACTGGTTACTAATTCCCTGTGATAACAGATGGCTGGGTCTGAGGAGTTTGGGGTTTTTGGATGAGGTGTGTTCTCCTCCATTTGGGAAGGTCCTGTGACTTCAAACCTGGCTTCTACAGGCATGGTGGGATGAGTATTAACTTAGTTCATTAACTAAATAAACATTTTTTTAAAAAGTTTTGCGTGTACCATGGATTGAACTCAGCGGCACTCAACCACTGAGCCATGTTCCCAGCCCTGTTTTGTATTGTATTTAGAGACAGAATCTCACTGAGTTGCTTAGCACCTTGCTTTTGCTGAAGCTGGCTTTGAACTTGAGATTCATCCTGCCTCAGCCCCCCAAGCTGCTTGGATTACAGGTGTGCACCACTGTGTCCAGCCTCAATAAATATTTATCGCATACTCTTTAGGTATCAGACCTTGTGGTGGGTTCCGGGAATATAGACATGGCAACAAGGACCAAATATCCTGTGTTGGTGGAGCTTGTATTTTGATGGGGGTGATAGAATTAAAAATAAATACATTCATATTTAAGGTGGTAATAACTACAGTGAAGATCCTAAAGCTTGAAGTAAGGACTAGAAGGTAAATGAGCTTGGGGTGGTGGTGGCAGGTGAGGGAGCATTTTTGTATAAGGTGACAAGGTGACATTTAAGCTGAGACGGAAGGCAGTGAGAGTGTCACAAAGTGAGGGGGAAGAGATTTTTGTCCTCAAGCTACACTTTTGAAGGCCCACGACACAAGAGAACAAGCAGAAAGTCCTGTTTGGAACAGGACAGAATACAAAGGCCTGAGCACTAAGAGTTCTCATTTGCCATTTTGCATCCCAATGGACGCTCCCCACAATTTATCTTACTAATTTTTCACTTATACTGTTGTTTAAGTAAAAATGTTTGATGTTTAAGTGTTTCTAGTAGATAAAGCTAAAATTCACGTATGAGCTCTGCCCTTCCAGGGGAGTGAATCAGTCCTGTTTGACTTCCTGAGTTCTCGGGAGCTGGCCTCTTGGCATTAGTCACAGAATGCCTACAGCCAGTTTTTCTAATTAGATCACGGGTGGTGCGTGGCATAGGCTCCAGATTCTTTTCTTGGGTTGTGATCACAGCTACTGTTCGACTACTACCCGCTGCCTGGTCCTACCCCAGGGTTTGGCTGTCCACATAAACATGATGCTGTTGTGTGAGTTCACTCTTCTATTTAGAGAAGCCCGTCAGCTAGAAATACCTCCACCTTATTTCTCAGACGCATGCGTGCTGAGAGCGAGTTGCCAAAATAGCCCCTTGAGTAAGTGGTGGCTTTAAAAACCAACCAACTGCTGACTCAAACCAGAAGGTCAGTAAAGGAAAGTGGACGTTGGATTCTGAACGCTGGATCAAGGAGCCCATAGGAGTTTGTAGTCGTGGGGATTTTGGAGACTTGAGCAAGTAGCCTGGGGGTTCTCCTTGGATTTCTCGCCTGTTGTCTGCCCCTGTCTTCATTCTTCAGACCCCAAGATGAACGTGCAGGCCTGCTCCAGGTGTGGCTATGGGGTGTATCCTGCTGAGAAAATCAGCTGCATCGACCAGGTCAGTAGCCACAGCCTGGCCTTTGGGAATAATGACAAACATGGGATACTTGTCTTCTTACATATGGATATGTGGCTTTTTCTGAACCACAGGAGAAAGATGTACTTTTCTACCTTCGTTAGGTTCTACCCACTTCCGTGTCCTCTAGGTTGCCTCAAAAAAAAAAAAAGTTGTATTTATTTAACATAAAATAATTATATGTGTGTGTGGTTTTAAAATTTTTTTAATCACCATTTAATTCCTACATCTCAATCTTTAAAACCCAGAATATATAGGAATCCTGAGCCTGGGGTAGGGGATAAACAATCACTGAGTCTTCTCTGTGATTTCTAGATATGGCATAAAGCATGTTTCCACTGTGAAGTGTGCAAGATGATGCTGACTGTGAATAACTTCGTGAGTCACCAGAAAAAGCCCTACTGTCACGTGTAAGTGTCTGATGCCCCTTCCCTGCCTCTTGAGTTTTGTTCATTTTTTTGACAAGTAGTCTCCTAAAGGAGCAACCTGTGCCCTCCACGGTTAAATCCAAGCAATGTCCCCAAAGTGTCCACTCACATCCAATCACGGAAAAGATCCAAAGTGCGGTGTTATGCAGTGGGTAGAGAATTCCAAATTTCTTAAAGATCAAATCTATCTACAATAAATTCTTATTCACTTGTTAAGTGTTGTGCAGTTTAACTGCCAGCAGATAGGCAGAGAGTGCTCTAAGATTTTTAAAGTCACTTTCAAATCCTTTCCTAGGTTTTTTAAGAAAGCTCTCAAGTGATCAGTTAAAGTTTATCTTTAAGTCCTTATGTGCTGAATTTAATTGGTTTTATTTTTGTTTTAAGACTTTTTTGACCAGAAAACTATGAACTTAATTATTAAATTTTATATTTACTGATTTTAAAAAATCAACAGTACCATTAAGAATAATCATTCAATCATCTTGGATAAGGGGGTGTTCCTGATTTTGATTTATACCTCATTTTTGTAGCCATAACCCCAAGAACAACACGTTCACTAGTGTCTATCACATGCCATTAAATCTAAATGCGAAGAAGATTCCAGGAGCCGTGGGTGGGGTAAGTCACTTAATTTTTACATTTCAAAATAGCCTTTTAAGAAAATCCCTTTGCTTAGGCACCTGTTAGGTTTCTAAGTGGATCTCTGTAGGGGATGGTTTATTTCCTCCACAGACCCATGCAAAGTGTATTTAAATAGCACATGTCGCTCTTTGTCCTCCCTCAACATTTGGGGCCAATACACAGGATAATCTGGGTTCAGTATTTGATCCTTGATTCTAATATAATCTTTCTGTCTGACCCGCTCTGGGCAGATGGTGTTAGTTGAATAGGCCTTGCGTACGCTAGTGCTTAATACATAAAGCAAAATTTGCAGGGTTGGAAGATATTACAAGGGCCCTTCTTTTCTTTCCTCTGTAATATTTTGGTACAGAACATTCAAAACTTCCATTTCCACACTCTGAAACCTCTCTTTCATTAATTGCTTAAGATTATGTGGAGCCTCTCTTTCCCCTGCAGGTAGGGGGAGGTCAAAGATGTTTGGATTTGGAAATGAGACTGGCTTTGGGAGGGGAAGCGGGAGGTGGATGCAGAGGCCGTGTTGATGAGCCTGACCCCTTTTCCCTTTTGAAACATCAACAGTGAAGTTTTGTCAAATAACTAGCCGTTGATGGAACTCTTGCATCTCTTAAAGGGATGACTCATTGAAGTTCTCTGGCCCTGGCCGGGTGAGAAATAGCTCTGTGGGATGGCGGTTAGCAACTTTCTAAAATTAGAAAATGACCAGCGAGGTGGAGGGCTCTCTAATAATCTCTCCTTACCCCATGTCCCTTGTTGGTGTTACCCCTCACCCCTTATACTGACAGTGGCCTCACCATCAGGAGAATCTATATTAGACGGAGTGACCGCCCTTGCCCTGTGACTCTTTACATCTGCTCCGGGAAAACTTTATGTCACTAAGTGCTCCACACTATTGGCCAGTTTACATTATGTTTATTTAACAAGCATAATAGACTTGTTTAATTCACTTCCTACACATCACAAACCAATGAAGTAGATCCTATTATTTTCCTACTCTACTGGTGAGGAAACTGAGGCCCAGACAGTTGGTCATCCCTCATTGATTTCTAAAGATCCACAAGCCTTAAGAATCCACTAGCAATCCTAGGTTACTAAGAAGACTAAGCCTCTTAGAACTTTGATTTTTATCTTTTGATGTCTGCGGGCAGCTATGTGAAATTACAATAAGTGTAATTTAGCTCTTACTTCAACAGTGCCAGGAACTCAGCTGAGTTCTCTGTTTTCTCATGTATTCTTCACGAGAACCTCTGTCCTAGTGTCATATTGAAGTTGAGGAAGTTGAGGCTCAGAGAGGTTAAGTAACCTGCCCAGGTTCATCCAGCTTGGTGGGTACAAATCCAGATCTTTCTGACTGCAGAATTCTTGTCATCGGCCCAATTCCATATCTAACTAGAAGGTGGCAAACTCTCCAGAAGCAAAAAAATACTTGTTGATGTTTGCACCTATCCAGATGGTTTTACAGTTGTGAACGGGAGATGTGTTTACAGAATGCTCTTGCATGTATCACACTCTCTACAGAAAGACTGTCGTGTCCTGTCGCATCTTCCAACGCTACCCGAGCCACAGCTGGCAGTTCCACCTTACAGTCATGCAACAGGTCACACAGGATTTACCTTGCTGCAGTGCTAAACTCTCTTTCTTTTAACTGTGTGTGACAGGTCCAACCTGGCTTGAGGCTAGGATTATCGCTGGTTCTGCTTCCAGCCACGGGCAGTCATGTGGGCATCCCAGGAGGCCTGAGCGTGTCTATTTGTGTGAATTTATGTGACTATATGACTGTGTGTGTATGGACATATGTGTGTATGTGGGGAGTGCGTGTATGTGTGTATGCAGGTATGAATATGTGGGCACACACATACATATATGTACATGTGATATGTGCATGGGTGTATGTGTGTCTACATATTAAAGTGTATCGCATATGTGTACATGGTGTGTGTGCGCACATATGTATATGTGTGTGTGCTAGGTATGAATGTGTATATGTGCATATGTATGTGTATATGCCTTTGCATGTATGTGTGTGCATGTGGTGTGTATATGTATGTGCACACACTGTCTTCAGGCGTGTGTGGTATACACGTACACGTGTACATGTGTGTGCATGTGTACAGATGTGTAAATGGTATGTGTGTGCATGTGTGCGTGTGTATGTACAAATGACTACTGAGATCCCTTTCTTCTCCTTTCCCACCAGGGAAAATTTTAAATGGTCAGCTATGTCCCTTCTAGGCCCCAGATCTGCTCCCGCAAGACTTTTATGCAACCAATCTAGGGGGTGTGATGGGTTATTTTTTATGCCCCTTATGTCTCTGAAAGACTTTGCCAATGAAAGTTTTAAAAAAATCATTGTGCATGAGCTAAGAAAACAGAGGAAAGAAAGAGATGCTTCAGGGATGGTGGTGAAGGAGAAAAGAGGGCACAGATTCTAAGCTGGCATTTGCAGCAGACTTACGTTTCTGTGTTTCCAAAATGCCCTTCTTTGAAAAATAAATAAATATTTACTAAGACAGAATGTTGTGTTTGATAGGTGTGAGTGGAATTTTTAGAAGAATAATCATCTGTGTTCTCACCTATTCAGAGTATGAACTTTAGTCCTAAATGCTGGACGCTACTGGTCACACTATGGCTCTCCCCTTGTCCATCCTCAGTGGAATTGGGGACATTTGTGATTGTCACAGCTGGGAAGGGCAATTATTGCATCTGGTGGGTAGAAACCAGGGGTGCTGTTGAATGCCCTGCAATGCTCAAGAAGTTTCCCCACAAAAAAGATTTAACTGGTCCCCAAAATATCAGAAACCCTGCCTTAAGTCTATGTGACGCTCGTGGTACTTCCTTCAAATACTCGGAAAGCAGCGGGTAAAGGTGTCAGCATTTACGGTTTTAACAATGTACACCTTGGAGCAGCATGAAGCAGCAGTAGGCGGTAGTAGGCCGGGAAAGTCAGGCAAGAAAAAGTTCCCTTGATGGGAAACGAGGATCCCTGAGGGCGTATTTTTCTCCAGGTCTGTTTCCTTATTATCTATAAAATTAATGATTTAAACTTCAGCTTTTAAGAATTGCAGATATCTGGGCCTATCTATCTCAGACCTAATAAATTGGGCTACCTTCATTTGGACCTAAGACCCAAGTTTCTCTTTTGTGGTTAGTTTCCATGTTTTCTTGAAGAAATCTTTGCCTACCCCAAGTGATGAAGATGTTGACAGTGTGTCAGTTCTGACCAAACTGAGATACATGTGTCTGCGCCATCTGTGCTGCTACATCTTTCAGTACCATTTCAATAAAAAATCATGGTGTGTTTTGTAGACACTGGCAGACTGGTTCTAAGTCTTGAAGAACAAAATTGAAGGACTTAGGTTATTCTAAGTTATCAAGATTTACTATAAAAGTCGAACTCATTCATTCAGTGGAGAATTGGTACAAAAATGGAAAGACCAGGGTTGTCTTGAATACGAGGCCCAGCAATTGCTCTGCTCAGATGTGGTCCCTCAAATGACAACAGAGGCACCACTGCAATTCAGTGTAACAAGAATGATCTTCCAAGAAAATACTGGAGAGATTGGATATTTGTATGGAAAAAAAAATGAGCCTTGCCTCCTACCTCACACCTGTGCACAAAAATCAACTCAAAGTATATTATAGAGTGAGATGTTAGAGGTAAAATTGTCCATGAGGAAATAAAATACTCCCATGAAACTGGTGAGCCAGCGTTTTAGTGAACTCTTTGGGTGATGGTCACACAGAATGAAGCAAAGAACATTACTCTGTTGTCCAACATTTTCAGAGGTCACCCCAACCTGAATACTGTGTGTTGTGTGTTAAGTTCATGGAGACTTTACCTCAGTCTTGTTAATCACCCTGCTCAACACAGCTTGGCACAGAGCAGGAGCACAATATGTGCCACCTAGCTGGTGGCACAGATAAGACCACAGCAAGATGGGCAGCGCAGTGTGCCTTGGGGAAGATACTTTACGGTCAAGACTTGGGAAAGATCCCCCTCAATTTAGCTCCGTGTTATTATTTATTTATTTATTTATTTTCTTACTCTTCTCTGAATGGAAATGTTACCAACAACATCTTCACCATGTTCATCTTCACCATGTTCATGCAGACCCATGACCAAGAAGATGGTGAACAGTTTAGATCGGTTTTTCACTGGGACATGAAATCCAGGGATGGACCCGATGCACCTCACAGGCAACCGCTGGTGAACGAGGTGAGAGAGGAGCGATGGAGGGCTTGGGAAAAAGAGAAACGGCAGGCTATGCAAATGAGTTGGATGATGACGATGATGACGGTTAGCAGTAGTAATAGCAATGTCACTTCTACAGAAAATCAATTAAGTTTTCTTTTGTCCTTTCTGTAAATTCAACCAGCTGTGAAACAGACCTCCATCAATGCCTGGCAGCACTTCAACTGTGTCTTGTCCAGTCCAAGTTCTTGTCCCTCCAACCTTATGTTCCTGTCCCTGGGAATAGCCCCCCACACACACACACACACCGGCTTGCAACCAGCGCTGCCCTTTCTTCCTCTGGTCCTCCACTCTGCCCCAGCCCTTCCCTCCAGGCCACCCTCTCCACTCGGATCCTCATCATTTCTACCTGGACCTCTGTGAGGGCCTCCTGCCATGGCTTTGCCTCGTGCACATTCGCCTTTCCCCAGCCTCCTGTGCCCACGCTGGTCACGCACGGCTTCTTGTATGTTCCCGACTTCCTCGTCCACCACCCTCTCTGTTGACAGCCTCCTCGTTTCAGAATCCCTCAGTCATCTAGTTTTAATTACATCCATAATACTTGCATTTTTCTTATTATAAAAAAATTATACACTGTAAAGTTAACCCTTTATCCACCACCTCTGATCCAGTTCCCTCACTTTAGAAGAACCCACTGTAATCACTTTTTGGGTATCCTAGACTTGACTTTATTTTTTGTTTACATATGTTATTTGTCAGTTACCTGTCTCTAGTTATCATCTAGCTATCTGTTGTCTATTTTCTATTTATTTAGATCTATCAGTCATTTAGCTTTATCAATCATCTATCTACCTGCCTATCACTTATCTGACTTTCAACTACTTACATTTGAACATACCTATCTTTATTGAAGGACCTTGACTCAGTTATGTAAACACTCTTTTGCTTCAGTTTTCTTGTCTTTAAAATGAACTTCAGAAACTTCCTAATTCACGGAGCCTATTGTGAAAATTAAGATAAAATACCTACAAAAATATCAGGACAGTGGTAGATAAAATAAATACTGGCTATTATTATTTTTATTGATAGTTTCACACACATTTCTTTTGAAAGGCCTATGTTTATTTTCTCATGAAACAACATGCATTGTTTTTCACACTCAACAAATATCTTGGAGACATTTCCACATTGGCAGCCTTCCAAGCTGTGGTGGACCGGTGTAGCATGGTGCATGGTTCAGAGGCTTGTACCATGGCATCCTATTGATGGGAAGGGATATTTTCCCTAATGCAGAGTTGCAATGAACACTCATTTTCATGGCCTCTTTTGGATAAAAGGGAGTGTTTCTATAGAATAGATAATGAAAATAAGGTTGCTAGGTCCAGGGTGTGTGCCTTTTTAATTTTCAGAGTTAAAACAGTTGTGCATTTATTCTCCCACAGGCAGACTATGACCCGTTTTCTTATACTCTCACCAATACTTGGTTTTACCAGATATTTTGACCATCTGTATTTTGTTTTAATCGAGATTTTGCTGCTTGCTAGTGCAGTTGAGCATATTTTCAAGTGTTTTTTCAGATTTCCAGAGGCTGGTTCTGCCCAAGCTGTCCAGCCTGCCCTGTCTGACTGGCTCCCTATCTTTTTCCCTCATGTCAGTTAAACTCAGTTCCTGGGTCTTTTCCACCTGCCTTCTACTTTCCTTCATGGCCGCCCACACTACTGGGAATCACTCAACAAATATTTACTGGGTCTACTGTGTGCCAGGCACTGTTGTAGACACTGGGGATCCATTAATAATGGAGCATGAACATCCCTGCCTCATGGAACTGACCTAGAGGAGATAGATGCCTTTCCCTCTCCCTCTGCCCTGTTAACTGACCTTGGCCCTGAAGGTCCAGCTAAAATTTTATCTTTCTACCAAAGGCAGGGGCCTTCTCATACAGAGGCACATTTAAAAACCTCTCACTGTGTCCATCATCCTTAAAGAACATGATTACATATAAATGATTTCTAATTGTTTTTTCCTATGTTAATTTTATCTGCAACGGTAAATACCTTCAAAAAGAAACTTTGTCTTCCTTCTTTTTTTTTCCTTTTTAAAAAATTATTAATAGGCACATAACACAAAGTAGGTTTTTGAAGTTTGTCTGAATAATACTGATTAATCTCAGGTTGGCTGTCTGCAGGGACCCTCTTCCTTCCCCACAGCCCAGTCAAGTGCAAAGAAGAGCAAAAGATGTTAAGTTATATTTGAACATTTTTCTATAACATCAGTGTATTTCACAAATTTCTATCACTTAGGATATTAGGTCATCTTCTAGTCTGAGGAAACAAACATGCTAGTTAGTGAAGACTTCTCACATACCAATAGGAGCTTGTGGTTTTTAAAGAAGATGTTATTTGGACAGTGTATGTGAGTGCTGCTGGGAGTGCGGGGTGGATGGGGGATCTTGCCAACCAAGTGTGCAAGGCATGTGTTTAGCATCTTGCGCTTCCTTTGCAGAGAGCCTACTGGCCTGGATATGGGGAAAGCAATGCTTGGTGCCCAGGAGCTCTGCCAGACCCCGAAATCGTAAGGATGGTTGAGGCCCGACAGTCTCTTGGTGAGGTAAGGGCCCTAGGAATCACCTTAGTGATTGCTTTAGCAAGTAGTTAGCAATTGGCTGAAATCTCCCTTTGTTTTGAGAAATGCAGCAGAGGAATACCGTACCCACCAAACAGTCCCCTGTCCTAATTCCCAGAGCCTGGGTGCGTGTCACCTTACATGTGAGAGAGATGTTGCAGGTGTCATTAAGTTGTGGGTCTTGAGACAAGAACCTGGATTCTCGGGTGGCCCAATATAACCACAAGGTCTTTATGACAGGGAGGCAGGAGGGGCCACTCTAGGAAAGATGCTAAGGACAGAGAGAGGTCACAGTGTTGTGGGGCTGGGAACCCAGGAATGTCAGAGCTTCTAGGAGCTGGAAAAGGGAAAGAAGCAGATTCTCCCTAGTTCTACCACAGGGATGTCAGCCTGTTGGCCCACGCTAAGCCAGGACCCACCCCCCCAAACTGTGAGACCCTAGAAAGTGTTCCAGTAGCCCCAGTGCAGAAGTCCCCAGCTGTTTGCACACCGTGCCCCTGGCCCTCTCACACACCGACCCTTTGAAGAGTCTACTTTGGAAAATACCATTAGTCTTGCTGACTCTTCCTTTAGGGAGTGGGAAGAAAGCAACAGAAACATGATCGCTAAGGTGAGATGTTTTATTAGGAAAACTATCCAATCTGAAAGCGTGGAGGGGCAAGTGAGCCCTCCCTCTCCTGGTGTGGTAGAACTCTCTGGAGCAGACCAGTTCCCGCAAAGTCTCCCGTGTGAATGGCTGTGCTGCCGCCAAGCAAGCCTTGGAGTCAAAGGACACCTGTGGGGTTGAACCAGGCTCCCCCAATTTGGTGTAAATCCTGCAGACAATACCTTTTGACCTAGGGAATGTGAGCTCCTTGGTGTTGATGGTGTTACTCAAGCACCATTTTCAAACTTATTCCAAGTGATTGAAGTGTTCTCCTATTCTTTCGAAGCCAGCTCTGTGGGTCCGATTCGTTCTCCTCCGGTATCTTACTGATTCTCACGCTGCCGTTGCTTCTGGCCAACAGGCGTATCCAGAAGACTATGAGCAGCAGAGAGGCAAGGGGAGCTTTCCTGCCATGATCACACCTGCTTATCAGAGGGCCAAGAAAGCCAACCAGCTGGCCAGCCAGGTGAGTGTCCTGAGTTGATTCACCTTTGATTGTACTCAATTTTGTCATTAAATAAGCTCTGTTATTCAGAAAAAATAATATAAGATGGTGTTTTGGTGCAGTAGGAACTATTAGTGTTGTGTTAGGGAGAAATTAAAACACTATTTTCATTTATCCTCTGTGCCTCTATTGGGCCATATCTCCAAAATGGAGAAAAGACCCTGTATGTAGCTCATCCAGAATGGACCTAATGATTTCTTAAAGTTGCTTTAGTATTAAGGACACTCGTTTTTATCAACCAGATGGCAGGTCCTCCTGAAGTCTGGTGTGGTTTTTGGTTAAGAGCTCAGATTTTGGAACTAGGATGCTGGGATTTGAAGCCTAGCTCTATCACATATTTCCTGTGTGGCCACAGGCTAATTACTTAACCTCTCTATTCTTCTGGCTGCTCATTTGAAAAGCAAGGAAAAGAATAATCCCAGTGGATGAGTAGTTGTGGACACCAAGTTACTCTTTGGTTAACGCTTAGCGGTGCCTGGCGCTCTCTGGAATTTAGCATGGTGCATAGGTGCCTTTGTGATCATGATAGACTTGTCCCAGGTCTGTGTGGAGCATGGCCTGATGGTGTAGATTCAGGAGAGCTCTAAGGCGAGGTCCTCACAGAGGCTGGGAGGGGGTGTAAACTTGTCTCTGTGCTGTCTCCTCACCAGGTGGAATACAAGAAAGGGCATGAGGAGCGCATCTCCAAGTTCTCCACGGTGGCGGATACTCCTGAGCTGCTGCGGGCCAAGGCAGGGGGACAGCTACAGAGTGATGTAAGACGGGATGGAGGAGGGAGGGAGGATGCAAGAGGCATCCCAGTCCTGGGAGGGGGCGGCAGTGCCAGCAAGACTTCCTAAGGTCAAGGATGGTCAAGTCCATGAGTCGGTCAGCATAGACCTCCCCAAAACTCTAAACAGAAAATGTTAGATTAGGTTAGTGCCAAAGAAGATAGAGCCGATGCACTGGAAAGAAATCCCTCTTGCCACTGCAAAGTAGAAAGCATAATTTCTAAAGAATTTCTACCACTTGCCTTGGCATAGCTTAAGTGCCCCACAGCCTACTGAGACCCAAGAATGCAGTGTTGTTCTGAATGGGAGGTTGAAGCACAAATCCAGCTTCCCCTTATAAGCAATTTCCACTTGCCTTGTCGTGGATCTTGGGTTGAGGGGCTTTCTTGGTCAAGGGTTGGAGACCTTACTCAGCCCAGCCCCAGCACCTGGTCCACAGCAGGTGCAACACAGTTAGACACTGAGCTCCACGCTGAGCGTCTCCATGCCCCAGATGCTTTGCGGAGTGCTGGGAATGATAGGTAAATGAGATGCACATGCCATCAAGCCATAAGCTAGTGATGTGCCATAGGGGCTGTGACAGGGGATGGGCAAAGTGTCCTTCACAGGAGCCCTCAGCCAGGCACCTCCCTGAGAGACAGTGGGATTGTGGCGTGTGAGTCAGTCTTTTCTTTTTCTTGTTTTCCCAGGTGAGATACACAGAGGACTATGAACAGCAGAGAGGGAAGGGCAGTTTTCCTGCTATGATCACGCCTGCTTATCAGATAGCCAAAAGGGCCAACGAGCTGGCGAGTGATGTAAGTGGCCGTGGCAATGCTGTCATGTTAAGGAGGAAGCAGACAGCTAACCTGGGCCTGGGGAGTCCAACTTCCTGTCTACTCTCCCATGCATCCCGGAGCCAAGAAGTAGCTTTCCTTCGTAGTTTTCAGTCATTTTTGCCATGCTGATGACCTGGTACTTCTATGTCTAAGACATATTCCCTAGACTCAAGCAGAAAAAGAACATTCCATAAAACACTCATTTTTTTCCCCCTCTGGCTCCTGTGCATGGGAGGCTCAATTCAATTAGCTTGTCCTTTCCCTTCAAACAGGTGAGATACCATCAACAATATCAAAGAGAAATGAGAGGAATGGCGGGTCCAGCCTTTGGAGCCGAGGGCCAGGTATGAGCTAAATGACTTCCTGGGAGACTGGCCTGCCCCTGGCCAGTTCTCAGTTTGGCCCCTACTAGCTGTGACATAGCCTATGTCCCTTTAACCAGGGGACGGGCTGTGGATTATCTTTGCCCTGTGTGTGGATGGGGGATTCTCCAAGCCAGGAAGTAGCAGACAAATAATTACACAGGTTTCTATTTGAAGTCAGATTTCAAGCACTGTTTTCTTTAAGAAGCTCTATCAATATGGTGGCTCAGCCAAGAATAAGCCATTCTCATCTATTTATTGAAGAACAGACCCAAAGATTAAGACAGGTTATGTTTAGTTCATCATGACATTCAATGAGTTTGAGTAAATGAATGTCTTCCTTAGCTGCATAGTTTGATTTATTTGGCAACGAATTAGTTGACTCTACCTCATACAGGACCTATAAAATTAAATGACAAAAGAATTTATTTCTCTTTAGAAAAACAAGTCACCAGTTGTGGCCACATACTCATGTGTCTTAGGATATGTGTGGACATGGGCAGTGACCCCTTTGCAAATGTTGTCCTGAGGAAAAGAAGGCTTGGTTTTGAATTCAAAAGACCATTTTATTAAATTCTACAGGTTGATTACATGCTCTCTTGGTGCTTTATATTCAACAACAATGGGTTCTACTGGTTTCATATGTTAAATGTTGTCTAGAAGGCTTGAGACAACTTTTAAAAATGAGTGTTATTAAGAAATATCTGGCTTCTGTAGCCGTCAAAATATTTGATTCTGTATTTTGACAGTCCTTCCACCACTAGCTCTAACACATGTTTAGTGTGAGCATCGAGGCACGCCCATGCACATGGATGAAATATAATTTCTGAGATCATAGTTGGTTCTTAATTTTTAGGACACTTGGAAGTTTCCAGTCTTGATAATAACAAATACAAGAATCAAAGTGGGTGTCATTGGATTGCACCGTTAGCAGCTGCTGGTGTGGCATTTCACTGTGTGATTTAGCGTGACTCGCCAGGGCATGGGTAGGATGGAGTGAGAGAGGCAGACAGATAGCTATAAATATCTGTAATGCCTAAAATGCCAAGCAATTCATGCTTCTTTTAAACATCTAATTGGACTCGTTAAAATGACTATACTGTGTATTATATTTATCATTTGTAACCAATCAACTCCCCAATAGGATCAGGTATCTTACAAAAAGATTCTCTCTGTCTGTCTGTCTGTCTCTCTCTCTCTCTCTCTCACACACACGCACACACACACACACACACGCACACACAAAACCACAAGCACAAAACTGTAGACCAGGATGGGGAAAAACCCCATAAAGCAGATTGCTAAAGAATTTAAGAGTTTTTTGTTTTTGCTTATTATATTTGGCCCAGAATATTCTGGCAGTCAAGCAAAAAGGAGCACTCAGGCTAAACAGTTTTCATGACTGGACAAAAGGAAGCCTAGACATTTTAATTTGACCCAATTCTTTTACTTAAGAAAATGTGTGGGCCACAGTCCAGTCCTGGTGCTGGAGGAGGGTGGGTCCTGCCCCGGATGAGGCCCAGGAAGATGGAGTCATGAGCTGGGGGACACAGTTATGGGCATCGAGCAGCAAGAATGCAGAGGAGGGCGCAGCTGGTTCTGCCCAGGGTGGGTCTGGGATGAGGGAGGATCGGGGACACGCAAGAAAAAGTTGCATCTGAGCTGGTCTTGCAGTGCCTCTGGCTGCCAGGGAAGGGTGGCCCCAGTCACTTGATGGGAGCTTCATGAAAGAGAAGGTTTCTGTGGGAGCGGACGGGTGGCGTGGGGAAGAGGAAGGGAAAAGTTAAGACGAAGGTTACCACCCTCTGTCTTCAGTGCTCAGTTACTCCCGTTTCAGATAACTGATGTGACGTTTTCCCTCACAAATTGCAAAAATGGCAAAAGACCCCATTTCTGGTTTCATGACACACATCACAGAGGGAGACAGTATAGAGGGTGTCAAAGCATCTCTGTGCACAGATCTGCCATGGTACCTAAGTAAGATAATGTTCGAGACCAGGGGAAACAAAGGACTTCCCTGCTATCAGGAAGACATGAACAGTCCCTAGCACCATGGCACTGGGAGACTGGGAGTATCTTGATTCCTCTTGTGGAACTAAAGATAATGATCATGATAATAGTTACCATTTATTTACTGCTGTGTACTGTGCACCGTGAGCAGGCCTGACTCCAGGGTCTGGTGTCCTGATCACCACATGGTACAGCACCTGTGGTGGTCACTGGAATGCCGGTGTGGATGGACCTCTGTGGGAACAGGCTCTGGGACCAATCATTTCTGATCACCACCCAAAGTTTTGATTATCTCAGCAGGGTGACTTGGAGGAGTATGATGAGCCCAGGGGAAAGGGCAGCTTCCCAGCCATGATCACCCCAGCTTATCAGAATGCCAAGAAGGCCAACGAACTTGCTAGTGATGTAAGTACCATCAAGCAGGGTCAACTGGCGGCACCCCAGAGATAGAGGAACAATGAGACTTTGAAAGCTGTGCTGACTGAAACCTACACACAGGCACATTTCTTAGAGCTGAGCCACAGGGGAATGTTCGCCTAGCCCTCGACTCCCATCCACATTTTCTGATGTCTTCTTTTTTCTGTTAAGTCTTTGTTTACATTTATCAGCTTTGCAAGTAGATTGATATGGACAAACAGCACAACTCACTTTAGGTCTTTTGAAGCAAGTACAAATGCTGGTCCAGCCAGATAAGCAGGGATTAAGAGTCTCAACCAAAACCCATTTAGAAGTTGAGCATTTTAACGGAAGAGCTGATTAAAATAGGTTATATGATTATCAGACTGGGCGTAACCCAATGATAAGGTCCTTTTTATTTGCAGAATGTTAGCCAACAAGCAGTCCTTGAAAGATAGGCTATAATTAAACTTGGTAAAGTGAAACTTCACTGCAGACCTTAACAGTCTGACTTGAACTTGACCTCTAATCAGGGACCTCACATTCAAAAGATCCTTTTCCCTTCACCTTGACTCTGCTAAGGGTCAATTATCCACTTGCCAGAACGGCGCCACTTTTGCCTAAGAAAGAAAGTACAAGACATGGCCTCATTACCAGGCTAGAGTTAGGGTACTGGAACCTGGGTTTGAATTGGGCTGGAATGACATGATCGTTTTAGAACTACATTCTTTTTTCTCATGCAGAATTAGAGTGTAATGCGTAAGAAGTGTGAAAAGGTCCAGTATCATTTTAGTTCAAGAAGGACCAAGTAGTTTGTAGATGTAATGGAAGAAGAAGTCCACATGAATTCTTTGCCTTTAGAAAATTCTATTCAGTAAATGTTGACATTAAATCTGGGGTTATTTTGGAGATATGTTTCTCACAGAGAATGGAAATGGCAACTATAGATCTTCTTCGTATGTTTCTTTCAGATAAAATACAGGCAGGACCTGCACAAGATGAGGGGCGCCGCGCATTATCATTCTCTTCCAGCCCAAGACAACCTGGTTCTCAAACGGGCCCAGAGTGTGAACAAGCTTGTGAGCGAGGTGGGTATGGGGGGGTTACACTCCCCCACTGTCACCCCTTTGCCTCCTAGGCAGTAAAGGGGTGACCCTGTAATAAAAAGGGCCGTTAAGAGAGTGACACCACACATACAATCTGTGGGTTTCCAGTGTCTGAAGAGTATGTGGTAAAACACAATTAACAACAACACCAGGAGTCAAGCAAATTAAATTTTTCTTTGGTGGCTCAAACATGTCTTCCCAAGTCCTCACCAGGCTGTAGATAGTCAAAAGTGCCAGGCAGCAGATTTCTGGTTGGCAGAAAGAGTGCAGGACTTTGAAAACAGTATGATGTCATTATAGAGTGGAAATCCAAGGTCAGAGAGAATGTTTGACTTCCCTCCTTCTCCCATTATTGTAGCCACAGTTGGAGAGGCTGTGACTTCCTACCTCCCAGGTGGAGCTAGCTACCCGAGGGTGCGTGGTGTGGGTCTACCCTGTGCTTAAGCTTTGGGTACAACTTGGCAAGGAAACACCCCACCGTGTCCTCTCTGCACCCTCCTCTCTGTCCAGCAGCTCCTCTTACCCCAATCTCTTCTCTGGACCCAAATGGGCAACCTCCGGCAACACGGAGAGTGATGGCTACTAAAAGATTCACTTAACGAGTCATCTGCACCTCAGAGACAGAGATTCTTCTCTAACCTCTAAAGGCTGTTCCTTTCCCCCAAACTGTTTGTTAACCCATGGTTCTGCAACTTGGGACAACTTGGGAAAGTGTCACTCCTGAGTCTCATCATGCTTGGAAGTAGTAGATGGGTGTGGAGGCCTTGGCATCTGCATCTAAACAAATGTTCCAGCCGATTCTGATGCGCAAGACCATTGACGTACTACAACCTCAGCGTCCAATCCAGCTCGCAGTCTGTTTTAAGAAGTGTTGTTTTGTTGGAACACAGCCACATAGTATTCACTTACATATTGTCTGTGGCTGCTCTCGGGCTACCTAGGCTCTTGGTGTAGAGGCCACATGGTGGCAAAGCCTAAAATATGTACTGTCTGCTAATTTTGTTAGCTCTAGATTAGGCCATCACTTTGTCATGGGCCTGTAAAAGATAAGTGTCTGGTTCTGATTCATAGAGACTCTCAGGGACTAAGGTGGAGTGAGACCCCTGGTGGTTCAGCTCTGCCACCCTGGAATAGCACAGTTAACATGTTTGGCCTTTTCCTATGCACATATATAAACAACTGAATATATGAATATAAAGACATATATGTACAGTTAGGATTCAACTATATCTACAGTTTTATATATTTTATCTTAAAATCATAGTGTGAACATTATAATGCATTTTGCATATTTTAAAGGACATATCCCCACTATATAGTTTTATAAAATACTATAACAAATGAAGTTGTACTTCCTTTGGTAAGAAGCCACAAGTGAACCTTTGATTTCTTTTTTGCCTTATGTTTCTCCAGTAAGACCAGCCAGCTCTGCCTCTATAAATAGTGATCGTCCTCAGCCGCGTTCTGCAATTACTCAGGGCGACTCAGAGTTTAATTTAATAACTACAGCCTCATGGCTTCTTCCAGGCACCCAGGGGAGCTCAAATAGCCAGGCTGCTTTAAATTGAAGACGCTCTTCATCAGGGTGATCTCCCTTGTTTTATTCTTTAATAAAGTGCCTTTTGGGGTAAAATTTTAGTGATGTATATATAGAGAGGTGCATATACCCTGAGTGTGTAGTAGGAAGAATTTCTACAGGTGGCCGTGACTCCTCATAATCTCTCCTACACTGTTCCCTCTAAGACTCCACCTGATTTCTAAAATCAGTTTTCCATTGTTTTTTTTTTTTTTTTAATTGTTTTGTGGTGCTGGGGGTCAAACCAAGGGGTTTGTGTGTGTTCAGCAATTGCTTTACCACTGAGCGTCCGTCACCCCCAACCCCAGTTTTTCCATTTTTATTCATTTCAGCTGTATGTTTTTATAGTATTTGTTCTTGAAAAGGACCATATATTTTTACTTTGCAGAATGAAATTGATTATTACTTTATTATTTGTTTTTTACTAAGGAGAACACATAGTTATAGCATCCTATGCCTGGTATTTTAAAATATGGGGTTGAAAGTTTTCTAAAACCACCTCAATGAAGTTCTGGAAATGTTTTCAAGAGGGACATGGGGTTTGGTTCTATTGCGCATCTGGTGTTTTGGTTCCCAAGGTGGAATATAAGAAGGATCTGGAAAGTAGTAAAGGTCACAGTATCAACTACTGTGAAACGCCTCAGTTCAGGAACGTGAGCAAGATCTCAAAATTCACCAGCGATGTGAGTTGCTGATGCCTAAGCATTTGCATGTGTCCCTGTGTCTTGGAGAAGCAGGGGCTCCCAGGCATGAGTACCTGTGAGTTTTGGTTAAGGTTGCCTGCTGGGATTGGGCGATGTCGAATTCTGTCACATCCTTCCTCTCCCTCGCCACACTTGACTTTGAGTCCTCAGGGCGGGACCTGTCCTCTCTGTCTTTCTGAATCCCTTGCACACAGCCCAGTGTCTGCTCCTAATGACAAATGCTGGTGAGGGAGCCTGGCTGAGCATGGGACTTTGTGCTTCTGAGTGAATGCATGATCTCACTTAACTCTCACGGTCATCTGGGAGCCAGACATTCTCTCCCTACCTCAAAGATGAGCAGATACATGCTGGAGTGGCATTTGTGAATCTGGACATTCTCAGAGAAAGCCTGGCGATGTAGGCTTGAGGATATCAAGAACCTGTTCTAGAGTGTACGATTTTACTTCTGCTTAGCTCTATTAATAGTAGAATTCACAATCACAAGTGACCTTGTAAGGCTCAGTAAGAAATTTATTTTGTATGAAGGTTCTAGTTAAGAGGACCAGTTTTGGAACTAACATACTTGGTGCCATATAGTTACCCAAGAGTGCAAGTCAGTTAAGCTCTCTGAGCTACTTTGCCAATCATTCAAATGGGGATGATAATAAATCCTTCTTCTTCATAGAGTGGCTGGCAAAGGTTAACTGAGATAAATAGAATTGTGTCTAATATATAGCAATAGTATTCTACTTAAATGCACCGTGGGCCTGGAGACTCAGTGACCTCTCAGGGTGGGTGATTTTAATGAAACGTCATGAAGCTACCCAGATTTTCCTATTTATGACTTCGCATCATTCCATTTTGATCTTTTCTTTACTTGATGTTATTTGAGACATAGCATCATTCTTTCACATGGTTGCAGTGACCATCTTTTATGTCACAGAATTTGGCAAAGGTCTGGTCTTCTTCATATACAGTCACTCCTCTGCATCCGTGGGACATTGGTTTGAGAACCCCCTTGTTGGGTACCAAAATCCTCAGATGCTGAGGTCCCTTATATGAAATGGCTTAGTAATTGCATATAACCTGTGTACATCCTCACACATACTCTACATCATTTTTAGATTGCTTATACTACCTAATATAAGTGCCATGTCAATAGTTGTTATACCATATTGTTTAAGAAACTGTGACAATAAAGTCTGTATGTGTATAACACAGATGCAATTTTTTAAATGAATATTTTCATTCTATGATTGATTGAAACATGGTTCTAAATTCCATGGAGGCAGAGGACTGACTATATGTGGAAGTAGAAGTTATTTCATGCAGTGGCTTGTACCAGTCCCCAGCCTGGGACTGTATCCACAGCATCTATACAATCAGAGCTTATCCAGTAATGAGCTCCACATTCTCGTGGTAAGTTTTCACATTGGAAAAGGTAAATTTAAAACAAAAAATATAAAAATAAACAAGTAAGTCAAATCTGCTTTGTGCTACCAGTGCCCGTCAGACCCATGCTCCCGAGTGCTTATCTGCTGTCTTGACCCAACTTCTTGTGCTCGCTTGAAATTTAAGTGGTTAGAAAAGAAGTTTGCTTTATTTTTTATTCACTGGTGTACTGACTTCTTAAATAGGTTCTATTTAATCATTTATAGTTTGGATTCTGTGCATTAAGACAAGTAGTTCGTCTTCAACAAGTAGGGAAGCTTTTGCTAAAAGTTTTGTGTTTCTACGTAGAATAAATATAAAGAAAACTACCAGAACCACATGAGAGGCCACTATGAAGGAGTTGGCATGGACAGACGCACACTTCATGCTCTGAAAGTTGGCAGTCTGGCCAGCAATGTGAGTGCTTGTGCAAGGGCCTCCAGGGGTGGAGAGGCATGGGGCATCACAAACTCAGCTAATTGTTTTTTAACTTCTCTAAAATACTTACGTTCTCCTGGGTAAAGACAGACCCATAAGAATTTCTAAATGTTAACCAACACAACCAAATATATGTTTCATCCCTTAAATTTTTTAAAGACTCAAAGTGTATTTTTTTTTAGCTTTCTCTGATTTGAAGAGTACTTAGATCTATTATAATTGATCCAGTATGAAAAGAACTTTCGGTTTCTGAGTGATAAAGAGAAATGGATAAGCATGACTCGTATTTGAAACCCCACCTCCCCCAGGATTCCAAGGTTTTTGTGATTTATTTGGAGTTTGTTAGGTGGTTGGTGAGTTTGTCTATTTGCTTATCCAGTCTTCATGTTCATTGAAGACCTACTATGGCTAGGCAGTGGGCAAGGTAATGGGATCACAGAATAGAACAGGTTCTTGTTTTCCTTGTAGCATGTAATTATTAATCTCTCTTTGGCTTTATCAATCCAATTCACAGAGTTTCAAATTCGAGGTTGTAAACCTTGGAGGTCAAGGACACTGAAAGGAAACTGCTTTCATTATGCAGATGTCAGTTTTCTCTGCTTGAGAATGTCCAATTTGACCTTAAAGAAAAAAATAAATAAATACTCTGAAGACTCAACTTTTTATTCCTTTTCTGGGGGTGAGCTAAGAAGTACCTTCATGGTTTACCCATGAGCACATGCTCTTTGTTAAAAATGACAAGGAGTCTCATCATTAAAAAGAAAGATAAATGCACTACAGATGGAAGTTAACTAATGTTTGATTAATGAAGAAGAATTCAAATTAATTAAAGGCAAACGTGTGAACATAACTTAATTTTCCTTGGAGGTGATGCAACTGAATTAATTTTGTTTCTGGCTATTTTAAAAGTATTTCTTATAACATTCAAATGAGGTCAAAAGAAAACAGGGACTGATTTCTTTTTTCTTGTTCTTTGGATTTCAGGTTGCCTACAAGGCTGATTATAAACACGATATTGTGGACTACAACTATCCAGCCACCCTTACTCCTGCCTATCAAACAACAATGAAACTGGTTCCCTTGAAAGATGTAAGTCCTCTTCTAATGGCACTTTTATTTATTACTTGCCACTTCCTCCCTTTGGGACTATTCTTAGGAAGGAAGAGGGACAGAAACTAGATAGACCGCTCGCTGGCGGAGATTGAAGGGACTTGAGAAAGGGGGCTCTTGCCCCTGGGAAGTCCACCCATGCATGGCTGAAAACTCAGGTTTTCAATGTAAAGTGGGGCCAACTCTGTTGGTCTTGAAGATACCCTGAAGTTCCTTTTCTTCTCTTAGAAATGAACTGTGGGGGCATTTAGGATCGTTATTTCTTAGCAATGATGATTTTTGTTTTAAGCTTTGGAGTATAGTATGTTAAGGACTGAAGGAAGTCAAATAAAATGAGCAGATGGATATAAGTTGAAAGTAAGTGATAACGTTGACTGAGCTTTTTCTCAGGAGCATTTTGGAAAGTATATATATCTGGGTGTGTGTATGTATATGTAGATAGCTATATCTATCTATCTCTCCCTAACTGTTACAGCATTGAATATTTTAAAAGTTTGGCTTGCCCCAAACAAACTAGTACAATTCAGTTGATTGTTTTCTGATCATAAGAATTTTGCTACATGTTTAAAATGAAAAATTCTGAAAACACAGAAAAGTACAAAGAAAAAGATAAAAGTCATTTGCTATCTTAAAACGTTCTTAAGGTGGTCTGTAAGTGAGTGGCTACCATCGTTCTTGGTCAGTGAAGGTAGTCTCTGATCAACAATTTAATACACAGTTCTGCATATATTTATTGAATGCCCAGCGTTACTTTCCTTCAGTTCCTTTGGGATCATCATGACTCCAGTATTTGACTCGGGTTTCCCCACTGGTGCATAAGGCTTCACCCTGCTCTCTCTCTTGCTGACAGTTGGAGCAGTAGGATGTGGTTGGGTCTAACGCAGTGTTCTGGACATCAGAGCACACGCATAGCAAAGGATAGTCTATAGGATGAAAGGAGATGGGAAGCAGAGGAATGTCAGCCTCTTTTTCCCCAGAAGTGTCATTGGGTTGACTTACTCATCTCACCTCAATGAAGCCAAAGTTAAAGTTGGCCATCACCAAAGTTACTTTCTCTTTTACCTGCAAATATTACCTGAGACACTTGCCAATTAAGAGTACTTCATTAAACCTCCAGTGTGTGCTTGTGCAGCAGAGTTCTAGAAATCATGCCTAATAAATAGCACAAACAAAACAAGATCAAAGCCTACAATTTTGTTATCCCATTATAACATGACCTGAGACTACATTTTTCCATAGAAGACTCTGGATCTAACTGTACACCTGAAATATAGCTAGCCCACTTGGGACATCTGATCCAAGAATTAACTTAGACTGAATGAGGGGTGTTGCTTTTAGAGATAGGTACTAAACTGGCAGGGCATGAGCCACAAGCAGGCTTCAGGAGTATTGTTTTGTTTGGTTTGGTTTTTGGATACACATATTTAAAAAAAATTGAAGTTGTGACTAGGGGAATTCATATTTTCATCTTTTCTTGAAAAGTCTGAAAAGCCTGGGAAAAGAAGTCCCACTTTCTGCATGGTGGCAGTTGTCTGGGACTGAATGGTGGCTGTTCCCGTAGTGTGACTTAATCTCTTTGACCTTTCCTTCCTGGCTCTGGTGTGAATTTGAGTTCATTGTCCCTAACGTGGGGACTTTAGTGTTCAGGAAGTTTGGGGGAAATCCATTTGCAAGAGCATTTGTGTCCTCTCTGTCTGATAGCATTAAAAGTGGTGAAATAACTATGAAATGCATGGGCCCTTAATTAGAGAGAATTCCCTTTAGATGGATTTTATAAACACTAATAGAATTAAAATGAGACTCTATATTTAGCGAAGAAACCCTTCAGAATGTAGATTGGAGCAATGGCCAGGCATTTGTGATGTTGCAAAGATGTGATTAATCATGGAGACTGTTAATTATGTCCTGCAGAGAAAAGTAATTGTACTCTGTGACATACTTAATGCAGAATTATCGGGAAGGAAGATGCCATTTAAAAAATATAGTTTTCATGACATTTTATCATGCATAATTCTGAATTCTAATAGACTCCATTATGAGTTGATAAGTTTTCACTCTGAATTAATGCATTAGGAAGTCACAGTACTGTAATCTCATTAATAGTTGACTTTGAAATGACTTTGTATTTCCTAGTTTTTCCTATGCACTCAGGACACAGACAAACTTTTCTCCTTGAATCATGGAATAAAAAGTATAAAGAGGTGCTATCCTTGACTCCAAATCCAACAAAAAAACACTCTGAGGCCCAGTGTATTTTTCCTAGATCCTGTTCTAGAGGTTAACTTGTAAGTCATCGTTTTTACATGGAACACATTTCCCTGTCTAAAGCAATACTAGCTCTGGCTATGGGGAACCTCTCATCCATATACCAGGTGAACAGTCCAAGCACACTAGCTTTGGCAAACCAGGTTTCTAGTGCATAGATTAAGAGCCACGCCTGGGATTCAAATCCAAGCTCTGACATTAGTAAGTCACCTGAGGTCTCTGTGCCTTAGTTTGCACATTATAAGGTAGGGATGATAGTAGTGCCTACTGTTAGGGTGGTTGGGAGAATTAAATAAGTTATGTGTGAGAGACTTGGAGCACTGCCGGGGACACAGTGAGTGTCCTGGTGTTGGTCATGACAGACAAGAATGAAGGGAGTACAGACCAGGGAAGACAATGGCATACGAGCAGCAGCCAGCAGACCCAAAGTGGCCATTAGGTCTATTTCATTTGCATCCCTGAATTTTAAAAATATTAAATTGTTTTCCAGCATTTAAAACTGCAGGATTTTTCATGATAATATGTATTCCTGGCTTCTTTGGAATAATTGGAATGTCCCACAGATATTGGTGGCCTTCAGGCTGCAACTCCCCGACATGGGCTACCATCTCAGGGAGGCAGCACCCAGAGATAGCAACAGGTGGACAAAAGGACAAAGACATAAGGCTGTAGTGTAGATAGACAGGAGATGGGCTGGGGCCCCTGTGAAGGGCAGAGCCAGCTGCCGAGAGCAGACGGGTGGCCATGACTGCAGGTCCAAGCAGAGATGGCAGTAGACAGTGGGGACACAGTAAGGGGTGTGGGGTTCCTAGGCAGGATGCAGCCCCACAGCAGCTGCCATCTACTGTGGGATCCTGGGTGGGGTTGGGGGCTTCAGGGAATACACCAGAGATGTGCAATGTGCCTGGGGGAAGTTTGGTGGTGATCAGCCCCACAAGCCAAGCCAGGGCCTAGCAGGCTCAGGGCCCTGACCTGGAGCCTATGGGCAGATAGGCTCAAGTGTCTCGAGGGACTGTGTCATTTAGGGTCCTGGAAGCAAGGACCCATCAGCAATACCTACGTGCTCACTCTGCACAGGCATCTGTGACAGTTGAAGGAATGAATGAATGAACAAGTGGACGGGTGGGAGGGACCAGGAAGGTGTAAGGGAAGAAGGGCAGGATTAGGGATGAGTTGACTTCTTCTTTTACCTGGATTTCCAGCTAGCCTGCGTGTGCAATTACTCAAAAGAGTCCTTAACCATCCAAACCTACCCTCATTTCTTTCACCCCAGATCTCCTTCCTGCTAGATAGGTTTGGGGGCCTCCTGCTCCGCTCAGCTCAGCACATCCCCTGCCCACCTGCTTTAAGCTGCACACCTGGGCCTTTACTCCCCGGCTCCAGTTCCCTTTGCCTGGGAGGTGCATCTTGGTCAGGTGTGTTTGGAGGAAGACACGATTGGATGAATACGGTTTCATGTGCAAATAGCTAATAACCCTTCACTCTCTAAAAAGCAATTTGCATTCTCAAAAGAGAAAGTTCACTAGTCCCAAATATCTTGAAATGGGAAGCCTGGTGCTGGAAATCCCGCCTCCTCCCCTTCTGAACTCACTGCTTCCATTGAAGTGCTGAGCTAAGAGCAGTTTTCTTGGGAACTCTCACCAAGTGGAAGTGAGGGCCAGGCAGGGGCTGGTGCACAGCTGCAGTCACCCTAGGCTGTCCCTGTGAGGGGCCACTGATGCTCCTTTGCTTCCCACTCAGAGACGTGTATGGGCGTGGGTGGACTTGTTTTCTCTCTTTCATTTTCCTTTTAAACATCCCTTTTTTGTGAGGAATAAGACATACAGAAAAGCATAGCAAGTGCAGACATTCACCTTGAATTTTTATAAAGTGACCGTGTGCAGATCTTCCTTGAGAATAACCCAGGAATCGCATTATTGGGACATGGAAATGTGTATTTGCCAAAATGCCATACCGTTTTCCAAAGCTATTGTGCCAATCTGCACGTCTGTCTGTGGCATTATAAGGGTTTCTGTAGCACCACGTCCTTGCCAACACTTGATATTCTCAGCAATTTTAATTTTCTCTTTTCAGGTGGGTGTGGAAGTATATCCTGTTGTGATTTTAGTGTGCATATCTCAGGTTCATAACGTGGACAAGCAGCTCTTCCTGTGTCCACTGGCCAGTGAGTGGGCCTCTTTTTTGAGTGTGCTATTTTCCTGTCTGTTGGCTCAGGATGTCTGTTGGCATCCAGTTGAAATCTTTGGTTCTTTTTCTAATAATTTGAGAATCACCAATTGGTTGGGTTGGGGAAGGGACCCAAGCAAATCTTAGAGAAGAAAAAGAAAAAACCAAGTGACATCTCTCTGTGCCTGTTTTTACCTAGGTCAACTACAGGCAAAGCATCGACAAGCTGAAGTACAGCTCTGTGACCAATACTCCGCAGATTGTTCAGGCCAAAATCAATGCCCAGCAACTGAGCCACGTAAGTCACCTGCCCCAGCCCGGCTGGATGTGGGGGTCTTGTGATCACTGTGAGGCCTCTGAACATCTAACTCCCAAAGATTTGACTTTTAATAACAGCATCATGTCTTATTATGACCACGAAATGATCCCCCTCAAAAAATTTTTATTATGGAAAATTTCAAATGCATTCAAAAGAGAATAACATAATGAATCCTCATGTACCTGATCCTCAGATTCAGCAAATACCCACTCATGCCACATCCTGCTTCATCTATAGACCCACCCACACACCCCCCTATTATTTTGAAGAAAATAACTTAATCATAAATATTTTACATATGTGAATCTTTAAAAGATGAAAAAGTTTAAACATGTTTATACCATTTTAATACATCACACCAAAACAACAAACAAGACGTCCTAACAATAATCCTTAATGTCACCAGTGTCCAAAGTTCAGAGTTAGTTTTTGTTCAAGACTACATCTTAAATGATGCTGTGTCCTTCCTTAAGGAATCACACACCTCGCTAGCTTGTGTGTGTGTGTGTGTGTGTGTGTGTCTGTGTGTTTTAAGATGGCTCTTTCTTCAAATGAGCATTTGGTAATTTCTTATTGAGGATCTACCCTACATACGGCAAAATGTTCAGCACCACAGCAAGTTACAAACATTAGTTTCATACCTTCAAGGGCTTGTAAAGGGAGTTGGTGAAGTTGTCGCAGGGATCTCTTTTTTAAATACACAATTCTGAGTGTGCCTTTGAGTTGTTTATGTTTTCAATCGGCCCCTTCTATCTATTAATTAGAAACATTCCCCAGATTACAAGCTTCTTTATAAAATGCCTTTTCCAGAAATTCCTTCCTAGTGATGGATCTCAGGGGAAAGTGGGAAAGAGTGTCTCCCCCAAAGTTCTCCTTTTGCCCATATAAAAAACCTGTAGCTGTGTTTTCAATCCCTCAGGTGAATTACCGCGCTGACTATGAGAAAAACAAGTTGAATTACACACTGCCGCAGGATGTGCCTCAGCTGGTGAAGGCCAGAACTAACGCTGAACTCTTCAGTGAGGTGAGCAGACAATGGGAAGGACACAGAGGGGGACGTGGGTGGATGTGAACATGAAGGATCCGGCATGGTCCAACAGCAGGGAACCTTCTATTCTTGAGAGAGGTTTGTCAAAGGCATCCATTGCATTTTAATTTTGAACTTTGCCATCTTGTGGCATCCATTCACTAGGGACGAATTGGTCAGAGCAACTCAATTCTCATTACCCGAGCACATGTATGGCCTGTGAGAACACTGTACAACCATCATCAGCACCATCATCGCCATCACCCTGGTGACTTCTGACTGGTGACTTGCTGTGTGAACAAAACACAGACTTCAAGAACAATCTTAATTGCTAGAGTCTTGCAGAGTCACTGGTGGGCTGTGATTAGGCTTCTCCTTCCAGATTGGATTTGTGGGACAGGAGAAAATAACCCCAGAACTAATGTTTTTTTGAAAACCAGTTCTATACTGGAGCAGCTGGTATGATGTGACATGATAGGATACAGAGTCAGCATAACCCTCAGGAGCTGTTGTAGGGACACAGTTGTTGGCATGGGCTTTGAGATTTGGTAGACCTGGGTTTTAGATATAGGTACAGACAGTTTTTACCTGGGTGACCCTAGGTGAGTTCTTCAATTTCTCTGAGCCTCGAAGGCCTAATGAGAAGATTTGCAGTTAGTGAGTTAATGCATTTAGGTCAGCACCAGCAAAACATAGCTGCTGTTACCATGGCAATATCAATACCTTCTATGTCAAGGGCACTTGGCCAGGTCAGCATTTGTTACCGTATACCATATCTAAGTCATTCTCACAGCACCTCTGAGAAAGAGGAGATGGTATTCTTTTTTTTGTAAATGGTAAAATCAAAGCCCAAAGATGTAATTACCCGTAGTCACATGACCAAGAAATAATAGAGCTTTGTCCTGAACTGTCCATGTGGCCCTCTAGTTAAGGAATCAATGAACTGTGTTAATAGTTATTATTACTATTTTTATAATAGCACCCAAGGACTCTGGCCTGTAAGCTGTTAAAGAAACCTTCTTTCCTTAAAGAAAAATTGTCTTCAACTTTTGGGAGGACTGTAGGTAGCAATTCCTGCTCACCTGTGTTTTTGTTTGTTAGGTTAAGTACAAAGAAGGCTGGGAGAAGACAAAGGGGAAAGGATTTGAGATGAAGCTGGATGCCATGTCTCTGTTGGCCGCCAAAGCCTCGGGGGAGCTTGCTAGCAATGTAGGTTTTCTCTCATTAACTCAGAAATGGATAAGGAATGGTTCCAATAACGTGTCAGTGGTCCTGCTGAAAAAAAAAAATAATGACTGTTAACATTGTAAACATCGCAGTACTTTAATCTTCTGGATCCACGGAAGATGGGGAGGTGTTTTCTCAGAATAGTTCTCCTTGCATTTGTTAAACCGAGCCCCTTGGACGGCAAGGTTTCTCTCTCACTCACAGTCGTCTTTCTTTTTTCTCTCAAGATTAAATACAAAGAAGAATATGAGAAAACAAAAGGCAAAGCCATGGGAACAACCGACTCGAAGCTTCTGCACTCCCTGCAGGTGGCCAAGATGAGCAGCGAGGTAGATTCCCTTTCCACCACCGCCCCCCCCCCAGCCCTTTACCTAAAGTTATGTTACTTTCAAAGTTTTTCCTGGCAACTTCACCTGGTCATTTAGGATAGCACCAGCAAACCGTATTTTTGATTTCTTATTATTATTGATTTCTGCCTGCAACTCTTTTCTTTCCTGACTTGTGTAAGAGGTTTGCTCGCTTTCTTTATTTTAGTGAGCATGCTCTTCTTTTAAAGTAGAGGAAGAGTGTAGCCTAACCGTGACAGCCTCTGCCAATCAAGGTACAGAGGTGTTTGGCCACAGTTATTTAATCCACACAGGTTTACCAAGCAGTTACTATGGGCAAAACACTTATGAGACACTGGGAGCTCCTAATGAGTTTCTCCCTCATGGAGCTTAGTTCTGCTGGGAAAGTGGCTTAGTCTATTTTTTTTTTTTTTTTGCTAAAATAGAATATGTGAGACTGGAAATTTATAGAGAAGGAGGTGGTTTATTCAAGACTGCATTTGGTGAAGGCCTCATGTAGCATCACCGTGGTGGGAAAAGTGGGCAGGCAAGAGAGTACCTGCAACAGGGAGAACACAAGTGTGGCCTTGCTCTTCATAGCACATTCTTTTTTTTTAAGTGCTCAAAAATCTATTAATCAGATAAGCATAGTTATAAGTATCAGTACATATTTTATAAATATTAATATAAAATATGAATTGCAGAATACAGCATGCTAGTCTATATAATAATCTCTGATGTTTATATCACAATGTAGTAGCCCATTCTTGTGATGATTAGTCCGGTCCCATGAGGGGGAGAACCAGCTCCCTACTGAGACACAGTGTCTTCTCATGTGGCTCCCCTCCACGTGACCCAAACACCTACCACCAAGCCCCACTTCCCCACTGCCTCATTGAGGGATTAAGCCTCCAAATGTGTTTTGGTGATGGGAAACCATGTTCAAATCTAGCAGGGAGCTAGGCAGTAAGCATCTCACTCATTGTGGTGATGTTCTGGAAGAATCCTGCAATCACAACATACATGGTATTCAAAGTGTTTACCAAACAACCAGGACATCCCAGGCTCCAACCAATAAGAATGATACTTCTTGTAAACAACTCTGGTGGCTGGAGATTAACCATGATAAATATCAGTTACCAAAGGGCGAGTCGGGGGGATCCTTTGGGGAAGGAGAGCATGGCTAGAAGGGACACACCTAGTTCCTAATAGAGTCTTCCCTGCCAACACTGAGCAGGCAGAAAGGGCCCACAAGCCCTTTGAGTTCCTGCTCTATGACCACTGCTCAAAGCTGCAAAGCCAGCTTATGCAGCTCTGAAGGTACAGGTGGACATAATTACCCGACAAAGCCCTTAAGAGGTCATGACTTAGCTGGGCACATGGCACACGCCTGTAATCCCAGTCGTTCAGGAGGCTGTGACAGGAGGATCGTGAGTTGAAAGCCAGCCTGAGCAAGGCACTAAGCAACTCAGTGAGACCCTGTCTCTAATCAAATACAAAATAGGGGCTGGGGTTGTGGCTCAGTAGTTGAGTGCCCCTGAGTTCCATCCCTGGTGTATCCCTCCCATCCTGACAAAAAGAGGTCATGATTTGAATGGAATATGTGCATTGGCCTCTGGGTTGCCTCTGGATGTGTCTACAGAGCAAGCCCTGTGAAATGCAGTCATGAAGCATAAAGAGGCATGGAGAATTTGGCTTAGTTTAGACAGAGAATGAATTGGTATTTTTATGCAGTTGGAGCAACTGAGGGTCATAAAGATGGTATCTTGCCCAAAGTCATAGGTAGTCAGGATAGAGATTAGACCCCAGAGCTCGTGCTAGCTGGCCTACCTCCTTCTACTCCAGCACCCTACCTTCCCCACCACATGCCATACTCATCTCTCACCTCCATCACTATGATCACCACCAACACCACCACCATAATTACCACCACACTACCATCATCACCTCCATCATCACCACCATTACCACCAAGCTCTTTATTACCACCATCACCACCAGACCACCATTCTCACCATCGCCACCATCATCATCATACCAGGATCCCCATCACCATCATCATGGCAACCATTACCACCATGAACCACTATCATCACCATCAGGACCACCATCTTCACTATCATGGCAACCATTGTCACCATCATCAGCATCATTACCACCATCATCAGACATCATCATGGCCACCCTCATCACCAACATCATCATTGCATCATTACTGCATCTCGTCACTGTCATCCTCATCATTTACATTTATCATGTGTTTGCTGTGTGACAGTCCCTGGACTAAGCACATTTCTGCTCCTCTTTCATATACTTATTACAACCGTTTCAAGGAAAGTGAGCCCTCAGGGAGGTGACATACCTTTCCAGAGGTTTCCCAGCTGGTAAAGGACAGATCAGGCTTGAGCTCAGGCGTGACTGGCTCTGAAGCCCAAGCTTTGTAATTGTGCTTCTGCAGATAGAGTGCCCTCCTGGAGCAGCCAGGTAAAAAGAGTTAAGATCCATAATCGAGAGGTATCCCAGAGACAGGTGGAGCCACAGCAGCCTGCAACACTGGCTTACAGAGCTAAGCTCTGGGTCAGAGCTTTCTTACAGATGGGTGGCATTGAAGGTACCCATTCCTCCTGAAAGCCTGGGAATCTTGTGTTTTCACATCACTTCTGCAAGAGCAGCCTTTAGGTAATGGGCCTTGCTTTGGTACACCCCAGGTTGAATACAAGAAAGGCTTTGAAGAGAGTAAGACCCACTTTCACCTGCCCATGGATATGGTAAACATCAGGCATGCTAAGAAGGCCCAAGCTCTTGCCAGTGACCTGGATTACAGGAAGAAGCTGCATGAATACACCGTGCTGCCTGAAGACATGAAGACTCAGTGGGCCAAGAAAGCCTACGGGCTCCAGAGCGAGGTGAGCCCTCCCTCACTGGCAGCTGTGCCCACATCTCACAACTAGATACACTCTCCGTTTGAACTTGTGCATGAGACTATTACATAACTTAGAGGACTAGGAGGAACTTCTGGAGATGTTAGGCTCAGGGAGGACAGGAAGGAGGCCGAATCATGACAGCACAGACTCAGGTGTGATGGATGGAGGTGTGGGGCTCAGAGCCAATGGGGAAAGTTAAGATGTGTTGGCACAAGCAAAGGGGAAACAAATCTTGGAAATTTAGCAGGTTGACAAAGAAGGTCCTTGGTTAAAATATATGAGAACTGGTCTTTAAAAATTTATTAAAATTTTTTTGAATTTATTAAAATTCTTTTGAATTTAAATTTTTAAGAAGCCTACAATTTATCCAAAGAGTAATTTCAAATTTATTAAAATTTTTTAAAATTTATATTTGTTCTTTTTAGTTATACACGGCAGTAGCATCTATTTTGATATATTTTTTGTAAGCATGGAATATATATTAATTCTAATTGGGATGGAGAAATGGCCTTTCTGTTAAGGTTGTGGTGTTTGAACACTTAAGTAGGACAGGATATTCTTACTACGAGGCAGGCCCAATGGCTTTACCTCCCAAGCAGAGAGGAGGGGGCATAAGGGAGGAGGGGGCAGTTCTTCTGGGAGAAAAAATGCAGCATCGAGAGCTTCCTGACTCTTGCACCAAATTTGTCCTGTCTGCACCTGTGTCTGTGCTGAGAGCCGGTGGTGTTTCTCTTGCAGCTACAGTACAAGTCCGACCTGGCGTGGATGAAGGGAGTCGGGTGGCTGACTGAGGGCAGTCTCAATTTGGAACAGGCCAAGAAGGCTGGACAACTGGTCAGCGAGGTAACCTGAGCTTATGCACCTGGCTTTCAGTCGTTCTCAGCCCAAGTCACCGAGAGTGACCTTAGCGTCTGATTCCTCCTCCTCACCCCAAGCTTTTAATTTAGATGTGATTCATGGGAGAGTACTTCTTCATTTTACATTTGCAGCACATTCTGAACTAACTTTCTACACCCTTAAACTTCCTGGAGAGGGATTTTTAAGAAGCCTACAATTATCCAAAGAGTAATTTCATACAGAAAGATTGTGCAGGTTGAGCATCCCTAGGCTAAAAGCCTGAAATCTGAAATGCGCCCAAATCCAAAAGTTTTTAAGCACTAACATGATGCCCCAAGTAGTAAATTCCACACCATGAGACTTTGTTTCACATATAAAATTATTTAAAATATTGTATACTCTGGGGCATAGTGGTGCATACCTGTAATTCCAGCAACTCAGGAGCCCAAGGCAAGATTATTATAAGTTGGAGGCCAGCCTCAACAACTTAGTGGGACCCTGTCTCAAAATCCCCTGGATACATTCCCCAGTAACACACACACACACACACACAAAAATTATATAAAATTACATTGAGACTATGTGGATGAGGTATATGTGAAACATAAATGAATTTTTTTGTTTAGATCTGGGTCCCATTCCCATGATACCTCTTTATGTCCATGTGAATATTCCAAAATCCAAAAACATCTGAAATCCAGAAAAGGCATTTTGGATTAAGGGAAACTCAACTGGTAATGTTTTTCTTGTGTGAGGAGGATGTGATTGCTTCTGAATCAGAGTCTGATAATTGCAGTGAGCATTCTTTTTATGCCTGGGCCTTAACTGCCTTGCTGACTTCAGACACGTCACTCACCATCCTGACCCCTTTTAAAATGAGAAGGTTGAACAGGACAGTCCCCAAGGGCCCTGGAGCCCTAAGCCTATGCATCTCTTTATGCCACGGAATGGCAGCAGGCAGAAGAGGACTTTGGAAGGACATTTAATTTGGAAGTGTGACTATTTCAGGAACTTTGTTTGGGATCTTCAAAAGGGATTCTTGTCTCAGTGCCAGGAAGGCTGAGTCGGCATATCTCTTGCAAATGATAATAATAGTGATCAAATAGGTACCATTATGGACTGATGATAATTGTCTAATCACTGGTGCATTTGATTGACCACTTTGAGTGCATTAATGCAAACTGCTATTTATAGGTTACGACTGTCCTATATGGGTAGATATGATGATACTATTAATATTACCATTTTATGTATGAGTAAAGTGAGACTTGAGTCAAACTTTAGGTGGGTAGCAACCTGGGGTTTGTACCCAGCCTGGGAGACCTAGTGCCCTAACTGTTGTCCACTAGGCAACAGGTAATGTTGCCAAAAGCATATTTTGTCATTTATTCTTACCTTTCCACTGCCCTTCTCTCAGACAAAGACATTTAGGGCCAGTCTGTATAAATAAGGAAGGTAGAAAGAGAGAAATAATCCTTTGGGGTTCCCACTTCCTAGCTTCCTGGAGACTCGCTCATTTCCAGGTGGAACAATGAAAGCCTGTTCTGTCTTGGATAGGGGTGCAGTCTGGAAGGGGACCCAGGCAGTGGGTCCTTTATCCTCAGGAACATCAATTTCTATCTCACTTCTTGCGCTGGCTACAGATTTTTAAGCTGTTTGGGGCCAAGAGGATTTTTCCCCTTCACTTTTTTTTATATGGCAGAACAGATTTTTGCCTCCTTAGAAAGTAGTTAGTAAGTAAATTTGAGCAAGGCAGAGTCTGGGGTGACTGGAAATGTCAACAATGGAAGAGCAATGTGACATCACATGGTGAGGGGGTTTTCCTATTCTACACAGTGAAACAAGGAAGGAAAATTTGAAGACTCTTTAGCATATTTTCTTTAGACCCCTTTTTATATAAAAGGGAGGAAATTTGGAGCTCCCAGGGTTCCAATCAGTATTTTGGGTCCAGTTGTTCTATAATGCCCTTGCTAACGTCACTGAGAGTTTGGTGGCCCCGGGCTGTGAGCTCATCTCTAGTGTCCCCACCACCATATGAAGCTATTGCTACAACCCGCCATCCTCAGAGGCCACCTTTCCCTCCACTTTGGCAGTTCCGGTGGAAAATCCAGAGGAACTAATTAATCTTCAGGAAAGACGAGAAGTTCCCACAGGGGGACAGAATTAGCACATTTGACAATTTGCCAATTAATCTGTGGCTGTGAGACGGGGACACGATGAGAACAAGACCTCCGTGATCCGGGAGATGAGACACTGTGAGGGTGAATCCCACCTGAGCACCAGCCTTCTGCTTGTGGCCCCTGGTGTTCCTCCTTTCTGTAGCCAGTGTTTCTTGGACAATCGTAGTGACAACGATGACAGTGGCAATAGCGAGGTTCTAAACACATGTGCCAAGGACTTGGCTCACATGGGAGGAATAGCAACCCAGAGAGAAGGAGCTTCTGTTGTCCCTGTGGTATAGTCAGAGCCCGGTGGGCGCAGGTCTGTAGGGACACGCCCCATGCCAGGGAGCTGATAAGAGACACAGGGGAGGTTTGAACCCAGGTCCTTATGGTTGCAAAGGCCAAGTATCTTCCACTTAACCCTCCTATGTCAGAGCTAGATTTATAAAATGCAAATACTTGGTTGCACACAGTGAATTACAGTCTCTGCCACAGGAAAAACTAAAGTTCCCTCCCAGTAATAGCCATGAATACACCAGCGCAGGCTGACTTGGGGCCATGTGGTCCTGCTGGAGCTTCAGGACCAACTAGAACATTCTTCCCAGGGAAACGCTTGGGTCACAGAAAGTGTATGCACACACATGTGCTGTGTGCATGGTGGTGGGGGGCAGCCCAATTATAATGCTGTGGAGTCCTGTTCCTTTTAGAAAAACTACCGGCAGAGGGTTGATGAGCTGAAGTTCACCAGTGTGACTGACAGTGCGCAGATGGAGCACGCCAAGAAGAGCCAGGAGCTGCAGAGCGGGGTGAGTCCCGGGCTGCCCTCTCTCCACCAGGCTGCTGTGTCATGGCCCTGGGAGTCTTCAGGGACAACAGCAGGTGCTGCCCAGGCACGACCCAGGAACCAAAGGACCTTCCCCTTAAACAGGCTGGACCCGGCTTTCCTCAGGCTTCCAGGCTGCATCTGGGAACTGGCCACTGGTCCCTGCTGCTTTGCTCAACCCCCTTCTCCCCCAAGTGTTAGAGATGGGTGCAGGACTGTGACCCTTTTCTGCCTTCAGTATTCCGTCTTTCTTTCTTCTTTCTCTTTCTTCTCTCATAAAAGACTATAAATCTTGGAGAAGGACATTTGCCTGTGGGATGTGTGCCGGTCACTCTCATTTGACCTCAAATATGGGCGGCAGAACAGTGAGGCGCCATGTACACTATTTACAGATTAGTGTCCAGCACTGAGTAGATGCCCTCTTCCCTACAGCCTGGCCAGACCCTCTCTAGTTTTCCATCCTAAAGGTCCAGGTCCCCCTGCTGTAAAGGATGCTATCAATGTCACCCGGTCGGTGGAAAGCCACTGTTTGGAAACTCAACTCCAGGGTGGGGGAAGGGAGAGAGAAAGAGCAACAGTGCTGAGTTTTCCGTGGAGGAGAAGTTCACTCCTACTGTCCTTTTGGTCACTGCTCCCTTCTTGGTATCAGTGCCTCCCCATGCATCAAGGTCATGGAGGCACAGAGGACAGAGTGCTCCTTATCTCTCCCTCCCTCCTGTGCTAATCTGACCCCCTGGTGGGCTATTCTGTATGGCCATGCACAGTGTAAATGACAACAGCTTGGGGAGGTCCGTGGCTTCTGGGGAACAAAGGTATGAAAGTAGAAACCTTGGAGAGGTTTGCAGGTTGGGCCCTAATTTAAACCTAATTTACTCTATTCTGCCACCTAGTGTCTGGCCTGGTGGTTTGTTTCTCTTTACATTGTTTTTGTTTTTAATTGTAGAATATTTGTACCTACTTTTGTGGTACAGTATTGTAATTTGATGTATGTGTACTGTTTCAGGCAGCTTTTTGCTGCTGTGACCAAAAGACTTGACAAGAACAGTTTTAGAGGAGGAAAAGTTTATTCGGGGGTCACAGCTTCAGTGATGTCAGTCCACAGAGGGTCAACTCCATTGCCCTGGGCTGGAGATGAGGCAGAACACTATGGTGGACGGGTGTGGTGGAAGAAAGCCGCTCAGGACTTGGTGGACAAGAAGCAAAGAGAGACTAAGCTCAGCTCACTAGGGACAAAATATATACCCCAAAGGCATGTTCCCAGTGACCCACCTCATCCAGCCACACCCTACCTGCCTGTGGTTACCACCCAGTTAATCCATTCAAGTGGATTAAAGCACTGAGTAGATAAAGCTCGAATGACCAAATCATTTCACTTCTAAACTTTCTTGCATTGTCTTACACATGAGCTTTTGGAGGATACCTCATCTCTAAACCATAATATGTACAATGTGTAATGATCAAATCAGGGTAATTAACATTTCCATCTCCTTAAATATTATCATTCCTTGTTAGCAAGGTCATGCTGGGAATTTTCAAACTCTTCTCTAGTTATTTGGAAATATGTAATTAATTGTCCTAGACCATACTTACACTTGTGTATACAACGTTAGAACTACCCTGTGCCATCTGTATTGTGGGACCCATTACCCATCCTCTATCTTCCCCTCCTAGCCTCTACCCTTCCTGGCCTCCAGTGACCTCTGTTCTACTCTCTATGTGAGCTGCTGGTTTTAGTCCCTACAGATGAGTGACGTCATGTGTACTTGTCTCTGTGTCTGGCTTCACTTGGCGCAGTGTCCCCCAGTTTCCCACCTGCTGCAGCAGTTGTAATGCCTTTCCCATCACCCCCACCTGCTTCTGACCCAGTGCTCTCTCCCAACAGGTGGCCTACAAGGCAGAGAACCAGCAGTCTATCCACCAGTACACCATCAGCAAAGACGAGCCTCTCTTCCTACAGGCCCGGGCCAACGCTGCTCACCTCAGCGAGGTACTGCGGGGGGCATGGGCATCCATGGACTCTGCTGCTTGTGCCTTTAGCCACACAGCCCACCAGCCACATTGGTGGTGTCTGTGTCAACAGAGGTGACTGACATGGGGTGGTTCTAAACGTTGCTCCCTAGCACGTCTGGTTCCTGGGCCATGTTCCTGGGGAGGGGCTGGCGACCTTCCCTAGCGATGAGCTGGTGGCGGACTTGAGGCTCTGGGTGGATCCTGGGGTCACAGGGAGTGGTTATTCCAGGGGTCGAAGTTGAGTAGTGGCAGAGGGAGTGGGAAGAGCTCAGAAGTTGACCCTAAATTGCTTGGGTTTAATCCCTGATCTTTCTCTGTCCCAGGGATTTGACCTTGGACAAATTATTTTTTATTGTTGTTCTTTATTATAATTATTCAGTCATACTGTCCAATTAGTGGGCTTCACTGTGACATTTTCCCTTACATGTGTCTGTCCTGCTTGATTGGGGCCGCCCTCCCAGGTGCCCACTCTTGCCCTCCTCTCCCCGCAGGTCCACTTCTTCTGTCCTGTAGCCCATCTTCTGTTTTCTGTTGTCTGGATTTTTTTTTTTTTTCAGTTTCCACATAGGAGAGGAAATGTGCGATACTTATCTTTCTGTGTCTGCCTGTCTTACTTAACATGATAACCTCCAGTTCCATACGTTTTGGACAAATTCTTTACTTTGAGTTGTCCCAGGAATGGAACGAGGCTAGCCTTTCCTTGCTGGTTTTCATGAGGGTTCACTGGGCAGATATGCATCAGGCACTTGGAGGAGCATGCGCAGTGGTTGCCCTCAGGTGGGAGAGTATCCGGAGTCCTGTCTCCCCTGCCTCTCTGTCTTCTAAGGAGGGTCTACTCTTAGTTCTCCATGCAGCTCCCAGGGCTTTGGGGTTCTGATCTGGGGATAGGTGGTGGCGAGGATTGGAAGGAGAAACAAATGCTAAATTGATTCCCACACAGAAAGGGAGGGGGGCTTCCCCAAAACAGACCTGGAAACCGGGAGGTGGGTGTAGAACAGGGAACAGGAGGAAGGAAAGGCCCAGTGGATGGAGAAAGGGTACAGCCAGAGCCCTACCGCTGGGGGCACGTGGACAGACACAGAGGACAGATTTCCCCCAAATTCTGTGTTGCGCAATGCTGCTCTGCCTGTGGCCTGTCTTTGGGGGCTTCACATATTCCTGATATAAAATTCAAGGCTTCTGGAGTTTAATGTCTTCTGATTGAAGCCCTGTGTGCCGAGGGGTCTTCGGCCACCAGCAAGGAGGCCTGCGTGTGTTCAGGCTGTTTGAGCCTGGGGCTTTCGGTTTCCAGGGAAGATGTGATTGCGGTTTCCTTGTTAGCAAGGTCATTTCAGAGTCTGGAGAAGCCCTCTCACAGAGGATGATCTCTTGTCTCCTAAATCCCCCAGAAACGGTACAAGAGCAGCTGGGAAAACCAGAAGGCAAGAGGGTTTGAGCTGAGTCTTGATTCCTTGACCTTCCTGGCAGCCAAAGCCAAGAGGGACCTGGCGAGCGAGGTGAGTCAGCCCCCAGAGTGTGGGGGAGTGTGGGGTCCTGCTGCCTAATGTCTGGGAGGGTCTCAAGGAACTGGGGCAGGTTCTTTATCCTCATAAGCCCCAGAGTTCTTATGTGTAAAGGGGGATAATAACCAGCATGGCTACCCTTGCTAGTTCCGTGGGAAAGCACTTACTGGGTCTCTGTGTTGGTAAGTGGTAACTTAGTAATAGTACTAGTAAGAGCAAGAATCCAGGGTCCTCACTTTACAGATGTCCAGAGATGGTCTGTATCTTTCTAATGTGATTTATGATGTTCTATTTCTAAATCTGCTGTAGCCATGGTTAAAAATATAGGCTCTAACCAGGTGCAGTGGTGCACACCTGTAATCCCAGTGGTTTGGGAGACTCGGGCAGGAGGATCTCGAATTCAAAGCCAGACTCAGCAACGGTGAGGCGCTAAGCAACTCAGTGAGACCCTGTCTCTAAATAAAATACAAAATAGGGCTGGGGATGTGGCTCAGTGGTCAAGTGCTCCTGAGTTCAATCCCTGGAACCAAAAAAAGAAACAGAATATAGGCTCTGATGTCAGACCTTGGCTACAACCACAGCTCTGTCACCTCTCAGCACTGTTATTTTGGGCAGATTGTTTAACCCTTCAGTGATTAACTTTCTGGTAAACAGGTAATTGCAAAATGGTCAGGTGGAAATGAAATGAATTGATGTGTATTTATTTATTTGGTACTGGGGATTGAACCCAGGGGCACTTAACTTTTGAGCCACATCCCCAGCCCTTTTGATATTTTATTTTGAGACAGGGTCTTGCTAAGTTGCTTAGTGCCCTGCTAAGTTGCACTGAAGCTGGCTTTGAACTTGTGATTCTCCTGCCTCTGCCTCCTGAGCCACTGGGATTACAGGCATGTGCCACTGCATCCAGGGATGTGTTGTTTTATAGTCCAATGTCATCTGTTATGAGCCTGATGGGAGATAAGGAGTTTGGGTCAGAGCATAAGTCAAACTCTGCTTCCTCCATCATGGAAGTCTTGCTTTAAAAACAAAACAAAACAATAACAACAAAACAAAACAAAACAAAAAAAACATCAGTTGAGCCAGTGGCTTGGTCACATGGTTGGTTTTCACTCCGACATGAGCTCCTTACCTTGTAGTCAGCAAGCAACATTTTGCAAACCAGTTTGTGAATGCACTTTGAGTGGCACCTGGTTACCCCATGCCTGGCTCAGTGAGTGTGCAATAAATAGCGGCAGATGTTGATGATGTTGCAGGCAAGAGATCAGGGTGGAGCCCAGGTCTCCTAATGGAGTAGCAAAAATGTTGAAAACAGTGCCACATAGCATAGTGCTACGGTTGCCCAAGCATTTCCCATTGACTCTCCTTCTGGTTCTCTCTGCCCCTGGCCTAGTGAATTCTTCAGTTTTCAGGAAACATACTCTTTTTAATTCCCATATTCCATGAGCTCCTTTCTTAAATACCAGTTATATGTTGCCTATTCCATGTCTTTTTCATTTCATGACTGCTTTTTAAAAACAATGATCTCACTCTCTAAAAAGATTTAGGGGTGGGGGTATAGCTCAGTGGTGAAGCACTTGCCTAACTTCTATGTCTGAAAAAGAAAAGAATTTAAAAAAAAATTTAAGATTATTTTTGTGGGGGAAAAAATAAACCCAGGCCATTTAAAAATAAATCCCGAAAGAATGATCTCAAATTATTAGAGAGGAGTTGGAATTTCATAAGAAAATTGGTAAAAGACTGATCATAGCTGAGCATTCAGCATTCAGGAAGCTGCCAGAGCTTTTGGGCAGCCAAGGTAAAAAAAAAAAATAGAATTAATGGGTAATAATATTTTATCTCCTCATTTGATGAAAGGAAATATATCCGTTGTCCAAACTCTAATTCTTTTAGGATTATGTCAAAGGCTTTGTTCTAACTCACATGCCTCCAGTTAGAATCTGAACAGCTCCTGGAGGGGATTCTCACGTCTTGCTGCTCTGCTGCCCTCGTGTAGGTGAAGTACAAGGAGGACTATGAGAAGTCCAGAGGGAAGCTCATCGGGGCCAAGGGTGCACAGGGGGATTCTCAAATGAGCCACTCGCTGCAAATGTCCAAACTGCAGAGCGAATTGGAGTACAAAAAGGGCTTCGAAGACACCAAGTCCCAGTGCCACGTCTCCCTGGACATGATCCACCTGGCGCACGCCCGCCAGGCTCAGCACTTAGCCACAGACATAGGCTACAGGACAGTGTCCCATCACTTCACAGCGTTGCCCACGGACATGAAGGTGGAGTGGGCCAAGAAGGCGTATGGCTTGCAGAGTGATGTAAGCTCTATGTGTGTGTGTGCACGTGGGTGCTAGTGCTGGTGCAAGTGTGTCCCCCACACGCTTCAAGACAAGGTGATGCTATGGGACGCCTGTTTCTGGCTCCCTAAGTGGAAACACCTTAGCTTCCTGCTGGTTTAACCTTTATAGAAATTATGCCCATTTTAAATTCCGCACTAATAGAAAATCACAGAGCTACTTGTTCCTTCTTGGATTCTGATCTACATACGTCTTCCAGGTTTCTTTTGACCACTAGGGAAAATGTATTTGTGACATTCTTAGCTGTGGTTGGCTAAGGGAGAGTGTCACTATGGCTCCTCAGTTTGGGAATGACCAGATGGCCAGCCTTCAAAAACCTTCTCCTTCCCCCTTATGACCCACCGGGTGCCGTTTTCTTTCTGTCTTTAGTAGGCTCTTGTGCAAGAATGTGGGTGAGTGGAAAAGGTGGGTCAGCTGTAGCCAGACTGTTCCACACATGTGTGTGCTCATGTGTTTGTGTGTGTGAGTGTGTGTACTCACACTTTTTTTTCTGGGCAAGACTGTTTCATGATCCACAGATGATAGGCTAGTTGGGAGAAGTGTCCATTTAAATAACTGTCCATTAAAAGTACTCCTTCAATGGCAAGTAAAGAAATGAGAAACATCTTCCTCCTGCCCCCTACCGTGGTGGAGGGCAGGAATTGGCACCTTGGGAAGCCTTGGATGTCTTGTGAAATTCCCTCCAATAGCTCCCGCCTGAGTTCTGTTACGAATTCTCATTTATTTCTCCCCTTCGTGTCATTTTAAACAAGAAAACTGGAAGTGCAGACAATGAGGATGTGCTTCTTTCCGAGGCAGACCTGAGTCCCCGTAATGAGGGCCAAGGTGGGTTTGGTCCCTCCTGCTCTACCCCCAGGAGTGTGGGCGGGGCCTAAAGCCCAGCTCCACAGGGAGGGCTCCAATTAAAGAGGAAATTAATTTACATTTGGAAGCCCTACCTGTGACTGTGCAGAAATGGATAAGACAAGAGTGGCATATGATTTGACTCAGCTGGCACCAAGGGGACATCGGGAGCCGTTAATAGCCCTTCAAATGTCTGTGCACCAACAATGGCCTGCCTTTTTTTTTCTTCTTTTTTTTCTTTCTTTCTTTTTTTTCTCTCTCTCTCCTTTGTCAGAACCAATACAGGGCAGATGTGAAGTGGATGAAAGGCACGGGCTGGGTCGCCACCGGGTCATTAAATGTGGAGCAGGCAAAGAAGGCAGGAGAACTCATTAGCGAGGTGAGATTTCCTGACAGCGTGTACCAGGCCTGGCTGCATTAGGCGTGCGGCGTTTCTGTATAAAATTAAAATAATTTCCACTCAAAAGGCAAAGAAGAAGGCAAAGCCACATGAAAGGCCTCCGAACCCGGACTAGGGCTGGTAATTAGAGGGAAACCACATACCAAACACACACCAGTGGGGGCCCATAGAGCCCCAGCAAAAACAAAGTGGGTGACAAATGACATTATGAATAATAATGACAATCAAAAGGAGCTCAATTGCTACCCACCAACTTACCTTTTTAATGAAGCAGCACAGGAGAGATGATGAAAAGATACATTTATTGCACCCAGAAAGCGCTTTGTGTGACTTTACGCCCGTTTTCCTTCTCTCTTTCGGCCACAGTGTAAACAGTTTTTGAATATTCACTGGTGTCCGACGTGGTGACATGGTTGTTGCTTTCTTGTGAGAGTAGATTAGATTCTACTGAATTTAAATCTCACTCCTGCCAACTTATAGCCACCCTGGCTGGACCCGAGGGCATTCCTGCTTATAAAAAGAGCCATTTCACCACCTTTCAGGACCGTTCATTGAGCAGCAATTTTAAAGACTTAGCACGGTTGACGCTTTGCTAACTCCGTGCTGTGGGGAGCTGCCTGTGTCTCTCTCAGGGTGTTTAGCAGCATCTCTGGACCCCAGATTCCCGTAGCACCTTCTGCCTCACTGTGACAACCAAAGAGGTCTTAAACATGGGCAGATGTCCTCCAGGAGGCAGAATTGCCACTGGACTGGGTGCCCCCGGCCAGTCATCCGTGGCTCCTGCTCACACAGAGGCCCCCCCATCAAACCACCCACCCGGCCCTCTTCATGTCTGTTTGGGGAGGGGCTTGCTCAGGAGGCAGGTGAGCATTCAACTAACTTCGGGGTACTCTGATCTTTCTGGATTTTTCTGGGCATCACAATGGCCACATCCCTTAAATGCTTAAGCTTTGGCAATGAGCATCCTGGGACGTTGTTTTGAGGAGACTTTCTTACTAAATGCACAGTCCACACAGAGGGACACAGAGGGACACCCATGCTGGTTTTTCAAGCACACCTGCTCCGCATTGATACTTTCCCAGGGGAGAGCATTCTAGTTACATGACACACAGCAGGGTTGATTTCAAAAGTGGCCTCACCCATATCAGCATAGGGACCTTATTCAATAACACCTGAAGCTCAGAAGGTCCTCAGATCTCAGTGGGGACAGTACTGCCCTAAGTTGTTCTGTAAAATTAAGAAGAGACCCTCTCAGGCAGATGAACCTGAAAAACTTAGAGGAACAAACATTTGGGTTTGATGATTCATGATCCTTACCTCTCAATTTGGGGCCTACTCATAAAAGGAAACGAAGAGTAAAGACCACCATCTGCATAACTTGCCTTCAAAGTAATTCTGATATGAGTCTAAGTCTGGCAGCCAAGAAATCTTTTGGGAACCATTTATCCCTTGGTGATTTAATTTATGACATCATTTTGCAAACTTTCTCAAGGAATTTGGTTATCTTTCTTAATGTCTTTGTTTCATACCAGTCCTCAAACTTCAGGGAGAAAGGGAAGACATCACTCAACAATCTTTCCCAACTATCTCACTTCAGGCCACCATGTTTTTAAGTTACTGTTCCCTTGAGTTGACTTCTTAACTGTCAGGGTGCCAGGCATTGTTGAAAGAGCCACAGGTGGGCATGCATGCATACACACCCACACCCCCACCTGCACACACACCCTCCACATGCCTATGGTGTAAAGCAAGAGTCAGATAACCTTTTCTGCAAAGGACCAGAGAGGACCAGATAGTAAATATTCTTAGCCTAGCAGGTTTTATGGACTCTGTCACAACTAGCTGAAAAATGACCATATGCAATACATAGGTGAATGATCATGGTTGTGTTCCAATAAAACTTTATTTACAAAAATGGGTAATGGGCTACATTTGACTGCATCTAATACGACTTAGCACCATACACAAAAGCCCAACTAGGATAAATAAAGGGATATTTATTAAATAATTATTTGATTTGGGAAAACAAACTACACAGTCCTATTAAAATAGCAACTATTTCAGTGCCTGGGAAGAATACTTTGATTAAAGGAAAAAGGAATTAATTTAAGCATGATTTTCAAAATACTTCAAAATTGGGTTCTAAGGCCTTTGCCAGCATGTGAATTTTTTTTTTTTGTTTCAGTGTCTCTTAATTTATGTGGTGACTCATTCCAATCATAGCACCCTTTTCTTATTTAATATTTTAAAGAATTATTACACATGCTAACCGAACCAGCCTCTTAAGTTATTGGCTAGTGTACGTTCCCTGACTGTTAAATGCCAGGGTTTTGACTGTGATAATGTGTGCCAAGTCCTTTTATGGAAAGAAAATAGAAAGCTTCAATGGATAAGTAACTATGAACGCTCTCAGAGCCAAACTAAGATATGTAAACAACTGCGACATAGTATTTGAAGCCTATAAAAGGAATCCTTTCCTAAGTGTGGATCCTACAGTTTTTTTACTGGTATAACCTAATTTTGAGATGTTGTCTTTGCACCAGGTAGAAATACTTTAATGTTAATTGACATGAGGTTATTCTTAAATTGAAACAAATATTAACCTGAAGGCACCTAGGATATAAAGATGGAGGAAGCAGAATAATAATTATGTTCACAAATTCACTCTAATCTCAAGCAACCTATGATTTTCTCTTTCAAATGGCATGAAAGAGCAGCACAAAATTCACAGCTTTGATCTTTTCCTGCTCAACAGAAGAAGTACCGTCAGCATCCAGATGCTTTGAAGTTTACCAGTATTAAAGACACTCCGGAGATGGTCCAGGCCAGAATTAGTTATACCCAAGCAGTGGATGTAAGTGATAATGTATATACATTATGACTCTAAGAGTGGGCCCTTCTTTCAACAGTGCGATTGAAGCGGAGGGGATCTTGGGCTTGCTCCTTCTGTCGTCCTAAGGATGAAGGAGCTCCTTGTCCTTTGCTGAGGCTCCCCTTAGCGGGGGTGCTTCCTCATTAGGATGCAAACGGGGCGTTCCTGCACTTAGGATGCCAAGTGGGGCTCCGCACCCCACTGCCCCAAGATGCTCTCCTTCCTGCCCATTTGCATGTCTTGAAGATTCCGTGATGAGTCCTCCCCCCCTCCTTTGTTTGAAAGTGTTATTTTTCAGAAGGGAACTTGGGGTGAGATTCTTGCTAATTGGAATACCGAAGCCATGCTTAGGGGTCTGTAGGACCCAAGGAAAGGAATAGTTCTGTTTCCCAGACTTTGAAAACGATTTGAATCTGATTTATGGACATTAGCCTGGCTTTCAAGCCATTTCCCATATTCCCTTTATAATGTGGAACCAAGGTTTTACCCTTTGCCCTCTCAGTGCTGGGTTCACAAGAGACTAAACAGAATGACAAGTTCCTATAAAAATTCACTTTGGGACATGGATTAGCTCTGGCCAATTCAACTGAGAGGAGCCCATGGCTCTTTGGGTAAAGCAGAGCTACATTTTAAATTTCTTCAAATCGTTCAACTTGCCACATGGAAAATTCCCAAACCTCGTGGGTAGGGGTTTTAAAATTCTCTCCCTTGCGTCCCAGCATATCATTCCGGCTGTGCCTTATTTGACAGGAATTCTGAAATGGGCCGGGCGCTTGTCAGAATAGGCAGTGGGATGATTTCCAAGCTTATGGGCTCAGGAATTTATAATTTCTTGTTAATCAGCCCATCAAAATCAAATTGAATTCTGAGAAACACAGATGGTCAAATAGGAATTTCTTCTGAGAAAAACAATACTTCCTTCCTCCTTACCCTAATAACCTCTAGGGGGCACTGCTGTGATACGCAGGAACTTGGACACAGCAGCTAAGATTTGGGATGGAAAACCCTGGCTTAGAAACTTTCTCTGGTTACTGATGCCAACTCCTCATGTCATTGCAAACTACAAGGATATCAGAAGCCAAAATCAGAGCTATGGGTTAAAAGAGCCCCATACCCACCCAGGGGAGGTTTATTAGGACAAGAATCCTTGAGATGGGAGAGGGGACAAGGATGGAGTCAGAGGAACCCCACAGACAGGCTTCTGCCTCCTCATGCCCTCTCGCCACTTTTAGTTAATAACCAAATCACCGGGTGGAAACTGGACTTCGTTTTCTTGTTTGCACTCACCTCAGAGGTGTGCTAGGAGTGGCATATTCACAGAGGGGAAATATTCTGAGCTGTCATATTCTGAGCTGGAAAGTAGAATTGGGGAGAGAATGATGTGCACATTGCCATGTCAGCTATAAATCTGGGTGCAGGCAGGGTGCCCGCGATCCTGTGTCCATGAGGACATGGTAGCTACAGCACCTTGGTCTCCTGGAGTGCAATGTGCCCAATGCATGGGGAGGCTCTGGGTTTAATGCAAACCCTCTCTCCATCCACAGAGGCTGTACCGGGAACAAGGAGAGAACATAAAGCATCATTACACGCAGACCACAGACCTGCCTGAGGTCCTGCTGGCCAAGCTGAATGCCATGAACATCAGTGAGGTGAGGTTGACTTGAACCACTAGGGACACTGGTTTCCATGATGCAAGTCAGGGTACCTTCATGGGCACGCACCATGCCCAGTGCTCAAAAGGTCCTGGGCTGGTTTTAAGCTTTGCTGTCACCCTCTTGAAACGTGTGGCCATTTTGAACAAGGAGAGCCACACTTTGGTTTGCATTGGGCCCTGCAAATGATGTAGCTGATTCTGCAGAAGTGTTGAGCTCATTGCAGAGAATGAGCCAGGGAAGACGACCTACCTGCCTCGGTGCAAAGGGATGTGTACCAAGGAGCTGAAGTGTGGAAGTATCTCAGTAAAGCTGAGTGCATCTGGGGCTGTGCCAAGGAGATGCCTGGGGGCTTAACTCCGGTCCCCCATAATCTCTATCTGCACTCCCACCTGCCACTCCTATTCTTCGATAGACACGTTTGGTTTTTCTTTATCTTAACATGAAGAGCTATGCAAATGCAGCCTTGCACCCCCTTCTTCCAGTCAACTTGCTGATCAGAAAAATCTGGGTCTGACTCTTTGCTTTTAACCCCTCTCTCTGTGGTTTACCTGCCAACAGTGGGTGGGAGGCAGGAGCCCACTCTGAACATTTGTTCTAAGGCCCAGTGATCTCCAAACCCAACTGGGGTTAGGATTGGGGTGGGGGGGAGAGAAGCCCACCACAAACCAGATTCCCACTTTGGTAAACCAGAGTTTAGGAACCACTGGGTCACACGAAGGTCTTTATTTGTACACATCTTTCTTCCAGACACGGTATAAGGAATCCTGGAGTAAACTTCGAGACGGTGGATATAAACTGAGGTTGGATGCCATTCCGTTCCAGGCAGCAAAGGCTTCTAGTGAAATCATAAGTGATGTGAGCATCCGATACTATGACAATGTTTCATCCTACCCAGCTTTAGCTCTTTTTTTGCCTCTAACCCCTGCCTTCTTTTGCCTGTGGATAATTTCCTCTCCTCTCCGAACTGACTGTGTTAGGGCAATCAGATAATGACCAGTGCAAAAGAACATACCTTACAACAAAAAAAAATTCCCTAGCCGGGGGTACAAAGCCAAATGCTGGACTGTAAACATGGACCCCGGGCAGATGAAATGTACCCTCCACCAAGAGTTTTCATAAAGGGAGTCTGTGTGAAGAGACGGTTAACAATGCGTGCACCTTCTTGCAGCCCGGGCCGCCCAAGTGCTAATGTGTCCTGCCATTTCATAGCTGAGCCCTTTAGTCATTGGGAGTCTTGCATATGAAAGAATAGACCTTTTGACAACTCCCGCGCGTTTTCTTTTAACTCACCCAGTTACTGTCAAAAGAACAAAACATTTTTGCCCAATACCCACCTCTTCCATTCCGTGTCCCTTGTCCCCGAGCTGTTACTCTCTCCCGCTCTCTTTCCCTTTAGTACAAATACAAAGAGGCATTTGAGAAAATGAAAGGACAGATGCTTGGCTCCCGGAGCTTGGAAGATGATCTCAGCCTTGCACATTCAGTGCATGCGACCTCACTGCAGAGTGATGTAAGTAGGAGAAAATGCGACCGGAGCCGGGGGCCCTGCTTAACCATGCTCATGGCACAGCCAACTAGTGTCACTTGTGCTTGTGGAAGTGGGCATTGGTTCTGTTGTTAAATTGCGTTTGGACTTCAGCCTCTTCTGTTATCAAATGAGGTTGGATGAGTTGACCCCTTAGTTCCCTTCCGGGCAGGACATTCTTTGATTTGGAACACTGACCGCAAATGGTGGCCTATGGCCTGCAGAGGTATTTTGTTTGGTCTGCGGAGTGAATTAGCTGCAAACATTTAAAAACGGAAAGTGTGACATAAAAGTTTGAGAAGCTAGACTGGGTTCCCGAAGGCCACCGTGGGTTGAGGTTGCTTACCAACATCTTGCTGGTAGCTCCCTACAGAGGGGTTCTGTGCTCTCCTGGCCAGCAGCTGCCCCTCCTCCTCTGCCTTTTCCTTCACTTATTTGTGCTACCTGCACAAATGTGGGCATCTGAGCTTGCCACCACCCTCAGAGTTGATCCTGACCCCTGGGTGTTGGCACATGTGTGTACATGCTGTCTCCTTGCACATGTGAGCTGGCTAACACCACTGGTAACATCTGCATTCAACATGTTACGAAAGTCCAAATGCTGTCATGTACAATGTCTCATAAAACCTCAAACCATCTCTGGGAACTAACTCTGCCTTGTTATTCACCCTGGTTTCCTGATAAGGAGATGGAGACTGTGTTGGTTTGCATTGCTGTGACCAAAATACCTGACAAGAATAACTTAGAGGAGGGAAAGTTTATTTTGGCTCATAGTTCATGGTTCAGTCCATGGTCAGTCAAGTCCATTGCTTTGGGCTGAAGGTGAGGGAGAGTATCGTGGCGGAAAGGCATGATGGCAGAGCTCTGCTCCATTCATGGCAGCCAGGAAACAGAAAGAGAGAAGGAGGAATGGGGCCACAGGGAAGATGCACCCTTCCAGGGCTCACTTCCATGACCCCCCTCTTTCAGCCATGACCCACCTGTCTACAGTTACCCGCCGGCTGAACCATTCAAACTCAGATGAACTGATAAGGCTACAGCTCTCATAATCTAATCTTCTCACCTCTTACAATCCAGCCATTTCTCCTCTGAACATTCTTGCATTAATACGGGAGCTTTTGAGGGACACCTCATATCCAAGTCATAATTAGAGACTGGGTGGTTCAGTCCCTTACTTAAGGTCAACTAGAGAGGAGCGAGGCCAGGAAGGGGCGCCAACTCCATGTCTCATACTCTTTCCACAGCTTCACATGTTCTTGGCTGTTTTATTCTCTGTCTCGGTTTCCCCATTTCTAATACCCACCCCCCTTTCTGTTTTGTCCTGTGACTGTGGGGTTGGGCATGAATTGTGCTTGGCCTTGTGCTAGAGCGAGGGCAGGATAAGTGGAGTGGCAATTTTGGGTGGGGTGATGGAGCTTCAGGGAAGCGATGGGAAAGATGGAGGAGGACGAGGAAGAGAAGGTGGTGATTACGCACCTGACTCCCGAGAGGGCCCTGGCTGAAATTCACAGGCCTTCCAGTAGCTCCTCCAGGAGGGTGTGGAGCCGTGGTCTGGAGTGGGTTTCCCTTACCTTCTCAGGATATGCGTTGGGTTTGGGGAATGTCCATCCCTCAGGGCTGGCTCTCCAGGCATCCACCCTACTGCTCCTGGCCCTCAGGTTGACCAGGAAGTCACCTAATATTTTGAGAAAGTTCTTCCTTAGTTACTGTGAGATGAGGACCCTTGGTGTCTGAACCCTGAACCTGAGTGGATGGTGTGGAAAAGAGTAAAAAGTGGACAGAGTCCAGGGTAGCCATGCATCTTCATACCTCTGGAAAAATGAGAAGATCTAACGAATTGAGCCAGGAGATCACTGACGTTCTATCCTGGGCCTTGTATTCTCCCCTAACAGAGGAGCTGTGGGCCTTCTTTACCCAGATCAATGACCTCCAGGAGCTGGGGTGGTGAATGGCAGGACTTGGAGTTGAGCCCTGCTTATTAGGCCATTCCTCACAAGTAAGGAGCACAAATCCTGTCAGGAACATCCCTGGGGCTGACCTGGGACACTTACACTGCAGTGGCTCTTGCTGACAGTCCCATTGCAAATGGTGGCTTTGAAATAGCCGCTGTTGATCTGTTTGCCCCTCCAGGTGAATTACAAGAAAGGCTTTGAACACTCAAAGGCACACTTCCATCTGCCGTTGGACATGGTAACCCTGGTGCACGCCAAGAAGGCTCAGACCCTGGCCAGCGACCAGGACTACAGACATCCACTCCCCCAGCACACATCCTTGGCAGAAGACCTGAGGCTGCGCTGTGCCAAGAAAGCTCACAAGTTGCAGAGCGAGGTAAGGAGGCCTCGCCTCTGCCTCGAGGCCCTTCTTCTCCCAGGTCTGACTGTGCAGCACTGGCCTGCAGCTCCTGACAGCTCAGTAAAGGCCGCAGGCCTTGGGAATCCTAAATGTGCATCTTCTTCTGAGACACAACCTGAGAGTTCCTGCACAATTACACGAGTCAATAAGGACAACCACCACTTACTGAGTATTTTTGCTCAATTCCAAGCACCGTGTTTTCACCCATTCTCTTGTTTACTCCTCACACTAACCCTGAAGGGATGGTCTTCATCCCCACCACACAGAGAAGTTACAGTGAGGTGCCAAGAAGTTAAACGGCTTACCCAAGATCACACAACTGTACATGAGAGAGGGGGGTGCTGGACTTGAACTTGAGGTTCAAGTGGTGGAGATGCCCCTAGGTTCATACATTTTCACACTCAGGAGTTGCCAGTGGCTTTGCCTCTGGCTGCACATTGGATGGAGGGTTCCTTTTGGAGCTTTCTCCACTCCTGTCCCCGCTTCTGGGGAGCACTAAGATGTGTCTGTAGACGCTGCTCAGAGCCCATCCATCAACTGACCCACTTCAGGGGAAGCGAGCGCAGGAGGAGGTCTGGGGAATCAGAGCCCCTTCTTCAGGCTTCTCCTGGTGCCTGTCCTCTGCAGCAGGCCAGGGAGGGGCAGGAAGAAGGAGGACTTACTGGCTCTGGAGGAGAGGCAGCTAACGCTCCTCTGCAGCAGCAGCAGCAGCAGCCTGTTTTGCTCACACCTCTATCCCAGGTTGCCAGGTGTGCGTGCTCTGAGATTTGCAGGTAACGGGCCTCTGTAGGAGAGTAGAACACCACACGAGACCCCGTTCCTGGTTTGGTGGTGCCAGCGAGCTGAGCGGCGCTCAGGTCTGGTGTCTGTCGTCTCTTGGAGTTTTATGCCTGTGTACGGTGTTTACTCAATGACATCAGCTGTCAGGAACCTGAGAGCAGCTGTAGGAACCAGGGAGCTGCCACACTCATCCCGGGCCCCTTTGTCACTTGCACAGAGCCCTCGCTTGCCCTGCCTCCTGTCGTGCTGGCAATTGGAAGGCAGAAGGCCCAGGGGCCACCTCGCTGGCTGAGGGGAGTGACTTTGGGGACTCTTTAAACTGTCATCCCAAATCACTCTGGTGCACACGCTCGCCCCTATCCAGGCAGGCTCAGACAGGCCTTTGCCAGAGTGTTTTGGATTCGTTTATTAGTTCTTTCTTAACCCATAATTAATTAATGACACCCGCTGCTGCCGGGTTTTGTTTTAGAAGACCTGTTAAGCCATTTGCACGCACGCCCCAAGACGACTGACTTCCTACCCGCAATCCACCCCAGCGTTTATTTTTTGATAGCTCACATTAAAATGAAAATCTGTCTAGCGTCGCTACCACAGCTACTCTGAGACAAGTGACAGCAGAATTATCTTCTTCTGACCTACATTTTCCCCCCTAATGAGCATTTACCAAGAAGCATCTGTGCGATCGCTGAGCATGGTGTATCTGAGAGACGGACGCGGCCCTGAGTTCTAATGATGACAGATGCTATGTCACAGACCTCTGGCTTCTCCTTGCTATTGTTCTGAGGGTTCAGCTTTTCTGATTCTTTGTATTGTTCCTTGCAGAATTTGTACCGCTCAGACCTGAACTTCATGCGAGGCGTTGCCTGCGTCATTCCAGGCACGTTAGAGATTGAAGGAAGAAAGAGGGCATCTGAGCTCATCAGTGAGGTGACTGGGACTGGGGGTGGGGCTGTAAGGCCAGTGGGAACTTCAGCTGTCACAGTGGTGGCTCACTACCTAGCCTCTTGCCTGGCTTCTGTCCTCACTGATTTTTTCCATGCAGTTAGATGCCATTGAAGATGTCATTGTGACCCTGGAGTCAGTTCCTGAATTAACATGTAACAATTATCCACTGTCCCTTTGAAAAGTGGCCCTGTGGTACAATGCAAAGCCAACAGTCTTTGGAGACCAATAGATAAGAGATTGAAGTTTCAGACCAGTATTCATTTGCTGTATGTCCTCAGACCAGTGACCAGCTCTCTCTGAGCCTCAGTTTCTTAATTAGTCAAATGGGAATACTCATGCCTCCCCATTTAGCTTTTGTGAGGACTCACACTAATCTAAGCACAGTTCATGTGTCAGCTATATACAAAGTGTTCACTATAAGATTGGTGATAATTTTTGAGAATATGCAATGCTTAGAATTCTGCACCCCTGGGTAATGTAGCTCAGTCCTGAGATGCCCACAGGACTTCTTTCCACAGTCTATGCAAGGACAAGGGTACATAATGGAGGCACAGGAGTAGAAGGTGTCAGAGTGCAGCCCAGGAGCTCCAGTGGGTTCCCAGTGTGCTTCTCGTGGGAGTTTAGGTCTTGTTTGTGCTCCAGTTCTTCAAGGAAGTCACTAAAATGAAGGTTTCTTAAGCTCATGATACATCAGAACCCTGTTGGAGCTTAAAAGAAAACCCAGAGATGTGGGCCCCACTAGTGACTTTCTGATCCTCAGCCTCCCCAGTATCTGGGATTACTGGTCTCCTGGGTTGTGTGGCAGGTGCATGGTTAGAGGCTACAAAGCTGGCCCTAGTGTCACCTCAAGCACAGGGCAACCGGGTCTCTGTTCGGGAGCAAACTTCAAATTTAAATAGTCTCGTTTGCTTTCATGGCAAAGGCTAGCTCTCCCCTTCCCCTCATGAGTGTCTTGTTCAGTCCACCGTCCTGTCCTCCTCTCTGCTTCTTCATCCCCGTAAGTTGGGAGGTCACAAGAGTAGGGGACCGACTGGACTCTGGAGCGACAGGCTTGCAGCCTTTGCAAAATGAGTCTTTAACTAGTATTCCAAGAACTGGTTCTCCTCTGGGTTTAAACCTTACGGAGTCGTCGTCTTCCTTTCTCGTGTGTGGATTTAGAGTAAATACCGTCAGCATCCTGGGTCGATCAAGTACACGACTGTGACGGACACCCCCAATCTCCTTCATGCAAAGTTCAGCAACCAGATTACCAACGAGGTAAACTCTCCTATGGCTTTTAAAAAACTGATATTTGTGGGCTGAGGGAGGAGGAAGAGCCTGTGTTTGTACGGAGGCTTAGAAAGCAAAGAGCATGATGTGCAGAGTCTGAATATTGTCCAGAGGGAAAGAGGAGCAGTAGGGAATGTGGGTTAGTCTGTGGTCTTGCTCCCTTAGGGCTGGCTTGGACCAGCCTCTGCAGCGTCCCCTGGGAGTGCTCAGTCCCTACCCTGAGCCACTGAATCCAAAGGTTATGTCACGAGAGCCTCAGATGATTCCTTTGCATATTAAAGTCTGACAAGTTCTGGTCTATAATTCCTTTCTTCTATCTAGGCAAATATGGACTCACCAATTTTATATTGTCACTGTGGGGAGGATCTGTGGTTGTGCTTGGACGGTCCCAAGGCTCAGGGCTCGTCAGTCTTCCTGATCCCTGCCTCCTCTCCTTCTCACTCCCTATTTACCTGGCTCTAGCAAAAGGAAAAGAATGTTACTCCATAAGCTGTCTTTCCCACCCTTTTGATCCTACTTCTTTCACTGACCTGACATAGGTGTGCTGAGCAGAGATGTAAATATTGAGTTGTCTTTAGGTTTTAAGATTCTCCTGACTGTGACTTTTAGAAGTCAAGTGAAATTTGACTATTGATATGATATATATATATATATATATATATATATATATATATATATATATATATATTTTTAAATCAGAGTCTCTCTAAGTTGCTTAGGGCCTTCACAGTTGCTGAGGCTGCCTTTGAACTTGCTATTCTCCTGTCTCAGCCTCTCAAGTAGCTGGGATTACAGGCATGTGCCATCCTGCCTTGCTTGAATATGATTGATACTGTTAATTTCCACTTACACCCCAAGCTAAGAAGTAAGAAGTGAGCTGGAGAAAAAAGTCTGGAGAGGTGGAATTCATGGTGTGGTTCAGTGATGTTATCCGTTTTAAATTCTTATTTAACCTTTCCTGCCTCTCTTGTGAATTGAGTGACAATACCTTTTATGATGGCCTCTGGCCTCGGAGAACTCAGCAACCCTTTAGCCCCCTTTCTAATCATCAGGATCGATACTCTGTAGAGGATGAGGCCATCCAGGACAGCCCTGGTATGGGCTTGCTCATGGGGAGGATCCCTGGTGTCAGGACAGGACGCACAACAGGACTGGGCGCCCCCTTCCTTCAGGCAGGGCTTCTTCTAAATCTCTCAGGTCTTAGCATCATCTTATGCTTTGTCCCCAAGGACAAGGTCTGTGTCGTGAGAAATGTCAATAGCATCCTTAAATTTACGTCATTCCCTGGCCTATTATTGAGCAAAGAAAATAGCAGCTTTTTATATATTTCTCCTATTTCACTGATTTGACCCATAAAGACTTGTATGGGAGGAAATGTCTCCCTGGAGGTGGCAGATGTACCTCTGACATTGAATGACCTTTTGCTGTCATGTTTGCCCAGTTACAAAAGAGGAGTGTCCAGCACTTCAGAAACGCATAGCACTTATCTTCTTTCTTTCTTTTCTTTTCTTTTTTTTTTTCCGGTTGCGGGCAGCGTCTCTATAAAGCAGCTGGAGAGGATGCTAGACACCAGTACACAATGACCCTGGGTCTGCCCGAGTTTGTCCGAGCAAAAACAAATGCGGCCAATCTGAGCGACGTAAGCCTGTCCTACTGCTCAACTTGAGCATGCTCCCAGCTGTGCATGCTTGTGTGTCTGTGACGAGCCCTGACAGTGACCTTTCTGGCATTCACAGGAGCCACAATACAGATGCATGTTTTAAATGCATGTTTTAGATGCCCCTGTGCAACCCGCCTACCTTTGCCCAAATGTGTCGGGTGCATAGGTGTGCTCAGAGCCTGCCGCAGGATGTGCTGAGATTTTTCTCTCCAAATAGGAAGTCTTTGCATCTCAGAAATTGGTTCTGGAGCCCTGTGCTACAAATGAAAGGGGTAGCCTTTGTTCACTGATTCATGTAATTTATTTTTTTTTTAAAAGATGTACATGTGTTCCCACTTTAGGCAAAATACAAGGAGTCTTGGCATAATCTCCGTGCTCAAGGCTACAAGCTGACAATAGATGCGCTCCCCTTCCAGGCTGCAAGGGCCTCTGGGGACATCGCCAGCGATGTGAGTGGAATGTTCTGACCTTCCATCTTGCCTAATCTCTGTTAACTTCATGTAAAACAATGTCTGTGGCTGATTTCCCTGAATTAAAGCAAATCTATAACCATGAGAGACAGGATGTCACCTGCAGAATATATTAGTTATGAATGAGATCCTTTGACAGAGGGAGGGAAAGAAATGCTTTGTGAATCGGGAGCTAAATTCAGGCAACCGATCTCCAGCAGGAAGGAGCTTGTGGTTTATTTCTAATTGCAGAGTCTGGGCCATCTGGGGACGCCCTGTAATGTGTGAACTGCCTGTTTTGAAACCCCACCCAGAATTGGAACCGGATCTCCCCTGAGACGGCTAGGCAGCCCTAACATGCCTTCCCCTTGGCTCCCTGAAGTTTCCTGCCACAGTGTTAGGGTTTGCCAGCTGCGTTGCAGCCACTCTGTTGATAACGTCTGTAGCTTTGGGACATGAAGGTGACTTTCTCTTTCCCACAAACAAATCACAGAAAACGTGGACTTCAAATAAATGGATCCTGTCTTTTGGGTTTAATGTTTTGCCAAGCACAAACAGATGAAGCACGAGTTTCTCTTTTACCCTTTTTGATAAATTCCGTTTGGCCACAGGACACGTAAGGGGAGTGGGACCCTTGCTTTGGTTCTAAGGATCTGATTCTAATTAGATGGAAAGATGGAGCAATGTTTTAATTGTTCCTTCCCCAGGGAGGAAGGCAAGCTCTCAGGCCAGCCCCGCCGTGGTGGCTCTTATAATCTTCACCTCCTCTTGTAAGAGGTGATTTTTCTAGGGTCTTTGGGGTAGCACAGATGGAATTTAAGCAGCTGGATACAGAACCCTGACCCGCTGGTGCTGCCGTCCAGTTTCTCTACAGACACGACTTTGTGAAGGAGCGAGGGAAGCTCATCGGGATCCGCAGTGTAAGCGATGACCCCCGGCTGCGGCACTGTCGGCTCATGGGCCAGCTGCAAAGTGAGCATCAGTACAAGAGGGAGGCAGCCGGCAGCCAAGCCCAGTGCCACCTACCCATGGACATGGTGCACCTGGTCCATGCCAGGAAGGCCCAGGCCCTGGCCAGTGACCATGACTACAGGACTCAGTACCACGAGTTCACAGCGCTACCCGAAGACTTGAAGTTGGCCTGGGCCAAGAAAGCCCACGCCCTGCAGAGTGAGGTAGGCCCCTTGTGGAATGCAAACCAGCCCCTCCTTCCTTCTTCCATCACACGCTGGTGTCCACCACTGCCCCTTCCTTGGGCTTCTGGACCCTCAAGTCCCAGTGACTTGCTTCATCTAAGTTGAAATCCATCATTCAGTCATTCAGCCAATACTGCTGAGCACCTTCTACATACCAGGTACTGTGCTAGGCCCTGGGAGTGTAACAGTCAACAAAAAAGGAAAACAATCTCATGCTCATGGGACTTCTATTCTCCTGGAAGGAGATAGGCCATGATTGATAAGGCAAATCTATAGCAAGTTGGATGGCGACATGCTATGGAGACAAATGGCTCAGGGGAGTGGGTAGGGGGTGTGGATGTGTGTGTTCATGCACAGGCACAATCTAAAATACAGCATCAGGGTAGCTCTTGTTGGAAAGGTGACATTCACAGGCCTAAAGGAGACGAGAGAAGGGGATAGAGAATTCTAGGCAAATAGAACAGCAAGTTCAAAGGCCAGGGTCCTGGCAGGAACAGGCTTGGCATATTTGAGACCAGAGTGAAGCAAGTGGGGGGCTGTCATGGGAGATGGGGTCAGAGAGAACACAGGGTCTAGGCTGAGGATGGGAAGTATGGAGGTGAGGATATGACAAGAATAATTCAGGACCGGCTGACACCCGCTGACTGCTGCCCATTGCTTGTATCATTGCCACAGCTCTAAGGTGGGGACAGACATCACTCCTACCTTATAGATTGAGAGCATGAGGGAGGCACCAAGCAAAGTCTAGCTCTAGAACCCACTTTCTCAGCCATCCTGCTCCCTTGGAGGGAGCCTGAAACAGGATGTCCTGCCCCTTATGGTGTACTGTAGACCCTGAGGCCCAGAATGTGGGGTCCTGCCCTGAGCAAGGACAGTGAGCAGGTGGCAGGGGCAGCAGCCCCTCCCCTGTCATGACTCCTGAGATGCAAATCCCAGGTCCTCCACCCTGGATGTGTGAGCTTGGGCAGTCCCTGTCCTTGCAAAACCTTGGACATGGAAACACTGACTTGGGACTTAGTAATGATGACAACGTGACCATGGCCAGTGCTTATGCAGGATGTGCAGAGTGGCGGACACGGTGCCACACATCGTCTCTCCAGGCCTTTAGCAGGAAGGTGGTCCTGTTTTAGAGAGTGATCCCTGGGCCATTGGCACATTAGCCCTTACTGTGTTCACCAAGGTTTCCCAGTTTGGGCACTTGTGTTACTTTTGGCCAGATATTCCTTTGTGATGGGAACTGTCTTGTGTGCTGTAAAATATCTAACAATGTCCCTGATCTTTATCCTCCGGTTGCCCATTGCATCAGTCAGAAAGTTCTCCAAATATTGCCAATGTCCCTTGGGGATAAAATTAGCCCTAGTTGAGAATCTGGTTCTCGGTTGAGAACTGGTCCATGGGAAGCACTTAGCACCGAGCTTGGCCCATAGCACACTGGAACAAGTGTTAGCTGTTCTAGAATGTTCCCCCCAACATGCTTCCCGTCCTGGGGGCCTTCAGGGCAATGCCTGCTCTTAAGTTTAATTAGATATAGCAATAAAGGGGTGTTACAAACACATACTTGGTTATCAATTATTATGGTAATGGTCTTAATGAATCATTACGTTAGTAATTATGATTTGCAATATCACATCGTTCACCACTGGGGAGAGTATGGAGTGTGCAAGACCAGTGGGTCCCCCAGAGGGAGATTTTACTTGCTGCCAACTTCCACTCTCAGGGTCACTGCTAGCAGGTGATCCTGAGAACCCCACCCACCCAAAAGAAAAGCTCAAAATGTGACTCTCCAGTGCCCAACTGGTCAATAGTCTATTTTGGGGGAGAAAAGAAACTGCTGAGACAGGACAGGCACTCAGGGAAGACTCCGAGGCCACCTGGGGGAGGTGAGGACGCCAGTCTGAGCCAGGAGGTGTGTGTTGGAGGCAGCCACTGTCCTTGCTCAGGGCAGCCCCCCCCCCCCCCTTCTGGCTTTCTAGGCCTCTGTCTCTGCACTGGAAAAGCAAAGAGGTTTGCTCTGATCCAGATTTTTGTGAATCATAGAAAAATGTTTATTTATTTTTGAAATGGCAGCATCAATATAATGTCATATTTTGTTTTACTAAGTAAGGAAAAGGGGGAAAAAACCCTAAATGCTACCTGAAGGTATGATTTATGTCACTGTTATTTCTAAACAGAAAGGAAACTTTAACACTAGAAAAAAATGGGACATCATCTAAACAGGAGAAACAGTGGTTGGCAATCTCATACTGACATTTTAAGACCAGGGTCTATATTACATTTTTGAAGGTTAAGAAATTATGGCTTAAAAACTTAAACTACCATGTTATGCTACATGCACTGTCTTTTGATTATAAATTCGTTAATTTGGGAGTCTCGATTCTAGGATAGTTTAAATAGTAGACCTCAAAATGTCCAGCTGCTTTTGAGCCTTCAGCTTTATTGTTGTTATTATTTAAAAAATCAACTTTCATGTCGTTATATTATGTAGAAAAGGAAACAAATGCTTAACGGGAGGTCCCTCAACTTGGTAGTCCAAGAAGGAGTCTCCTCAATTGAGCTGCTGCCCCTGCCCCCTCCCATCCAGGCCAGAAGGAAAGCGTTGTGAGGGGCCAGAGGGGGCTGAGATGCCTGCTGCTAGGGCTGAGTTCCTCAAGGCCATGATTTCCCATGTCAGGGCCAAGCCCTTCTTTCCTCAGGAGTTTGTGAGATACCCGGGCTGGCCCTGGCAATGTCCATCATGGACACATGCTCGTCCTGCCGCCTCTTTGTGCCTTTTCAAGACTGCTATTCCATACTCCCTCCATGATCTCATGCTGGGACCATGGGAGGTCCTGAAAAGCACATGCCCCACTCTTTACAGGTGTGTGTCCTTGGGCAGACTCCTGAAACTCTCCATGCCTCAGCTTCCCCAACAATAGTCACAAAAGCTAAGACATGTGGGACCCTTGCCCTGGGCTGGCATTAATATATATATTTTGCACAATATTATTTAAGATCTAGATAGGTACTAGTACTCCTAACTTTACAGATGCAGCAATAAAGCATGAATACTCTCAGTAACAATGTGCCCCACTCCACGGGCTGGCAGGGAAGTGACTTGCTCAAGACCCACTGCTAGGAGGAAGTGAAGCAGGATTCCAGCTCTGGTCTCCTGACCCCTGGATCAGTCTCTTTGGCTTCTGCATGTGGCTGGATTAGGAACCCCAATCTCTGGCTTCTGAGCCTGTGCTCCTGACTACAAGTGTGGCCTACTGTGTTAGTCAGATTTTTGTTCTTGTGACCAAAATACCTGACAAGAACAACTTACAGCAGGAAAGGTTTACTTTGGCTCATGGTTTCAGAGGTCTCAGTCCATGGGTAGCCAACTCCATCATGGCGGAAGGACATGACAGGGAGAACTTTTAGCTCATGGCATTTGGGAAATAGAGAGATAGGAAGGGACCAGAGAGAAGATCAACCCTCCCAGGGCATGCTCCCATTGACCTATTTCCTCCAACTAGGTCCCACCTCCCAATAGTCCATTGACTATCAGTGGATTAATGGATTAATCCATTGGGTGGATTAATTCACTGATGAAGTCAAAATCCCCATGATTCAAAAGCCTAAAAGCCCCACCCCTGAACCTGGGAACCATGCTTTGAAAAATGATCCAAACCATAACACCTACCCAGAGTGCAGCAGCTCAAGGCTGTTCGGTGAATCCAGCCCATCTTTGAAACACCAAACATGTTCTACATGCAGATGAGAACAAGAACCCTCCCTTTGCAGGACAGTGTGAGGGTGGAACGAGATAGTGGGTCTAGAGCAAGCTCCACTGCACACAAGGTGACATGATAATGTTTCTAATTAGTACATATACCCCTTCCTCTAGGCACCTGGGTACTCACATCATTCACTCACAGGTTCATCATAACTCAGAGACTGAATGTTGCCTCTAGTGTATTTGCAACAGAGTGCTCCAAAACGGGGGTGCCCCCAAACCCCACTTATGACTCTGCAGGTGTCTTCCAGGTCTTAGTATATGGAAGGAAAATAGCGAGGTTGCTGTTTGCTGAAGCCAGATTTGGATGGGCAGTTTGGGAAGGTCTATTATTACCTTAGGCTCATTCTCTGAAGCCGTCTTTGGGTAGCTGATTCTTCTCCCTCCCCCGCCCTCTCCCCTCTTTTATCCTGAAGTCTGGGGCAGGTGTGTTGTTTTTAGGGTCTGGTGAATAGTCAAAGCTGGGCTGGGAGCTGAGATTTCAATAGACGATCCATTTATAAGAGAGTGTGAGGTGCAGTCAGATCTTTGGGGAACCTGCATCTTGCTTTCTGACTTACCTGCGATCCTACTGTTCAGCTCAACAAAAGGCAAGTTGAAAGAGCGCTCCCCACTTCATCTGGCTTATGAAAGGAGCAAGGCCTGGCTGTGAAGAGGCCCTGTAGGATTATTCTCTCCAACTTAGAAATTTATCCAATTTTCTCTGTTCTTTATCAGAGTAGAAGGCAAAAGCTTTGCCGGTGTAGACTGAAAGATCGCGGTATAAAAAGCAATCTTACTGACATGGGGTTTTGAAACCTGCTCCCAAGCCTGAGTGATGTCTCCCTCCACCAGTTGGAAGGCAGAGTGGAATTGGCACAGGGGCATTAGCCAGCAGACAGCAGATCAGAAACGGACTCTCTTTGAGGCCAGCTGTGAGGAGCACTGTGAATCCTGAAATGAAAGAAAACTAAAAAGGCCGAGAGGCTGATTTCCAGAGTGATATTTTGCGTTACAGCAGAGCTTATATCTAAATTAGAGAAATGCCATTGACTTCGTTTAGATCCAAATTTTAGATTTCCTTAGAGAGGCTTTTCCACCTTTAAAAATGCCTAATTTCCATAAAGAGAAGAAGAAAGGGATGCAGGTGACTGTCTCATTGAAGGTAATGGTGGGCAGATCAAGGAATTGTTGTAAGGTTTGATGTTTTGGGGGGCTCCTAATCAACCCATTGTCTTAAAAGCACCTCTTATTATTTTCTCCAAGGAATGGTGCTGTAGTCCTAGTCTTCTGAGCCCTTAAAATGAAGAAAGAGAACAAAGCTTAGTCCATTTTTGCAATATAAGCAAATCATAATGACACAGTGGGACGAGGTAAACTGAGGCTTGAAGAATTAAAATGGCTTACTCTTAGCCCATCGTGACTAAATTTGATTCAGTGTTTTAAATCCTGCTTTCATTGACTCCTTCCCCCTTCACTTTTGCTACCACAAGAACAAAACTCTAACTGGCTCTTGTCCCTAAGTACTCTCACATGTTTTCATGAGAACAGAGGGGTTGACATGACCTTCCAGTGTCACAGAGGGAAATCGAGTCACATTTTGGTAAAATTTGCCCCTAGTTACAGCAGGGTTGATCTGGGCTCAAAGCAATTTTTTCAACCCAATACTGAGTGGAGCGATTTGATATGGGCAGGTGGTCAGTCATCTCCCTGGCAGCATACATAAAAGAATCCTGGCCGCTGCCTGGGTCTGAGCACATGTCTCAGCTCTTTCTTTAAGTGAGAGTTCACAGAAACCATCACCTTTGGCTGCAGATCCTGCTGGTGGGGGCTTCTTGTATCACGTGCAGGATTCATTATTTACCTCCTGGCAGAATGCACAATGCAAATGACTGGACTTGATGACCCGCAGAATGCGCTCCTGAGGAAGGGGCTGAACTGTTGTAAGGAGACTTATTGCAAATGCCATTGCAAGTCAAGGACCTTCTTGAAGTGCCCTAAGAGTCTTGGGCACTCTGCTGAGAAAGCCCACGACTTTCTTTCTGCAGTTTCGCTACAAGTCGGACCTCATGGCCATGAAGGGGACAGGATGGCTAGCACTGAGATCCCCACAGATAGAGAGCGCCAGGAAGGCGGGAGAACTCATCAGCGAGGTACCATCAACCTGTCCCTTCCAGAGTGACACTTCTTTGAAGAGAGAACCTGTTCATGGAGTAGGGATCCCAAGCGGGATCCAGGGCTGCTGGATTCCCAGTGTTTTTCTGAGACCATTTGCAACAAAATTCTAAAACGGAATGAGATTTCCCACCAAAGGAAATCACTATTGGGGAACTAAAGGCAAACATGTTAGAAGGTTCTCAGTAAACACAGTATATACAATCATGATCAAATATGGCCATTATTTTATTGGAGGCAAGGAGTTTGCACCTGCCTACCGAGTTGACTCATAGTGTCTAGTGTCCAGACAGTCTCAGAGAGTGTTAAAGGTGGCACACAGTGTCCTTCATTGAATTCCCCACCAGGTTAATGACCTGGAGATCCCTCCCTTGGAATCCCCTTATGGGTGACTCTGCCTTCTCTGTGTCCTTCATAATGGAACTTGTCTGGTCAGGGTCCAAGCAGGATCACATTAATGCTGAACATTGTCCTCTGCTCTATTCCTTTATTGTGAAGAGTCTTTTTCTTTAAGAGAGTCAATACCTGTAAAATGTTCCTAATCACAGAAGAGAGCTTGGATCTTTCCCATGCTATTGATTTGGGTACCCACCAGAAAGATTTGTTCTCCAATAATGTCACTGGTATCTTTGATTCTAAAGGGGGTGGGGTGAAGCCTCATCTGGGAAAATGCATGATGTGCGACTGTGTTTGGTGGAAACCTTTGTCTTTCTCTTATAGACCAAATACCGTAAAAAACCAGACAGTATCAAGTTCACCACAGTGGTTGACTCCCCAGATCTGGTTCACGCCAAGAATAGCTACATGCATTGCAACGAGGTGGGTTCTTTCTCCTCACTCATCCTGGGCATGCGGTGGGGTGCAGCTGCTCAGTGGTCAGTGCTGAAGAACACAAGCTCTGGGTTCAAATCCTGTTTGTGGGGACTTCCTGTATCATAGGCCTGGTCCATTATTTAACTCCCGGAATGGAAACCTTCTGAGATTGCAAATCTTCTCTCTAGATGACTGTGGGTCAGTTACTTTCACTCTTCTAACCTCAGGTCTCTTATGTGAAGGGGGTTGCGGGACAGGGGAAAAATGAGAGCAATGATTTCATGAGATTAAGTGAATTAAGTGAGGATTAAATAAATAAAAGCAAATAAAGCTTTTAGCGAGTACGGCAAGTACTGTATAAATGCCCCTTATTATGGCTTGATCCATAATCATAATGATAATAATGCCAAGTATTATTGATGATCCCTTACCCTGCGAGAGACCAGATATATCTTAATTGCTGATGAATGGCAATGGAATTAAAAGCTTAATATAACCCAGTTAGGTTAAAAAAAAAAGAAAGAAAAAGAAAAGGAAAAGGAAGAGCAGCTACGTTCAATCTGCTTTTGCTCCCTGTATAATTTAGCTCCATTTCCTCTATCTTGTATTTATTTCAAGAAGTGGGAACGTATTTTTCCCTCTCCTGGATTGTCAAGGAATCAATCCTGTAAGCACGGGGACAGAGCTGCCCCATCCACACAGGGAGCCCAGATGCTGTACTGACCTGTACATTTGCATTTGCAAAGTCCATAGTGAATTTGAGACTGGATTAGACTCTTGTATTTTCCTCTTTAAAATTACATGAGACTCAAATACTTTCTAAAATTGTTCGCACTTTTTTTTTTTTTTTTTGGTACTGGAGATTGAACCCAGGGGTGCTTAACCCCTGAGCCACATCCCCAGTCCTTTTTATATTTTATTTTGAGACAGGGTCTTTCTAAGTTGCTTAGGGCCTTGTTAAGTTGCTGAGGCTGGCTTTGAACTTGTGATCCTCCTGCCTCAGGCTCTTGATTCCCTGGGATTCTAGGTGTGTGCCACCAAACCTGGCTACAAGTTTTCATTTGCTGCTCTAGATGTAGCAATCATGATGTAGTTTGAGTTTTAAAATTGTATCTGCTTGGGTCCTGGGTGAGCTGTGAAAAGCTTAAATTTTTTTGAATACATGTTGACATTTTGTAATAAGAATAACTTCTTAGGTGTATTATTATTATTATTTCTATTAGTATTAAACAACAAAGGCCTGAAGCTGTATCTTATTACCAGTAAAAATCATGTGTCATGCTCCCTTGCAAAGACCCTCTGAAATATCCACACACCTTAGACTGCAAGTGTGGCCAGCCAGTATGTTGATTTGTGATCCATTTGGAGCAGATCTTGGTGAATATTTTTAACAGGGTCTATGTGGAACCAGCCACCTCCACTTGACCCTGGTCCCAAAGGCTGCTGCCTCCAGGCACAAGATTCTAGAAGGACCTCTCCTTGTGTAGGGCTGGGTTTTGCTCCATCTGGTGGGCAGTTGTGTGGGAGGGGCAGGAGAGAGAATCAGCTGCTTCTGCCCTGTGGCTTCACCCTTGACCATGAGTCTGCCTTACCCACAGCGCCTGTACAGGTTGGGGGATGCAGAAGCCCTGCACAGATACACCCTGATCCCCGACCACCCTGAGTTCACCCGAGCCCGCCTCAACGCACTGCACCTGAGTGACGTAAGTGAGCTTCTGGTCCCTGTCCTGTGGGCCTACTTTGCTAAAATGACCTGTGCCCGAAGTGGATTTTATTCATTAGAAATAGAAGAGTCCTAGGAAGGAGGAGGTGAAAGAGAAGGAACAGTGAACTGAGAGTGGGACACACTGTTTGTGTGACTTTTGACACTTTCCTTGCTGGACCTGTTTGCTCACCTGTAAAACCCGGTTGAGGCTGAGCGACATGAGGTTCCTTCTGGCTCTAATATTCTGATCTGGGCATGGCTCCATGGACCTTAGTGTGTGCTAGATAGTGGTCAGGGGCGTGTTCTCCTGGCCCCTGCAGGTGTCTGCATCCTGGTTCCCTCAGCCATCCAGAGGAGTGCAGCCATGGAGATGGAGTGGCGCCACCTCACCCTGCACCTTGGGGAGACGCCCCATGGTAGCCTCTCCTGTCCGAATGCACTTGCCTCTCTGTCCATGTATCTGTCCCCTGCAACACTCCAGTTTCCCTGGGATGCCTGCATGACCAAGATGCTGTTTCCTAGACCCAGGCTTGTTGTTAGCAGGGGTTGGAGCCCCCCCACCCCCCGGTAGTAATAGAATAGGCAGCTGCATGGCCAGCAAAGCTGTGATCCCTGGATAACAGGTAGAGAGGCGTTGGAATCAAAAGACGTTCTCAGATTGGAATAACACAGGCTGAGTGTGTCAGCCTGGGGCAGCGAGCGGCCTCCCAGAGCCCGGCCATTCTTCCCTCCCTGGCCTGGCCATTGTGTCCTGGGGCTCCGTGCAGATCGACAGCTGCTGCCGCTCACCCCAGAGGTGGCCGCCTCGCAGGGGTTGGCAAGAGGCGCCTTCTAGTTAGCGTGTGTATTAGTTTGTTGCGTTTGTAAAGCCCTGTGGGATCCCACGCAGTGAATGCGCTGGTGCTTTATAAATATGAGTTATTATGACCATTTGATGCTTTTGAGGGATGCACGAGGGATAATTTTAGAACAGAAGCTCTGGTGGGCTGACCTCCATCTGGGGAAGCTGGACCGCCCCCTCCACAGAGCTGGCTCAGGACATCTAGCTCATTAAGCGGCCAGGATGGGGAGGCAGGGCCTCCACTGGAGGGACTTCCGGAGGCCCAGAGCCATGGAAGCTGGGATCAAATTGCCAGTCCACTGGGGGCCCAGCTTAAGGAGGAAAGAAGCCACCCCAGGTTAGTGGCGGGGAGCATCTTCCCTCTCATGGGGGGCCAGCCCCACAGAGTCCTCGAGCTGAAATTAGCTGCCGGGGCGTGCAGGTGTGAAACTCATGGACCTCATTTGAAAGAGCGCTTCTCTGGGGGCGTGTGGAATACGCACAATTGGATCAAGTGCTCTGCGAGGAGGAGGTGGAGGCAAAGTGACCTTCCTGGGCAAAGAAAGCCATTGAGATGTGCAAGGCAGCCGGAATAACTCAAAATCAAATGGCTCTAATGCGTGAGGACGAGGACAAGACTGTGCCCACTGTGATCAAGAAGAGGAGCGCCTAGGGTTCCAAATCAAAGGGCCTCCAGAATCTAAGGATCCCAGTGGCAAGGCAAAAACCTCAACAGAATAAAAAACTCAGGGGGAAGTGATCACAATCAGGCAAAGAGTAGACAGGAGGAAGAACAGGAGAAGGAGCTCGGGCCACTCTCCGGCCAGATGACCCCCGAGCCACCGATACTCCGAAGCTGGGTGCATGGGACACCAGCGTGGGATGACGTTGGGCTTGGAGGTTGTGCAAAGCTTGGTGTCATTAGCCAGCCTGGGCCTGGCATGGAGGCTCTTCTCAGAGAGGCACTGTGTCCCTGACACAGAGGGTGACAGGGCTTTTTGACTATTTGCTATCTGATGAGGTGGGGTCACCAAAATAGGAAGCATCATGCTGAAGGGGATCGCTGTTCTGCTGTTATCTGAAGGCTCCTCCCTTCTGTCTTCCAGTGCTAGCCGCCAAACTCGAGGGTGACACCCAGTAAATGGATTGTTTAGGCTCTGTATCCATCAATTAGGTGATTTCCCCAGCATGACTGGTCTGTGTTCCAGGCCCTCGGACACTGTAGATATTTGGTTCCTGGTCTGCGCTGTTGGATTTTGGAGGGGGAAGTGGGGGCGAAAGTGAGGGTGATGACCACAGGCACACACAGGTGACAGACCCGCCCTGCCTGGCCCAGTGCTTCATGGTTCCCTCTGGTGCCAGGCCCAGCTTGGGAGGGGCTGGGCCTCTTTGTTGCTTTCTGCCCTTCCTCCTTTGCTCCATCTCCCAACCCACCCCCCCACCCCACCCCCCCACCCCCGTGGAACAGAGGACCAGCCTTGACCTCTATTTCCGGGTGACAAGAGTAAGATTCTTTAAGGGCCCTGCCCCGCTGTGGCTGATGAAACAAGCGAGTCGTGATGAGGTCTGGGGCCGTCACTTTGTCCTCTGTTGGTGATGTGCGGCTTTCCTGCTGTCTCCCTTCTCTGTGGCTGAATAAAAGCGAGCCCTCTGCTGGGACCTCCCGAGGACGCCTTTCATGGAGTCATTCCCTTACCTTGGGAAAAAAAAAAATCGCTACATGAAGGCGCTGGAGATTTTGACACCTCCGTTGGTGGTGTGGGTCTACCTGAGGACCGAGGCTGTGATTCCAGACTCCTGGAGGGGGCCCGGGGACAACCTGAAAAGGGAAAAAATGAAAGAAGGGACATGAAACACATGGGTCACAAACTCAGGTTCTTGACAATACACTGAATCCAGGTGAAGGCTCCTCCCTTGGAGCAGGCCCCTGGGGTGCTCAGGAGAGGTGTGGGATGTGGCATCAAAACCAGGCCAAGCCCTCACCCCAGGAGTCACTGGAGCTAACAAACCCGCAGGTGTCAAGACCCCAGGAACAGCGCCATCAGCACGTGGGAGGAAACTGGGTTCTTGAACTTTGAGCTCCGGCCCGTAGAACTGCAGACCCTGGACCCAGAGAGTGAAGGCAGAGATGGGAAGGAAGGGGAAGGGGTGTCTGAGACCCAGGCCCACAAGAGCAAGATCCAGTGGTCGGGTTGGGGGCTTAGAGCTGAAGGCCTTCATGGCCAGCCCCAGTGATCCCAGAGCTGGGGAGTCCCCAGGATGCAAGGGGGCCATGGGAACCATTTTTGGGAACTCCTCTTGCTGAGAATCATTACACGGCGACAATGGAGTCGCCCCTGCTTACCCACGCTTTTCCTTTCCCCATCTAGAAAGTCTACAGAAACTCCTGGGAGCAGACCCGCGCTGGCGGCTACGACTTCAGGCTGGACGCCATCCCGTTCCAGACTGCTCGGGCATCCAGGGAGATCGCCAGCGACGTAAGACCCTGCGCGCTCTGCATTGTTGAGAGGGTTGCTTGGTTTCCCCTGCTCTGCTGAAAAGCACAGGACAGGCACCAGGACTATCACGAGTGCCCCTCTCTCCACATCAAACCTGAACGTGGATTTCAAAGGAATGAAAAATCAGGGCCTGATTTCTAGGATCTTAGCCAGAAATTTGGGGTGGGGAGGGTTGCCTTCCTACTCCCTCTCTTAAGAGTGGCAATCCTAAGAGTGGACGGATGAGCATCTGGAGGTCAGAGAACATGTGATTGGTTGGTGTGCAGGGAAGGGACCTCTTTCAGCCGAAGTGCATGTGGAGAGGAGAAAGCCTTTGGGCCTGTGCCCTACATTGGCTTGAGTTCAAATCCTGGCTCAGCCACTTAGGATTTGGCTGCTTTCTTCAGCAAGTTGCTGATATTCTCTGAACTCAAACTTCTACGTCTACGAAATGGAGATTTAGTACTTGTCTTCTAGGACTGATGTAGGGATGGAAATGAAATGGCTTACAGTGTCTGGCTCATGGCAGATGTTCAAAACCCAGCTGCCATAATTAGTGAAGAGGAGAGCTTCAGTAACTAGACAGGAGGCACAGGCTCACCCCACAGCCAGCTGCTTGCCAGTCCACCATGAGATAAGTACATAAATCAAGAGCTGGTGATCAGAAACGTTCTTAGCAACAGACAATGAGACAGCAAAGCGTGTGGTTGATTGGTGGACTCTTCTCACTCAACAGGGTAACGGCCAATCTGGGTATTATCAAGAGCACGTGGTCCAACCGCACATGGGTCTTTGACGGAGTAGAAATTTAACAACACAAAATGAAACAGGTTCCTCACCATAAATGATTTGAGAAGTACCTGACTAGGTCTGGTACTAGGGATCAAAGGAAGTATCAAGAGCCACCATCGGTGGGCTTGAATTGGTGCTGGACTTGAAGCCCCACCCCCATCTCATTGAATCCTCTCAGCATCCCATGGGGTGGAGAGTCATCCTTCCATTTTATCAGATAGGGAAACTGAGGCTGAGAGAGGCCCAGCCAATGATCCAGGGCCACAGAGGTAGGTCTACTTGAATCCAAAGCCTGTTTCTAGCCACTGTGGTGCTTCCGGCTGAGAATCATGTGGGCTCCCTGGAGTCTGGCCCTGGAGGGGAGGTAGGCTCGTGACCCTCTGCTCTTCTGACTTGCAGTTCCGGTATAGAGAGGCCTTCCTGCGGGACCGGGGCCTGCAGATTGGCTACCGCAGCATCAACGATGACCCGAGGATGAAGCATTTCCTGAACGTCGGCAGGCTCCAGAGTGACAATGAGTACAAGAAGGACTTTGCCAAGAGTCGGTCCCAGTTCCACAGCCGCACAGACCAGCCTGGCTTCCTCCAGGCCAAGAGGAGCCAGCAGTTGGCCAGCGACGTGCATTACCGGCAGCCCCTGCCCCAGCCCACGTGCGACCCCGAGCAGCTGGGCCTGAAGCACGCGCAGAAGGCCCACCAGCTGCAGAGTGACGTGAGTACCTTCACAGGTCCCATGTTCCCTTCTGGGGCGAGCCAGGCTGTCTGAGACACTTTCGTACCAGGAGGACTAGAACAGTAATTGCCATTTCTCAAATCTCTCCTGGGGGCCAGGCTCTGTGCCAAATGCTCTTCCAGCATTGTGTCCCGTTGTCCTCAACCCCAGGACTGCTTCATTTTATAGATCAGGAACTCCAGATTCAGAGAGGTTAAATAACCTACTCAAGATCACACAGCAATTAAGTGGCAGACCTGGGATGTGACCCACCTTTGGCTTGATGTGACAGCCCAAGCTCTTGGTCGATCACTATACTACCTCCAGTGGGTCCTAGTAGTCATCCTACCCAACTCTTGCACTTTCCCTGGGAAGAAACTAAAGTTCAGAGGAGGAAAGTTAAGTTAGTGAGTTAGAGCAGGCCCCAGATCCTCCTCACCCTCATTGCTTCAGTGGGCAGATGAGGGAAGCTGCAGCTGGCCAGCTCAAGGTCCCCATGCAGGGAGCCCCTGCTTAACACGACTCCACTCCTCTCATCCTGGCTTTCCTGACAACTACGTATTCGGCTTCTTCTGGCTTCCTTTTAAAAAAAAATCCTATCTGCCAGGTGGTCCAAGAACCCCAAACCCTGCTGACTTGTTCCTCCTGCTTCTTCCTTCCCCCAAGGTCAAGTACAAATCAGACTTGAACCTGACTAGGGGTGTCGGCTGGACCCCTCCCGGCTCCTACAAAGTGGAAATGGCTCGGCGGGCTGCAGAACTGGCCAACATGAGGGGCCTGGGTCTCCCGGGGGCTTATGTGAGTAGCCAGTAAACCCTGCCCCCCGTCTTGCAAGACCATGGGAAAGACAAACTCATTGTTTCTTTTCAAAGTTTATTTTTGGCCAAAGGTCAGCTGGCGCTAAAGAAGTGTGAAACACAGCTCGAGCGAGGCGCCTAATTTCCTGGGTCTGAGATGACCGGGCGGATGACATGTGGGTTAAACTTCCTGCAGGGTTTTCTCTGAAGTCGCAGCCATTAGTTCTGCAGAGGCAAACCTACCAGGGCGACATCAATCCCGGGCCAGGGCAGCCCGGGCTGCGTTGACTGCTTGCTCGTTACAGGCGCGGGAAGGGTCAGGGACTCTCTGGCTACAACAGTCTGCGTTTTGAACCCTACTTTGTTCAGAAGAAAGATTCCACGGCTAAATGAGAGATGGGCTCTGCTGCTTTCTCGTCCTTGCCTTGAGGATCACTTTTCTTGGGCAGGGTGGGGGAGGGGAGGGTGAGCATGTTCAAGGCTCCGGGGGCATCTTGGTACGTCTTGTGGGAGCAGGGCAGGGGCTTCCTTTCAACTGAGGGAAGTATGTTTGGTTTCTGCAGGGGGAGCCGGAGGTGGTGGAGGCTGGAGGTCACCCGAGGGGGGAGGTGAACCCAGATGCCACTGAGATTCTGCACGTCAAAAGGAAAAAGGCTCTGTGGATGTGAGCAGGCAGCCCACCCCCCATTCTCGAGAGAGACGCCACAGAGGAAGTCTGCTTGCCAGACACATCCGTGCCCAAGATGGCTTCGGTTTGGGCAAGCTGTGAAACACAGCACACCAGCCCATCCCCAGAGCTGCCTTTATTAAAATAACAATTCTGAAACCAAACGGAGGAGGTTGTATTTTTTTGGTCGTCTCCCGCCCCAGGAGGGTGGCTGGTTGTGTTGAGTGCCTCAGTGTTTGGAATGAGGAGAGTCCAGGTGACTGCCCCTGGCGCTGGGCATCCTGCAGTCTCGCATTTGCAGATGTCCCCGGTGAAGGCAGACTCTGTGAATGCTGATTTTCTAGAGGGCACGGTTGTTTGACGTTGATGCCGTCATTCCTGGGAGCCTCGTGAGATGGTACTGGTCCCACCAGGTCCAGCCTGGATGGCAGTTATCTCTGCTCAGAGCCTGGACACTCTGGCTGTGGCCTCCTGGAGGCTCCAGCAATGTCCTTGACTGCCCAGGAGGGCCCCTTGGTGCAGAGGGGTTCTGGGGTCCTGAGGACAGCATCTTAGAAGCCTGTCTCACTGTGGATGGTGGTTTTGATCCAATTCAGGAACTTGGTGACTTGGGTGTAGACGCCTGGTTTCTTCCCACATTCTAGTCCCCAGCTCACGATCCCGTAGACGTAGTAGGTGCCATCCTTCTCACAGGTCAGAGGGCCTCCAGAGTCACCCTGAGGGGGAGAGCAGGCGGAGTTCAGTCTCCTGGGCCAGAAGACATCAGAGACGCCCCCACCTCTCTCCCACCTCCTGCTCCTGGTCCTCTGGATGTGATCACTGCCAGTTCTCAGGGGCTTTCTACTTCCTCTGGCAGTGACCAAGGGGATGAGCCCTGTTTGGACAGACCTACAACTGGGGGAGGGCAGGGACTCCGAGGCAGCATGGCCTAGCCCACGGTTCAACCTGGGCTGTGGGGTTGGGTCCTCTGGGTTCCGAACCATTTGATAAACGGGGCCTCAGTTTCTCAATTCTAATCTGTGGATGGCAACAGACACCCCTCCCAAGGGCTCTTGTGAGGATTCTTTGTAAAGTACATAGAATGGGCCTGGAGGAAGTGGTGAGGGGGAGGGTGGGGAGGAGACAGGGGGTGGGGTGGGGGGTGGGGGGGGGGACGCGGGCTCCTCCCAGTCACTCCTGCTTTCACTAACAGGGTTTAAGCAGTGACTGCTCTCTCTTAACCGGAGCTGCCACCTTACCATCTGAGGGACACATTAGTCCCTTCAGGCATCTGAGATTGGAGAATTACTTTGGTGACTGAGAAGGGTCACATGACATGAGACTAAACCGGGTTTGAAACCCATGACTTTGGTTTCCAAAGCCCTCGCATTGTCTAGAGAACTGAGCAACTGCCTTTCTTACTCACCTTCCAAAGGCTCAGTGAATATTGCACCCACCTGCCTTTGCCCCTGCCTGAGCAGGTGGAAATCATGGCTTCCTCGTAAAGGCACAGGGTAGCAGGAGAGCCACAAGCTCTGGAGAAAGAAACCTCAGTTTCCCGTCCCCAGTGGGCTCGAGGCTGGCAAGTCATTGCTGGGTTCCTTTGTAGGGATGCTCTAAGAGACAGGATTTGAATGTGGCCATGCTGGGTTTTCCAGGACAGTGGGGTGGCTTCTAAGGACTATGGACAGAGAACCCTAAATTGAGGTGTTCCTGGGAATCTGGGGAGGACGTCATGTGTGATATGGGACTTGCAGGGAGAGGGGCTGCCGGGAGGGGGCTTTGACTTGGGAACCTGAGGTCTCTTCAGCACCCTTTCCTCTCCAGCTGTCCCCACAGACCTAGCAGCTTGGGACTCCCAAAAGTCTGGAGCAGGAAGAATGTCATCAGGTCCTAGGTTAATTGTGGCCCTGGAACCGCTTACTTTTCAGGACTAAATCAATTACCCCCACCTCTGTCTCTCTGTCTGTCTCTCTGTCTCTCTCTCTGTCTCTCGGCCAAGGTAACTTCTTTAAGCAGCCGTGAGGTGGTGAGGATGACACCCCTGCACCAGAAGGCTGTGAGAGTTACATTAGACCCTGCAGGCCTGCTGTGGCCATTACGCCCACTCGTCTGGCTGGATGTAGATTCAGATGCACCAGGGGAGACAGGTCCCCTGCCTGGGCCTCCACTTTGTGGCAGGTGGCCCTCTGACCCTGGCTCCCCTCACAGAGCTCTAGGGGGCCTCTGTGCCCAGCGTGATTCCTGCCAGCCTGTCCCCTGAGTGCCACTGGAGTCTCTGACCTGGCAGGTGTCCTGCCCGGGTTTCTGAAGGTTCCCTGCACAGATCATACTGTCGTCGATGGTGCGGTCGTAGAGACGGCGGGAGTTGCACACAGTGTTGGAGATCAGCTTGACCTTGGCATCCAGCAGCTGTCGGGACCCTTCTCCTGGGGGACAGGGACAAGAGTCGCTACCTCGGGGACCTGGGGGCACCCACCACACCAGAAGCCGCAGGAGTAAGGAGAAGGCCATCAGCCCTCGGCTCAGGAGAGAAGGAGGATTCCAGGAGATGGTGGAGAGGCCCCGAACTCCCTTCCCTTCAGCCTCCCCACCTGTACAGAGCCGAGCTGCCTGACAGCAGCCAAGGGGCATCGCTGGTGCCCTCCCGTCTCTCCAACGGCACCGCGAGGTCTGGGAGAGCAGGGACGGTGTGGTACCATTCTTAAATTTCCTATCTCTAACGGAAGGGCTGGCATGTAGTGTATTCAGGATGCAAGGATGAAGGCACAGATGTATCCCCGTGCATTAAATTACCTGCTTCCCAGAGATCCCCTAAAGTAGTGAAATCAGCTAAAACATGTCATTGATTTTGAACATGCAGTCTTAGAGGACTATTCAAGACAAAGAAAGGCCCCATAAGATCCCTAAGACAACATTATACCCACCCGATCACATTGAGCACAGGAGAGGAGGACAGGCTTAGGTGGATTGCAATGAAAATGGACACAAAAAGTTTTCTGGCTGACCCTAAGTCCATTTGGTCAGAAATCTCCTTTCCCAAAAGCCTTCTACAAATCTGCATATTACATTTCACTTTCTTCATGAATACAAACCGATTTAAAATGATTCTTGCTTTCCATTGTTAAGAATGAGATTGGGAGAGAGTGTTTGGGGGACAACTTGAACTTCCCCCTTTGAATTTCTTTGTATCTGAGGATCTAATCTGGCTATGAGCAGATTCCAGGCCTTGGAGATAAGTGTGATTATTGGGAGATTAAAACCGAGTTGTAATTAGTTAAAATAGATTCTACTGTCATGTATAAAAAATTTTAAAAACCCCAATGTTCTATGGGCCAAAGAAGATGTACCAAAAAAATTTTTAAAATATTTTGAAATAAATAAAAATTAAAGCATAAAAATAAATAAATAGATAAAACTGAGTTATTCAAGCAACAAAGACAAGAATCCACCACAAGCCCGTCTGACACCACAGTCCATGTGCTTTCTGCTCTGCCAAGGGAAGGAGAGAGGTCATCCAGGTTCAGGATCAAGGCGAGAGAGAAGCCAGGCATCTAGGGGCAGGACCAGGGATGGACACAGAGATCAGGGAAAGTCAGGGAAGGTTCCTTGCTGATGGTGAGATTTAGCTAGATCTGGGATGACAAGGTCGATTCTTCCTTTTGATAATGCACCTTAAACCAATTGTTTCAAGTTCAGAAGGACACGTGAGGCTGGCCCTTTTCTCTCTGGTTGATGTGGCTCTCCTGAGTCTCAGGAGAATGCATGCCAGACTCACCCGTTTCTGTCACACCCCAGCCAGAGATGTGGCACTCGGTCCCAGAGGGAAAAGGATCATCAGGCAAACAGACAGTCTTCACGTATTTGGATTCCACAGCACAATGACCATCGATGGGCTTTAACTTGAGCAGAGCTGGGTGGAGACAGAGGAGGAAGCTCAGGCCACGTCATCTCTGCCTGAGAAGCATCAGCTTCAGCTTGGTGTGAAAGGTGGTCATGACAAAGCCCTCCCACACCCTGGGCCTGAAAAAATTCTTCCTCAGTCATTTCACCTTTTAAGTTTACACCTAGGAGTAGCAACACACACTGAGAATAATATCAAGGATCATAATTGAGTTTGAAACCACTTCTAACCCACTTTAAAAAGCAGGCTGTGTCTGCTCATGAACACCTACCAGGTGCCAGGTACGGCCACTGGTTCATCGTGTCACTAAGCGTAGGAAGTTAAGAGTTGTACAACAGTGCCCACATTTTATAGAAGAGGAAACTGAGGTTCAGGGAGGGGACCAGCTCCCAGTAAGCAGGGGACCTGGGGTTCAAGGTTGAGTGCTTTCCACAACACAATGCCCTTGTATCTCTTCCACTCAACTTAAGACCTGTCGCCCATTTATTAAGATCACAAACACATACTCTTAAGATCTAAAAAGCTCTGAAATAATTTCTCTACCTTATAGGACCCACAGGGGACCAAAATGATCAAGGACCAAACCTCAGCTCTCCATCAGTGGAGAAACCCACCCAGGACGAGACCCCAGGAGATTGGCAACAGAGGAGACTTGCCAATGTCGTTGTGGGGAATCTCGTCTCTCTCATTATAGTGGCTGTACTTGAACATCTTCTCCACCCTGAAGGTCTGCTCGTGGAACTCTGTCGTCTTCAGGTCCTGGTCCCCTAGCACGACTTTTAGATGTCTGACTTTTATGCTGGAAGGGAAAATTAGATGATGGGGAGATTGTCCTGGGCCATGGGACCTGGAAGCCACACCCCAGCTCTGCTCTGGGGTGCTGGGTGACCTTCAGCAGACTCCCGACCAACAGCCTCAGCATCCTCACCTGTCATCCGCACAGGACCCTACTGTGGGTTCCAAATATGTGACACCGTGAGGGGATTTCTTTATTAATGGACGCAAACTCCAAACCCATGTTGTCATTTTTATCCATCTTTCCGGGAGACTTCCCCTTCTCCCTGGGCGTGGCTGCAGGACAGCCATCGGGGTTGTGAACACATCTGCTGACATTCATTGGTAGGTACTAATGGTCACTTGTCTGGCCTCTCTTGGGAGGCACCTCCCAGAATCCCATAATAAACCATTTAATGACAGCATAGACCGGAAGCCCTCAAGGTCCCCCCCAAAACTGGAATTTGTGGGACCAGCCCTGACCATGAACTTGGGGCCTTTGGAGGAGGGGGCAGCTCTTGAGCTCCCAGAAGTCACTTCCTTCTGGAAGCACACAGGAGACCTGGCCAAGGACACCTGACCCTGGAGGCTCATTGATACTGGCATCGGACAATGGAGTGGGTTATCTTTCTCTGTCCAGGGCAGGACTGCACAGCTCAGGAGATAGATGCCAGTTCACTCCCCATCTACCCACTTTCTTTCCACATGACTCCATTTTGAAAAGAGGAATAAAAAAAATACCCTTCACCTCCAGGTATTCACCAAGCGCTCTCTGTGTACAAACCCTGCTGTAGGCACCGAGGACACCACAATTAATAAAACAGAGAGGAATCCCCAGCCTCCCTTGACTTGTCTTCCTATAGATGGTTTTGAGGATCAAATAGAGTACGATGCATGCGACGCCCATGGCCGGCACTGACCACGCGGTGGCTGTTTTCTCTCTAGTCCTAAGAGCCACTCTTTGCCTCTGAAGCATTTGTCCCTAATCCCGCCAAGCTGCCACTCCAGTGGGAAAGGGAAACCCCCCTGCCAACAAGTCACCTGGTCCTTGCTCCCAGAGACACCTACTCAGTGCAGTGGGCAGCGGTGAGCACCCAGCAGGGGTGGATCAGCGCACCCCCACAGTAGTGGCCTTGGGGCATGGAGGTGGTCAGTGGCAGAGTGGTCTGCAGGGACACCTGCCACGGGTGCTTGCCCGCAGTGCTCTTGAAGCCGCCGTAGATCCGCTTGACCTTCCTGTCCGCTATCTCGGTCCTCCCACAGGAGGCAAACCCGGGCAGCTTGGCTGGGGGCTCTGCGGGGCCCCCCTCTAGGTTGGCAATGTCTGCAGGATGCAAGAAAACAAATCACTCGACTCAGCCTCTGCATCTCGATTCACATAACACAAGTCTACCATAGAAATAGCATCGAACACATCGCTTTCCTTCCCATTTCAAAGTGAGTTGCTCCTGGGATCTACACGCACACACACACGGAAGTGTGTGCAGATATATAAACCCATTGCTGAGCTCTTTGCTAATGAACACACACTGTATTTTGGAGCCTTGTTCAGTGCAGAGGGGCAATGTCCAGATGATGTAGAATAGGGAGATAAGATGTTTGCACAGACAACTGGGACGCAGAGGGACAGTGGTAAATGCTGCATGAATGGTCCTGAGGGTGCGTAGGGAAGGAGAGAGCGCGCCATTCAGGAGATCACGGAGGACTTCTTGGAGGAGGGTGCACTTGAGTTGGTTCTCAAAGAATGGTTGGAAATGGCCAAGAGCAGATATGGGATGAAGTGTTCTACCAGAGGTGACCCTGAGAGCCAGGCACAGGTGTGACTGTGGTCAGGAGGAACCCCTGCTGGTCAGGGTAGGAGAGCACATGTTCTGGATGTGGTGCAGTTTTTGATGGGCCTGGGGAGGCTGGCAGGAGCCCTGGAGCTGGAATTCAGACCACGTGCTTCCTCAGAGGCGGGGGGCCAGCAGAAACTAATCACTATCATAGACCCCAGGCCTGGCCTGGCACCTGGAACATGGCAAGTGATCAAAACCTAGCCGCTGAGTGTAGCAACCCAGAGTCCAGAATCACAGGCTGGAGGTTGGACACCTGGCCTGGGTGGGAGAGTGTCCAGCTTGTGGAGAATCCAAGGGTTGCTGAGGGTGGGTAGGTGGAAGGCGGGGTTGGCAAAGAGGTGTGGAGGGGGAACAGGGTTGGCTGGAACCGGGTGCCAGGACCGTCTCCTCCCACCCTATGGGCCTTGGGACAGCCCTGCTTACCTGAGGCTGAGCAAGCCAGAACGTCGCAATACTCCCACTTCACCTTCTCACTGTTGACCTTAATGAAACACCACGGCTTTTTGTCTCCATCTGGGTTTCTAAGGTAAAAATTTAAAAAAGTAACTCAGAGTCAAGGCTTGAAGACCTCAACCTCCTCCAAAGCCCTTGGGATCAGCTCTGAGCTTCCCCTGGGACAACTCTCCATTTGAACCCTCTTGTTGAGAGCCACAGCCGAAGGGGCCCCAGCAAACTTCCAGCTGCCAGCAAACTTCCAGCTGCCAGCTGATGATTGGCTCACAGCGGCCCCAGCAAACTTCTAGCTGCCAACTGATTGGCTCCTCTGCGGTGATGCTCATTGGGCTATTTCCCCGCCCTTTCAGACCACGGAGCTGCTCATTGGGGGACTTTTTTTGGCTCCGCCCACGTGACCCAGCCAATCGGCCTCAAGAGCAGGAGGAGTGGGGGAGATGGAGAGGCTTGTGGGAAGCCGGTGGTGGCAGTTGGGCTCTGAAGGTTTTCCTGAGGAGCTGTGTGGTTTGGTGTGTGTGTTCTAAAAATAAAGTTCGTTTCTTTTGACAAGTGGCTCCTGAATTGTGCCCAGCCAGACTGCGGCATTTGGTAGGCCGCATGGGGAATGACTGAGGGTAAGTGATAAGGTAAACTGCTCGCCCCTGAGGGCAGGGCGAGAGGATGGGTAGCCATTTTAAGATTCTTCTTTTGTTTTGTTTCACTTTTGTTTTAAGTTGCCTGTCCCTGGAGATGAGTGAGACGGAAGAAAAACCGCTCACATCTGAGGAAAAACTATTTGCGTCTGAGGAACAGATAGGGAGAAAGGACGGATGGACATTTCAGGAGGATAGAAAGGCTGATATAATGATTTTGTGTGGTTCCATTTTTATTTCATTCTGTCTCGGTTTTGTTTGGCGTCATCTTGTTGGGTTGTATTATAGTAGAAATATGGGATCAGAAATTAGTAAAAAACAAACCGAAAGAGTGTTAAGTAAATTGTTAGAGGAAGGAGGCATCCCAGTAAAATCAAGAGCAGTCAGGGCACACGTTGATACAATACAAAAATGTAGCCCATGGCTTTTTAAGGAGGAGTTGTTGAATATATCACAATGGAACCATCATGGTGAAGATTTAAAAAGAATAGAAAAGAAAAGCCCAGGAACTCTGCCAGTTGGCACATTGACATTGTGGGCGTTGGTATCTTGTTTGCTTAGTCCAAAGCCTTCAGTTCAGACAATGGTAGAGGAAGGAGAAGACATATTGATTCAAGTAAAAGAGAAGGTCTCTCAAGTTAGTCAGAAAGAGGAAAAGATTCAAGTAAAAGAGAAGGTCTTTCGAGCTAGTCAGACAGAGGAAGGAAGTTTAGAGCAGAAAAAGCCATCAGGAGGAAAGTTACAACAGGAGACTGCTACTAACACCTTTCTATCACCAGAGGGCGTAAGTGTCCAACCAACAGCGCCACCTCCATATGCTGGGAGGCCCTCAACACCCCCGTACGGGCCACCAAATGCTGCAGTCTGGCTGGGCACAATTCAGGAGCCACTTGTCAAAAGAAACGAACTTTATTTTTAGAACACACACACCAAACCACACAGCTCCTCAGGAAAAACCCTCAGAGCCCAACTGCCACCACCGGCTTCCCCCAAGCCTCTCAACCTCCCACACTCCTTCTGCTCTTGAGGCCGATTGGCTGGGTCACGTGGGCGGAGCCAAAAAAAGTCCCCCAATGAACAGCTCAGTGGTCTGAAAGGGCGGGGAAACAGCCCAATGAGCATCACCACAGAGGAGCCAATCAGTTGGCAGCTAGAAGTTTGCTGGCAGCTGGAAGTTTGCTGGCAGCTGGAAGTTTGCTGGGGCCCCTTCGGCTGTGGCTCTCAACACCCTCTGACGGGTTAGCAGAGCTCGGGGTACGGAAATCCCAGGGACCAGAAAGGGAATTCTTCAGCCCGAACCTCTGGATCCCAGGCAAGATCCTCTGAGAACAGCCAGCCAGGAGGCCCCACGAAGACAGCTTCAGGAAGGGAGCAGCCCCAAGAGGGACAGGGAGGTGCCCAGCACTTTGCTGAGTGGGAAACCTCCCTAGAAGACGTCCAGTCTGTCTCAGGATCTGTTTCCAAATCAGGCAACCAAGACTGGGCCCAGAGACCGTGGTGCTCTTTACCTACAGAAGTTGTGCTCCCCAATCCCATGGGCCTCTGCCTCCTCCATGAACATGTTGTAATTCTCCTGCAGCAGGAGGTGGGAGTTCCAGTAGAGGCAGGGGTGCTGGTTGACTGTCCTGCTCACACTCCCGCGGTAGGAGTAGCCGTCACCAACGTAGCAGTCCTCAGGACCTCGGAGAGGGCGACAGGGCTGTGAGGACAGGGGGCGATGGGTGTGCTGCTTCAAGGGGCCTGAGTCGTTATTGTTAGGTGCAGAACAGGCTGAACTATGTTATCTGCAGGGCAGGCTGAACAAATGTTAGCTGCAGGATGGCCCACGCACTCAAACCTCCTTCTGTCTGGTCCTTTATCACCTGTTTGCGTCAAAGCTGAACATTCAGCCCCCACTCAAGGCTGAACACTCAACCCCCCTTTGTGCCAACAAGGCAGCTTGCAGACCAGAGGCCCTGTTAGATTTGGGCTATAAAAACTCCCTCCTGATGGGCCCCTCTCTCTCTTGCTCTCTTGCTCTCTCTTGCTCTTGCTTTTGCTCTCTCTTTCTTTCTCTCTCTCTCTCTCTCTTCTCTTTCTCTCTTTTCTCCTCTGTTGCACTTCTGCAAAAAGATCTCTTGGTCGCTCCGAGTGTTGTGGTCACTTTCCTTTCAGTTATCACTCGGAGAGAGTTCATCACAAGGTTCTAGAAAGTTCCACACTGAACCCAACTTCAAAACATGAAAAATACTTGTTGGGAGGTGGGTGAGAAGTTAAATTCTCAACTTGGGGCCTAGAAAGGGACATGTAGAGGGTGAATTGAAGCCCAGGTATGCCCAGGTGTGATCCATCTGCTTGCAATATGTCCCAGATTATACCATCTTTACCGGGAGCCAGACACAGCCTTGGGTTGGGAGGACGAGGCAGGAGTAGGGTTTGGGAAACTCAACTGAACTGTGTTCTGGCAACAAAACCCAAGCAGAAGAGGATTCCAGAGGCCTCCATGATGGCCCTGAGTTTCCGGGGAAGCGGTGGCTGAGACCCATACCTATTTCGCAGAATCTCCCACTGAACTGCTCAGGGCAAGCGCAGCTAAACCTGGATCTCCGCTTATGCCGCGAGCAGGTGCCGCCGTTCTGGCAGGGATTGGGCCTGCACACAGGAGCCGCTGTGAACACAGGAATCGGGGCCAGGAGAGCTCCTCAGGAGGAGTTGCAGCCTCCCTATGAGACGACCAGGGGATATTGGTGGCACTTTTCTGCTGTCAACTTTTACAACAGATGGATCACCAAAGGGGAGAGGCAGACCCATGGACATTCTAGTAAATGCACACATGAGCTCTAGGAACATAAGCAGATGTGGAAGAAGCAACACAGGTGGAGGCCATGCAAAAAGAGCACATGTATGTAGATGGGTCACCCAGCAAGGAGAAGAGGCCGGCATAGGCAGAGCAGAAACTGGGGATGAGTCTGGGCTAGGCTGAAACTTGGCTCTTGCCTTGCATAGCTGTGTGGCCATGAGCAAGTTAATTAACCTGTCTGATTTCAGTTTCTTCATCTATAAAACTCTTCCTTGCAAAGTTTTGGGAGAATGTGAACGAGATTGCAAATCTCCTGGAACAGCACCTGACTCAGCAGTGATTCAAGGTAGACTAATCCCCCAGCATGGCCCATCTTAGGAATCCTTTAATGCCAACTCCCCAGAGGGAGTGGGTTTTGATTCTTTCTGGATGGGAAGGGACACAGATCAGTCAATTCCCACTGGGCTCTCCAGGGAGGATTAGTCTTAAAATTCTAGTTCAGAAGGCCATCATGGATGCCACGGAAACGTCAGTTACTTTACGTCTGGACTTGCACACAATGAGATGCAGTGGTTCAGGCACAAGCAGAAAAGGGGGTTCCACCACCTACCTCTGGAGCAGTCTGGACCCGTGTAAGGGTATTTACAGGCGCAGCGGTAGTAGGGGGGGCTGTGCGTGATGAGACATTCGCCCCGGCCACATGGATTGTTCTTGCATTTGTTTTGTGCTGTAGGAGATGGACAGAGAAACAGGGGGAAACATAAGACATTGTCTGGGCACCTTTTGTTTAGAGGGATACCTGCATGGGGCATTGGGTGGGGTGGGCAGAAGAGCTGTCTGTGGCCTTGTCCATGGTTCTGAAATGCCCTGCTGCACCGATGGCTGCTCTCTCATCCCTGGGTCAAGGGTGTTTGCTTCCTATGTTCCTTTCACTGCTCAGAGTCTTTGTTTTTTTCTCTTTTTAGTAAAAACCTTGATACATTTTACACCTTGAACAAACAGCTAGTATTTTAGTCTCTGCATCTTATAACCGATTTCATATTTCATTTTACAGTTTTGTCTTTCTTCTGAGAAGTCGAGGGATGAACCCAAATGCAATGTCCATGTCCAGCATCCTCGACCACCCTGAAACACTTATTGGAGGAACATAAGGTTTGAAAATGGAAGAAATAAATGGGAAAGACACAAAGGAAAGAAGTCGGCTCCAAGGTCCTCTATATGCTCCAGACCCTTGCTACCTCCCCACATCCCAGTAGGATTCTTTGCAGTGCTAGACTGGACAGAGTCCAGGTTCTCTCTAGGGGTGCAACACCCATAGGAGTCCTAGTCCTGATGGGTATCCCATGGATCTGTCTCCATGTTACGCCCTCAAGAGCTTACAGAAGGCCAGCACCTTGCGGATGGCAAAGATGAAAGAGCCCGGGGCTGGGAGCCAGGTACCAGGGCTCTCATTTCTGTTCCCTCCTAACTCGCTGTGGGAACTGGAGCAAGTCTCTGCACTCTGGGCTTCCTTTCTCTATCTGGGTTGCACCTGATGCGCCCTGAGGGTCTTCCTGCTGTCTCATTTGGGGACAGTATTTCTCTGGTGTGATTAGTCCAAATGTTCCGAAAGCTGAGTCCTGAGTTTGGAAGGCACCTTGGGTAGATCCCAGCCCTCATTCCCTCTTGGCCTCGGTCTTCTCATCTGTAGAGTGGACATGCTAGTCCCATCTCACCGTGTGAGAGGAGAATGCAGAGAGATGCTGCCTGTGACCGTGCAGAGGAATCCATCGTGCGTGATGCCACAGGTGCAGCCACAGTCCCTCCCGTGGGGTCACTTGGCCCTCCAGCTAGGGCTGGAGGAGGAACGGCTTCTCCTTCCATTCCAAGGAAGAGTGAATCTGCACTTACCTTTCTGACATCTGTTCCCAGAAAAGGGGGCCGGGCAGCTGCAGGTGAAGGTGTCCCCGCTGGTGACACAGTCCCCGCCATGTTCACAGGGGTTGGACTGGCACGGATCTAAGACACATGGGCAGAAGTCAAGGTCAGTGAGGGTCAGCCAATAGGAAACCCCCACTTTTCATCCGACTTCAGTCTCCGGCCCCAAAGGAGAGAGTGAGAACACAGCCAGGGATGGGGCAAAGGAGGAAAGTGTGAGTCGTCCTTAAAGAGCGAGGAAAACTGCAGCCACGCGACCAGAGACAGGGATTCAGGCTCATAAGAGGGGAGACGGAGCGATGGAGACTGGAGCCCCTCGGCCCACTGTGGACTGGGCCTTTCTCATTGCGAAACTCCCCGTCTCCCCCGCGAGTGTCCTTCTCCTCCCATCTCGCTGGGAGTGCTGCGGGGTCTGTCTCTGATGCTGGAGGCATTTCACAAGCCCGAGACCTCCCTACTCCCAGTGCCCAGGGGTGGAGGTCAGGAGTGGGGGAAGAAAACCCACCCCTCATGAAACGCAAGGCTTCTGAACATCAGGAGAGAAGACCAAAGGCGGAGGGTGACAGAAGGATTGACGGCAAGGAGGAAATGACCCAGTGGCCTTCATCTTTCTTCAACTACTTGTTCAGTTAGATTTTGTCATATTTCATCTGTGCCTTTGGCTTTTCATGGCTGTCTGAATGGACCTCCCCCTTGGGGAATTCTTTATCCTTCTGTTCACGCACATTGTTCTTTGGTTCAGGAACTCGGATCCCTGGGCCTGGCTCTTGTTTTGATGGTCCCTTCTGAAGTTCCCCTGATGCCCTATATCTTGGCCCTGCCTTCCAGGCCACTTTGCTCAGTTAACACAGCTTTTATTCCACTTGCTCCCTGATTTCCGTGCCTTCTCCTGCCTCAGTCACGTGGCTTTGCCTGGACCCAGCTTCTTATTTTCCTTTCTGCCCCCAATTGCTCTGGTTAAGAAGCCGCAAGACAAGTGTGGTGGAGGCACACATGTGTGAGCACACACACACACACACACAGACACACAAACATACCTAAACCTTCCGAAGAGCGAAGGACAAAGAAAAACACAGCAAACATGGACTCAAAGAGAGGCTCAAAGCCAAGCTATGGATCCCACACTCAGGGCTCCAGGATAACGTAGATCCTCCTGCATAACTCGGATCCAGCCTGAGATCAAAGCTTCAGAATGGACTTTGAACATGACTACTAGTCCCCGAGTCAGGAGCCCTGAGTGTAAGGCATTAGCTTGCCACCAGACCTTGACCAAACCGGTTCTTCCCCTGGCCTCACTGACTCCATCTGCCATTCAAGAGTTGGGGAGATGGTTTCCAAGACCCTCCCCGCCCCAGGCCTCATTGTGTATGATTCTAATTGGAAAAGATACAGTCCGTTTATTGATTGGGTTATTATTATTATTTTTTTTTTGGTGTTAAGTTTTTTGAGTTCTTTATATATCCTGGAGATTAGTGCTCTATCTGATGTGCGTGGGATAAAAGTTGGCTCTCATACTGTAGGCTCTCTCTTCACCACAGTGATTGTTTCTTTTGCTGAGAAGAAGCTTTTCAGTTTGCATCCATCCCATTTATGGATTATTGATTTTTATTTTTTTGCACTATAGGAGTCTTGTTAAGGAAGTCAGGGCCTAAAAGAACCCAGTCAATAAATGGGCTAAGGAACTGAACAGACGCTTCTCAGAAGATAATATGCAAACAATCAACAAATATATGAAAAAAATGTTCATCTCTAGAAATTAGAGAAATGCAAATCAAAACTACTCTAAGATTTCATCTCACTCCAGTCAGAATGGCAGCTATTAAGAATACAAATGAGTGTTGGTGAGGATGTGGGGGAAAAGGCACACTCATACATTGCTGGTGGGACTGCAAATTGGAGCAACCAATATGGAAAGCAGTATGGAGATTCCTTAGGAAACTTGGAATGGAACCACCATTTGACCCAGCTATCCCACTCCTTGGTTATACCCAAAGGACTTAAAAAAGAGCATACTACAGGGACACAGCCACATCAACGTTTATAGCAGCCCAATTCACAATAGCTGAATTGTGAATCCTACCTAGATGACCTTCAGTAGAGGAATGGATAAAGGAACTGTGGTATATATGCACAATGGAATATTACTCAACATTAAAAGAGAATAAAATCATGGCATTTGCAGGTAAATGGGACTGGAGGATATCATGCTAAGTGAAGTCAGCCAATCCCCCAAAACCAAAGGCTAAATGTTTTCTCTGACATGTCGATGCTGATCCATAATGGGGGTAGGGGGGAGCATGGGAGGAATGGAGGAACTTTAGATAGGGCAAAGGGAAAGGAGGGGAATGGAGGGGCATGGGGGTAGGAAAGAGGGTGGAATGAGATGGACATCGTTACCCTAGGTACATGTATGAAGACGAAAGGTGTGACTCTACTTTGTGTACAACCAGAGACATGAAAAATTATGCTGTATATGTGTACTATAAATTGAAATGCATTCTGCTGTCATATATAACGAATTGGAATAAATAAATTTAAAAAAACTTAAAAGAAATAAAAAGATCCAGTCTAAATGAATTTTTTAATACCTATTTATGGTGCTCATCAGAGAGGAGGGAAGAGAAGCCCTTACACTGGGTCTCAGGTAAATTCCTCTTGGGCTTGTGGCCTCCTTCCCGGAGGGCCCTGACTCAGATCTGGTACCTACCATCGTCTGCATAGTACCAGTCGGGATTCTCGGCGTAGGTCGACCACGAGGTGGTGTTCTCCTCCGGGTTCTGATGCTCGGAGCTGTAGTCGTAGTAGTCGGGAGTCCAATCTGCAGGGACGGGAACGGCACAGAAGAAACCTCAGCATCAGCATCTTATTTAGTTGAACACTTTTTCCTGAAAGAGTTCAAAATCCTCAAGGAGGAAGCACGTGTCTTTCCAGCTCTGCATACTGATGGGGGTGGGTAGCCAGGATCAGGCTTTGTGGCTTTTCACTTAGGGGTGTTACAACCCCGCAAGGCTGTGTCGTTATTTGGCAGGGCCAAGGGCACTGATTGAGAGTGAGGGAGGTCAAGCCTTGGCTGTGCACTAACTGTCCTCTCTGTGCCTCGATTTCCCCTCTGAGAGCAGCAGGACTGGGGCCCAGCAGGCCTCCTTGGTTCCGTGGGGGGTGGACCAGGTCAGATTCTGCAGCTTTGGAGCGCCTGGTTGGGTGGCTCTGTGAGAGCATTTCTTCGTGAGACTTTATTCGTCACCTTAGTCTCATGAAGTCACTTTCCTTTGGGTCCCAGCATCAGGCTTCTCCCAAGCCGAGTCTACAGAGCCATTGAAACAGCTGGTGTTTACTGAGCCCTTACTACGCACCATCTCATTTCATTCTCACTCACGTCTAGCAGGTGTATCATTTGCTTGACTTCAAGTTAAGAAAATTGAAGCTGAGAGAGGTTGAGTCACTTGCTCAAGGTCACATACTAATACATGGCAGGGTTTTTAGCTGATGCAACTTGTGTCCATGTAACCACTGAATCTCAGCAGTGATCTCAACCTCAGGGCCCCACTGCTTTGACTGGCATCATCCACGGCCTTGGCTACACTCACATGTGGCCGTGGGAGAGGGTCTCCAAGCATTCCCTCTCAAGACCCCGCCTGCCAACTAGGACTCGCCAGGCACAAGCTTGATAAGGTCGTGGCTCTTGCCTAACAAACGGGAAGGCTGTGCGTGGAGTTGGCCTCTGGTGTAAATCTCACGCTAGACCAGACTTTGACAAAAAGCCCTTTGTTGTCCGGGGCCTTGGAAGACACTCTGCGGCTGGCGGGGAAGATTTTGGAATGGGAAGAAGTTGGGTTAGTTTTGTGCTTTCCAGCTGGTGGGTGTGCCGAGTCAGGGAAGCTGTCCAGAGGTGCGTATGATAATGAGCTGAGCCCATGCAGACAGGCGACTTGAAAGGGACCAGGCAGAGCCAGGAGCCCGTGGACGGTGTGGAGCGTGGAGGATGGCACTCCACCCACGCCTGATAATCAGCCACCTCATCTCTCCATCCCCTCCCTCATTGCGTTAGAGTCTTTATGTCTCTGGCTTTTGAAAAATCCACTTTTGCACAATGGCCACTTTATCTTTCCCATTAAAACGGAACCGTCTTTTCATTTCTTTTTTGAATACGCCAACTCCGGCTCCTTGGCAAAGTTCCCCATCATATCTCAGTGTCAAGTCCAGACTCCCCTTTGCTTGCTCATTATTTCTCCTGAGCTGCTTTTCCCCACTCTGAAAATGGTCCCAGAGGAGGCCACCTTTCCCGGGATGAGGATCCAGGTTGAAGACAAGGCCATTGTCTCCCTGGAGCAAATGAAGTCTCCTTCCATCCCAGTGCCACCGAGAAAGACCAAGAAGCGGCACAAAGGAAAGGTTCTTCTGAGTTGGACGTGAAGGATTTCAAACGGACATTTGGAAGAGACAATGCGGGGATGACATAATTTCTTTATTCTTTGGAGAATTTGTTTTTGTTTTTCCAACAGGTGTTTACAGAGAAGAGCCTTCAGGTTGCTCCTATGGTTTCTCCCATGGCTCCCATGGGTTAGGGGTCTGACTGGCCAACCTTGACTGGACTACCAGGGATCCCTCCCCCAAGGATCTCTGGAAATCCTTTGGGAGATTCTTACATAGAGGGGACGGTGTGGGGTTTCCAGGGGATGGGGGATGGGTGAAGTGTCTGTGGGAGGATTTGGACTTGAACCCAGCTCTGTTTGCAAGGGCTGCTCATCTCTCAGGGATTCCGAATCACATTCCCGCTGAGCAACACCAACAGTGCCTCCTGTTTGCCAGGGTCCTGGGTCCTTGGTTAAAGGGAAAGAACCATCAGAGAGAGACTCGGTGGCCCTATCACCAGAGCAGAAGCCACCCCCCATAGAGGGTTGTGTGAGGAAGGCATGGAGGTCCTTCACGTGTGGGGGAGCCACAGTGTGCTTTGAAGGTCTTGTGGGAGCGTCACGCAGGAGGCTTCCTCCACCTCCAAACTCTATGCCTATTTTGTTTATCCTCTCGTGTTAGCACTATCTATACAAGAAACTCGTGTTGTGCATCTACAATCAGACAAGGATTATGCCAGGGGCTGAAAGGCACGGGGGACCATGGAGAGTTACCCAGTTATACAAATAAGAGTGGGATGTGGCCTTGTCCTCAGAGAAAGCTCCGGGCAGGGTAGGCTGGAGGAGAAAGCCAGTCTCAAGGAGATCAAAGGGTGGTACTGACCCAGGAAGCCAGTGGAACAAGAGCCCCAGCCATCTACCAGCCTGAGCCCAGCCCACATCACCCAGCTGGGTCCAGACCTGAACTACCCAGCTAAGCCCTATCTAAACGCTAACCCCAAGAACAAATATCTAAATACATAGGTAATGGTTGAAGCCACTGAGTTTGGGGTATTGTGTTACTTAATAACAACAGACATCAGGATTGAGTGATGTCGGGTTGCTAGTGGAATAACAATTCTAGATATTTTAGGCATAGGAACATCCCTTAATGGCCCAGTTGGCTGCAGAATTTAGGTTTGGGATGATGGTACCTCACTCTGGGATTCACTTAATCCATCTGATTTGTTTCCTCCAACTAGAGAGTTGGTTTCTTAAGAGCAAGGGCCACGTTCGACTTCACGGTGCCCAGCAGAGCCCTGTGTGCAGTTGTGTTGGGCAGACCCACCTCCCCCTTGGCCTCTGAGCCTCCTGCCTTCTGATTGGCCAGCACATGGCTCTGCCCCCAAAGATGGCCCCTGCTTGAGGCAGACCAATGGTGAGTTCAGGAGAAAAACTATGTGAGATGTGGGTCATAAGTAATTAGTGAAGAAAATTCCTGACGGGAATCTCAGAACTTGTCCAAATGCTTTCTTGGGTAGAGAGGATCGCTGCCGGAGGTGGATTCTCAGTCCATTGATAGATTGTAGCAGACAAATTTGGGTTCAATTTCCAATTACATGAGAATTTGGGCTGCAAGAAAGAGGAGAGGCTTGGCGAAGAAAGGGGCAACTGACAGAAGTGTTTATAGGTATAAAAAGAAAAATTTGTGGATTTGTCTACGTATCAGAGTCTGTTTCTAGGAACTACCAGGAGGAATGGTGAGGTCATGCTCAGTTAACCAGAGAGTCCTAATGACAGGTTATTGCATACTGAATCCTTCCTAGGGGTCGACACTAGGCTAAGTCCTGTGGTTGTGCACTATCTTACTTAACCTGAAGCATCCCCAAGGCATATGTGACACTATTCTGTTCCACAGATAAGGAAAAACCAAAGCAGAAGGACCTGGTGTCCTAGCCCAGATCTACCTAACTTCAAGTCGTGTTTGCCTCTTTACGAGCCTCTTTTGGGTTTATGTTTCAGAAACTCCATGGGTTTTAGCTTTCAGGAAGCAACATGCACTGGGATATCTTTAGCACGTGCTCCAGGTCCTTCCACCAAGATTACTGTGTCCACGTTTAGCATCTCTCAGAACAAGCGCAGAGGTCCTGCAATGGGGGCTTCGCAGCTGCTCTGGTTAAAGAGCTTGCCAGATGTGCGGAACAGAATAAAAATCCCCAGAATGTCGTCCCTGTTGGCGTCATCCATCACGGCGGCACGGACAGCTCCTCCGAGGGCCTCTCCTGGGCCCAGCCCTGTCGGACTGCATTTGACGCTTCCACTCTGGCTGACGGGGCAAGCGCAGCACAGGGCCTCGCTGGCAGGCGGAAGGACAGCTGATGGATGGGTTTGGCCTGTGTTGCAGGGCAGAGCCCAGCCAGCTTTGAAGAGGCATTTCCGCAGGCCTGCTGGCTGCTGTGTCACCTGCTTTGGGGAGATGGGCAGAGTCTGTGCTGTTTGATGACCACCTCCTTCACTGCCCACTGGGACTGGACACCTTCTGCTCCAGCCAGGCCCTCGCTGTGCACTGTCTCTAGCAAGACTAACCAAAGAAGCGGCTTGCCTGTGGGCATGAACAAAGTGTCCCCTCCCCACACTGCTGTCTGGAGCCTGCAGGAGATGACAAAGTCCATCAAAGCACAACCCCATGCCATTCAATCACACACCTGACGGGCATGGCTTAACACCTAGCCTGCTCTTTGCATGAAGTATCCCCCTGCCCCCCAGCCAGAGGCTCTTGGAGCACCTCAAGGTGGGTCTTAGGAGCAGCCTGCCCCAGGGCCCATTCATTCTCTCAACAAATTCCCACAAGCCATTAGCAGAATTCTTGTAGGGCCCAATTTCACGGGGTGCTCAATCCTCTGCTTAAACACCTCCAGGGATGGGGAACCTATTAACTCCTAAGGTTCTGAGGGCCCATTCAGATTTTTGGAGAATTCTGCTGGTTTGGAAGTTCTTCCCGACTGCAGATCAAACCCGACCCTACAGCTTCCAATCTACTGAATGGCAGCTCTGAAACTTATGGCCCAAAGAATGAATCCACTCCTTCTCCATCATCTCTGTGAGGTAGGGTTGTTCAAGTTGTTCTCTGCACCATTCCAGGATGTCTAAACTCACTGTAGACATCTTTGACAACATTCTAGCAGATGGCAGTAAAGTGTCTTGTGGTAGAGAAACTCCGTAATTTCCACAAAGTTGCCTCCTAGACCAGGGGTGGGGCTGCTTTTCAGACACTCGAAGACAGTGAGGTCTCTTGAGTCTTCTCTCGTCTCCTCCTATGTCTCTCCACAACCTCTGCAGCTCTGTCTCTTTGACACCCAGGCCTTTAATGGTGCCTGAGGCAGAGGCAGCCTTTCCAGCCCCTCGGCCTCTCGCTGGCTGTGCGTGTGGGCAATGGATGGCCATCACAAGGACAGCCCTTGGAATGTGACCTCCAGAGGATCTGGATTCCACACTACCAAGTACTCTCCTTAGCTTTGGGGAAAGATGCAAAATCTCTCAAAACCCAGGCCCCATGAGTATTTCCACTGCATTCCCTGAGCCCATGGGGTCCTGGAGCCTCATGCTCTGGGCTCCTTATGTCAGTCTGCCTGTACGTCTGTCTGGGCTTGGCTGCTGGAGAAAGTCACCACTGAGCTGCTTCTGACCTGGCTACTGTTCGCCTTGCTCCAAATCAGCCCTTGATCCAAAGTTCAGACATGACCATGGCCTCTGTGTCTGGTTCCCGTCCTCAGGGGGTGCCAGTCCCTATCATGGGAGTGTCAGCCTCTGGACAGAGGCAGCCATGATCCAAGGTTCCTCCTCAGGACTCTTAGAACCAAGGGAGACAGGCACCCAGAGCCAGCGACCACAGGAGGATGACTGGAGGAGGTTAGTATGGCTGTGGGGACCCGGTAGAGGAAATGGGGTCCTGGCTCCCCACCAGAGGGGTCGAGTGGGTCCGCCTTCCTGAAGCCGGCCATCGCTCAGGCATACCCTGGCTTAGCCTTTGTATGTCACTTCAGCCACCAACGGGCTGTGGGACAAGGAGAAAGTTGCCTCCCTCTCTGGGTCTCGGTCTCTTTCTCTGTAAGATGAGGGAGCTTTCCCCCTGAGCTTCTCAGACTAGCCATCTGAGGTGTCCCAGGGCAACTTGAAGTTGTGCAAAGCACTGAGTGAGGGGAATGTTCCTGGAAAAATTCCCTAAGGGGTCTGTGACCCCTCTGAACCAGCTGGACCTGAGAGCCCTGTAATACCTGCCCTTCCTCCAGCTCGGAATCACTAGGAGGGTGGGAAGCCACAGGGTGGTCAGCACACTCACCTGGGTCCAGGTCATCGAGGAAAGGCATCAAGGAGAACTGAAAAACAAAGCAACAGACACAGCACGTTGGACCAGGCCAGGCCAGGCAGCGGGGCACTCCCTGTCCTTCCGGAAGCCAGAGAGGACCAGATCCAGGACACAGGAGCACTGGGCGCCTTCTGAGTGGGGTGGGGTCTACTTGTAGATGCCCCTTTTCCTCCTCAGCAGAGACTCGTGTTGCCTGCACACACCTGTGGGCCCACAGAGCCCAGGTCCTGACGTTCCTGCAGTTGAAGTGATTATCTGCCTGGTTGCCCCTTATGTTCTAACAACCCCATGGGAGGCCTTTGAGGAAGAAAGGCAGACTCAGGTCACATAGCTGTGACGAGGTCTGAATTTAGGCTCAAGTCCGAGTGACAGCCTTTGGGGATTGGGGGTGGGCAAATGCTTAAAACTCACCAGACATTTCCGTTGTTCTTGGAATAAATTACGAGCACCCACCTGGACCTCCAACCTCTTCCCATACTCCTTCCTCCCCCTGCCCTTTACTAAGCACCAGCCACACCCAGCTTCTAAATGGCACAAGCCAAGTTCCTTCCACCTCAGGGCCTTTGGACTGGCTGTCTTCACTACCTGGACCTCCTTCCCCACAGTCTACCAGGTCTCAATTTAAATGCCATCCTCTTAAGAAGGCCTTCCCCAAGCACCCTATCAATCAGTAGGACATCCCTCACTCTATTTTTGTTTTTCTGTTACTACACTTGTTTATCCCCACCGTGGTCCTCATTACAGCCTCGTTTTATACTTGTTCACTTTTGCCTGTCCTCTGCCTCTGAGATTAGATTCTATGGAGATCTTCATCTTGTCACGGGCGCATCACTCAATGTCTAGCATGTGCCTGGCCCGTGGCATTCCTCAGAAGGTTTTGCTGATGAGTGATATAAACAGTTCCCTTTAGAATGCAGTTCTTAACCAGAAGAAGAAACCTGAACTCACCCCATAACTGGAATAGGTTCTTTCCCTTCAAACAGGGAGCCTCACACTAAGGCCCTGGGGCAGTGCCCCACAGTTGGGCTTTATAAATAAAGTTTTATTGGAAAATAGTCCCATGACCATTTTTCCTTTTTTTAAATATATTTTTTTAGTTGTCAATGGACCTTTATTTTATTTGTTGATACGCGGTGCTGAGGATCAAACCCAGTGCCTCACACATTCTAGGCGAACACTCTGCCACTGAGCCACAACCCCAGCTCCCATTTTTTTTTTAATGACTACTTTTGTGCCAACACTGGCAGAATATTTGTGACAGAGAAAGCGTAGCTCAGAAAAAACCACTACAGGCACTTTACAGACAAAGTCCGCTGACCTCTGATTAGAAAATGAGAGCTTTATCCCTGGGCAGACTTGCCCTTGGGTCCTGGCTGCAGGAAAGCTGAGCTCCGGGTGCTCCCTCCCAGGACCCAGGGGATGCACGCAGCTCAATAGCTTTGCCTCCTCCACCTGCAGCTGAAGTTTTAATTTTCTGTTTTGCTGTTGGTTTCCTTAAACATCTTTGGGAAGTAGGAAGCGGACGAATTAGAAAGGAAGATAAGAAGAGACAGGGAACACCTCCTGATGTGCAGTACAGAGAGCAATGTGGAAAAACAGGCGCCTCTTGAATCCACCCTCAGGGAACACACAGGTCCCAGTGGAGATCCAAACCCCGGGGCATTCTACAGAAGGGTGAGCCTCCACTCCTCCAGAGTCAGCCTCAAAGGAGAGAAAACAATGGAGGACTGTCCTTTGTTTCAAGAGACTTGGCAACTAAATTCAGTGTGTGGTCCTTTGATTGGATCCTGAATTTAAGAGAAGCACCACCACAAAGGTCATGACTGAGACAACTGGGTAGTTTAAATATTTACATGGTATTACCATATAGGGTCGAATTTCTTGGGGATGGATAACGTTGCCATAAATTCATAGGAAAATGCTTATTCTAAGATGTGCCTGCTCAAGTATTTAGGGTGGTGTCTGCTCTCTATCTGCAAATGATTTAGCAAACAAAAGAAAACACACACACACACACACACAGGAGAAGGGAGCATGAAAGTGGCAAAATGTTAACAATTGATCTCGGAGGGTGAAGGATGTCCACTGTGTTGTTATTATTTCCATTTTTCTGTAGGTTTGAAAACTCACAAAATAAAAATTGAGGGAGGAGAAAGGAATGCCAAAGAAGGAGAAAAGCAAAGAGGGGCCGTCCTGTGAGGTCTGGGCCTGTACCTCTGCCCCATTTTCTACACCAGTGAGGCGGGGGCAGGTGTTTTGTTGGGGGGCTGGGCTGGGAGTCTTGCCTAGGGAGGGGGTCAGGTACAGGGAGCACCTGAGGACGCTCTGGGTGTCAGCATGGGGCATGGGGGCCCTGGGGACAGACATCACTCCTCCTCCAACCTTGCCTCACTGCAGCCACTGGTTGGTGCTTGGCCCTGGTCGCTGTACCCTGCTCCACCTTCCCTCCATTGAACTTGTCCAGAGGACAGGGCTGCCCTCTCCTCAGGAGGTACCGCAGGAACTCTTCTCTCTGAACTGAGGAGGGTGGCCCGTGCCTGGCTACCATCAGCCCTGAGAAGTGTGAGGGACAGGAGAGAGGACTGTGGGGACACCCTTTCTTGGACCCCACCAGGGAAGGGTCTTCAGGACCTGGGCCTGAGCCAGAGCGTGAATCTTGGCTCTAAACAGATCCGAAGGGACACCCAGGTGTCGTGCTGCCCTTGGCCAGCAGGTGGCAGGCACGCCCTTCCAAGGCGGCTCTCGGCAGTAACCAGGTTAGGAGGCAGCTGGACTTCCTGCGCAGAGCTGACCTTTCAGGAGGCTGACTGCCGCTGCCCACTTTTGCAGCAGAGGCAAGTCACTCTGTGACTCACTGTGTCCACCCACAGAGAGGCTGCGATGGGACGTGGGAGCCGGAAACCCAGGCTGCAGATCTGGGTATACTGTAGGGGGCCCTCAGAGCTGGGAACACGCAGTTTCAGGGCCACACTCCTGAAACTGACCAGGACAGGCCTGCAAGCAGAATGACGGACACAGAACCTGCTCCTTTTGTCCCATGAGTCTGCTCCGTTTCCCACAGGGACAGCAAAATGTAGAAGAACTCTTACTCTTGGACTTGCAAATTCATAGAGGAAGATTGATGGAGGAGAGGAGGAGGAAGAAGAAGAGGAGGAGAGGAGGAGGAAGAAGAAGAGGAGGAGAGGAGGAGGAAGAGGCCGTGAGGGTTGTGATAACTAAGAAGTAGAAGAGACCAGAAGAAGGATCTCAGTTCACAATTATGTAGAGCTAACCATGAGCCAAAGACTGTGCTAAATGGGTGCAATACATTTTGTCTAGTTTGTCTCACGTAATACTGGATAACTTAGGTACAATAAGTATGCCCATTTTAGAGGTGAGAAAACTGAGATTTGCAGAGGTTAAGTTGCCACAAATAACTCAGCTAGTAATGCTGGAGCTGGGTTCAGAGAGTCAGCCTTACATGGGTGCCCTTGCTCTTACTTGTCCCTGCTGGGAGGGCCGAGGGAACCCAGGCTGCAGACACTGTCATGAAAGGGTGGAGGAGAAGGAGACAGAACCCTAAGAGGGGCAGATGCTGAGCTAGGTTAAAATACCAGGATCCTGTTCTTGGAAAGCTTTATATTTATAACAGGTCCATCTGCAGTGGCTCAGGCCTGGCAGACCACATAAAAGGCCATTTGGTCCCGGGAGAAAGCACAAAAGTGAACCCAGCTGGTCCCCTGTGGCGTACACATCTCAATCAACTCTCCACCCTGATGCGAAGGCACACAAGACACTGTCCACTTCTCCAACCACCTCCATTCCTAGTTTCCATGGGGCTGAAACTCCACGTGTCCCAACTGACCAGCTCCTCCTAGGTGGCTGGACTCGGCTGCTGCTCACACACGGAAGGTGGTGTTCTGCAATGGATCCAGCCGAGGGTCCCTCGGCTCCACACTTGGACTTTCTCAGGGGCTCCACAGCTCAGGACTCTGACCTTCCAGAGGTCAGGAGCAGGCCCTTGGCAACATTAAACTCCCCAAGCCACCAGCAAGCTTGTCTCAAGGTCTAGTGTAAAATTTACAGCATAATTTTCTTGGGATGCTCTAATCTATTTTGTCCGATCTAGTGATCATTTTAATCTAGTCGTGATTTTAACTAGGTTCTCGCTCTGCCTTTCAGAATTCCACACCTTCTGGAAGACAAGACCAAAAGGCTGAGGCTGAAAGGCTGAGTTGCTGTGTTCCAGCTATCACATGGAGTCGGTAGAAATGTTCTCAGGCGATGGACAGGCAGAGGGGGGCCTAAGGCCTAGATAGGGCCTACAGCAGAGAAATCTTTCTCCCAGTAGGTGAGAGGCTGGAGCCCTAATCTCAGCCATCTCTTCCTTCTTGGATGTTCTACCAGGTACCTGGTGGAGCAGATGTCACCGACCACCAGGGAAGGATGACGTTACTCCCAAGGGCAGCCCGGCAGGAGAGAACTTAGCACTGTGGCCAAGTGGGTCTGCAGCTGCTGGACGGGGGGGGGGGGGGGGGTGTGTGTGTGACAGGGACATGTGCACACAGTTCAGTAGGGCCAGTCCCCACTGCTAGATGCAGAGCTTGGGGCCAAAGTAAATGGTGGAGGTGACAGGAGGCAGTTGAGAGTGTCCAGGTCACTAGCCCAAGTGCTGTCCTCATACCACCCTCCTTCTCTGCTTCTGCTCAAACCTTAGCCACGTCATGAAAAAGAACAGTTAAGCCAACCCATAGACCCTTTGATCCATTAAATAGTGGCAAAATATATGTATCATTATATATAACCTTAACCACTTTTAAGGGTGGCGTCTTTGGCACTAATTGCATTCACAATGTATCCATCACCACTCTCTACGTGCAAAACGTTTTTCTTTTCCCCAACATGACTTTCACCCATTAAGCAATAACGCCCCCTTCTTCCCTTCCTGCATCCCCTGATAACCTCCTTCTTCTGTCTCTCTGAACTTGCCTCTCCTAAGTGCCTCATATAAGAGGAACCCTGCAACATTTT